TGGGGTAAGAAATGACGATAAATCGCTCAGTGGAGTTGGAAGAGAAAATTTTTTCGTTCTCCCCCTCGACGTGGGATGTTGGAATTGGAGGGGTGTCCGGGGCTTCACCGGGAACTGGACGCGGTATCGTGCCCTTTTTCCCCGCCTCGACTTTCTCTTTTCTCTTCGTTTCGCTATCTATTCCCCAGAATATCACATGTTCTCCAGATAATAGGACAGAGATTGTAAGATAGTGTAATCGACCGTCTTTCCACCAATGGCCTGATCGCGGAATAGCGGCCCCGCATAGGGTGATATCAGTGTGAGGCCATTCGTGACGCTGATTGGGTGCTGCGAGGTAGTTTGTTCTAGAAGGTGTGGAGCGCTGATCGTCCGGAGTTGGGGCAATAAGGAGAGTGAGTGGTGATAGGATGTGAGGTAAGCGCTGGCAAAACCTCCGAGCTGATTAGGGTTGCACTTTCTTTAGCATGTGTGTTTGGGAAACCTATGTAGTCTACACCCCGCTGTATATTCCACAGAGTAACCGCACCCGCAATGACCTCCTAGCATTCCTGGGTTTTGTGGAATGTTACTCAAGCCAACCCTACCCCGGATTCTCCATTGTGAAACTACTCCCCCGCATCGAGACCTGCCAAGCATAAAGAAATGTCACCTTGAGACACAATGGCATACAACTGTACCATACTTATATATTGAAGTATCAGATCGCCTTCCCTTTGCAACGTATAACGTAACTAGGTAACTAAATTAACTCCATCTTGTCTCGACCAATGACACCTCTCGATAGGGGTTTCAGACAAAAGACAGCGCGATTGGAAACGGAGCGCAAAACAAGAGCCGATCCCTTGTTGCCAGTTGGCCTGTCACTTTTCTTTTTGACTTTCCTACGCGCTTTCGCTTTCAGCTTCCAACTTGGTTATTCCCCAGCTGGGCCGTGAGCACGTCACGTCATGACTCACACCGTGTTGGAACTTGGATGTCGTACAGCCAGTAGCAACTGCTGAGCTTATGTAGCAAGGGGGTGTGGGCTGAAAGGGACGGGCGCGTCCAGACTCGGACTCGTACGCTACTTACTGCCTTACCCTGGAAAGTATTCCAGAGGGTATGAATAATAGGGTAATATAATAACTATAAAAGTATTTCATCTCCCCTCACCCACTACTAGTGATCTTACATAACGATATGTGTGGGTGCGGGGAATAGAAATAGATATCACTAGTTCGCCGATATTTTGCCTAAAATAGGTACCCTGAGGGCTGAATCGGATGGAAAGAGGACTTCCCCGCGTACAACTGAACGAGGCTCCAACTGATAACGGAGGGAGTCCGGAGGATCTCCACGCCCGAATCGAGCTTTACTATTGCGTATACTCATTCCCTTCACTTTCTTTTCCCTTGCCGTTGTTATTTACATTTCTATTTCCATTTCTCTCTACCTCGTCCCCTTTCGGTGGTGGGACTAGTTTTGCTTTTTCCCCCCATCCAGGATCGACGTACCCGCCCTGTGCGCGGGTCTGCATGCCAGAATAATGGGATTGATCAGCATAGTGGGCAAGGAAAAGTGGGAAGGGGAATGCTTGAGTGACGAATCCCGATTGAATTCCCATGGAGCATCAACCCAGTCCCACATACTTGCAAGCTAGATGTACAATATAGGTAATTCCATTGTCTAATATCCAGCTTACATACCGTAGATTGCCAGTCTCCCGTCTCCCCGGATGGCGTGACGATCGACCTTGACCTTGTGTGGAGGAGCGCATGACGACAGCGATATCGGATGATCGTATTCTCCAGCGATCGCGGTGATCAAGGCAGATTTGGATTGAGATGTCATCGCAGATCGATTCTACGGTTTCGGGTCTCTCCCCATGGCTATCACTTGGAGATTGTGGGGTAGGATGACTTATGGAGTATGTGTGTATATGTTGTATGCTTATCTGTGTGTTTTGGAGTGTTCATCACCGGGTATATCGGCTTGATAAACTTTGTCGATCATTCTAAAAAATAGGTTGGATTTTCTGGGGCGCAGACCGGTTCAAGACCGGAGGATGAGGTTCTGTCGTGATATTGCGATTTAGGACTGTCGGCGATTGGAACTGCCGGTTTCGGTGTCCCCCACCTGGCACTTATCTACGTACTAAACAGGTAGGATCGAGTTCGTAGGTTTGCGGATCTGGGTGAGAATCGGGGCAGGTGAGACGAGTTCTGGGGAAGGATTCAGGAATATATGTCGGAACTTTGAATCCGGATATCTGTTCTGTGAATATTCCGATTTCCAGCAGGTGCACGAGGAGTACATCAACTGATAGATCTGAATTCGTCACCTGAAACCGAAACCCTCATTAGTTTCACGATCCTAGCAAATGCACTCCGTACACGTCGCAAATTCGGCAAAAGGCGGGTCATTGCTTCGAGACGGTACCTGCTTCTTGAGATGAAGAATAACAAAAGACCGCTATTATTGCCACTCCGAGTCCGGCCTTTGACCAGAATGGCGCCATTATTCCCCGTGGAGAAAAATGGAGAACTCCAGGTTGCGGCAGTGTGCTCCGTACCGTCGGGTATATTGTGAGCTCATTTTACCTTGTATTTTCTTAAACCTGGCAGGGATTCGTGCGATTTCTAGATCCCCGATCAAAAAGTACCAGCTCGGTAGTCGGGCCGGCATACAACATAGGCATCTGGGCCCTGATACTCCGTTATCTTTCCGCTTTGCTTTCAGGTTTGCGTTTGTGTGCTGGTCCTAATTTGCCAAGGAATTTAGCCATCGTGAACTGTGGGGATCGAGTGAATTTGCCCGGGGGTAAAACTTCCGTTAGGATCCGCCACTAGACCCTGCAAGATGGAGTATCCCCTGATATGTATTGTAGTGTAAAGTTTAGTGTATATGTATGTGTATCTATCAAATCAATATGCCTACACATACAATAGAATCGCGGAGTAACGCTATGCCGGACCCAAAGATAACGCCTTCCAGCGCAAACCGGACTCTCTCGGCGGGACGGCCTTGCCGAGTGGGCGTATCTTTGCCCCGTCCCGTTTATCCCGCACCTCGGCCCTTTTCTTCCATTAAGCCGGGGGAACTTCGGGCGAAAGTATGTAATCTTGTATTATAGTTGCCTTCTTAGCGAAGCGTGAAGATATCTCGATCGCTGATAGGAGAATATTCAATACCTGTTAAGCGTAATTAATATTATCTTGAACCGGTACCCCAGACCCCGGTTAATACCCTGATGTGAGATTCAGGAAATCAACCCCCGGGGTCTATACTTAGGCGTCTTGGCAGTCAGGGATACCGCCGTCTGATTGCGCAAGGAATACAGCCGAGTGCGCATTGTGCAGGGGCTGACACTGGCATCTAGAGATACGCGGCTTTGCGGCTGCATGGCAGCTGCATCGGGGCTATCAATAATTGGATGATCCGCGCCTATCAGCGGTGTTGGTTCTATCGTTCCACAATCAATATATCAGTCGGTTAAAGAAATATACAATTATATGTACTCCGTATATAAATTCGTCATATCTTACCCCAAAATCCGGGGGAATTGTCGGCGAACCTGAGCAGACGATCCCAGGGTTGATCCCAGGGTTTCGATATATAGGGTTCGGGGATGATTCCTCCGGATGATGAAGTCTTGAGCAATGAACAACCCGAATCATTTTCGTATCTCGTCTTCGCGCTGGATGCCTGGATGACCTGTTGACTGGGTTGTGTTCGCATGACTAAATGATTACCAGAATTAACCCTTGGGCGTTTCGTTTCGGTCGACATCATCGATGATCCTCGCTATCGTCACTCCGTGACGGGATCAGATGGTCCCCAGGATCTCCATTGTACATCCATTGTACATGGGCCTGGACTGGTCGGGCCTAGAATGACCGTCACCCCCAGACTTTGGCCCTGGGTTTCGCAGGACTATGTCTATGTACTCCGTACCTGCTATGGAGCACGGAAGCACGGAGTATCTATCATTTTATATTGAGTACTGGCGACCCCGGGTTCTGCTCGTCATCGGCTCTCCGCATGCCACCATTTCTTTTCTCATCCACTGTCTTTTGCTCGTCATCCCGAGATAGCGCTGATATCTCCCCCCATGTTCTGATAAGAATTGTTAGAGGCGCGATAGCCGGATAGGGACACGCACCTCACGCCACACGGTTCTTCAGCAAAATGCGAGTCCCCACATTTTTGTTTTATGCAGTTACGTAGTTAGTATACCACAGCAATACTATAAGAATATTAGAGAGTAGCGGAATATGATTATATTGGAATAGTTATTAGTTAATTCAGTTATCTATCCTAAATAGTACATAGCCAGGTTGATGTACATCCAGTAAGGACCGTCCTTTTTTCTTTTTTTATTTCTTTTTTATTTCTTTTAGTTTCCCATTTCCCCTTTGGGAATTTCCGGTTTTTGTATTTTTCCTCTTTTGCCCCATGTCTCCCCTTCTTCTCCCCCACACTCTCCATTTTTACATTTTTACCTGGACGTATTTTATTTTATTTTATTCTTTTATTTTTCGTTTTTTTGCTTTGCGTTTTTTCAGAATTTTCTTTTCTCCAAGTCCGATTCCGACACTGCCCCTTCTCCCCCGATTTCTCCCTTCCCCCTCCATTCCCTATATTATCTGTGACTCCCCAGATCGTCGTCTCCAGGTTCCCTTTTTCCCCCTTCTTCTTCCCTCTTGCTCCCGCTTCTGCACTACTCGACTACGTGGTTTATAACCAACCCGAGCTATCAGAACTCTTCCCGCCGCACTCCGATTCCCGATCGACCTTCCCATCCCAATCCGGGTATCTGATCGACCTTAGCTCGGGACCCCTGCGATAAACCCGTTCTCGGTCCTCCTTTCAGTATCACCCATCAATCCGCCGCACGGATTCACATGCCACCGCCGGGTTCTTCAGTGGGATTCTCAAATCTACTTAATCCCCACGAATCCGACACATCCTCGAGCGGAGATTCAATGGCTTCTTCAGTGAGCTTGTTACCGCCGCTTATGAAGGGGGCGCGCCCCGCGACCGAGGAGATCCGCCAGGACCTGCCCCGGCCGTACAAGTGTCCCCTTTGCGACCGTGCGTTCCACCGCCTGGAGCACCAGACGAGACACATCCGCACGCACACCGGCGAGAAGCCACACGCCTGCCAGTTCCCCGGCTGCACGAAACGCTTCAGTCGATCAGACGAGCTAACTCGCCATTCGCGCATCCACAACAACCCCAACTCGCGCCGCAGTAACAAGGCTCAGCACCTGGCGGCGGCCGCGGCGGCCGCAGGCCAAGACTCCGGAATGAATGCTTCCAACATGATGCCACCTCCTAGCAAGCCTATCACTCGCTCCGCGCCAGTATCGCAGGTCGGATCTCCGGATGTCTCCCCTCCCCACTCCTTCTCCAACTACGCCAACCACATGCGCTCGAATTTGGGCCCTTACTCCCGCACCGCGGAGCGTGCTTCCTCCGGAATGGATATCAATCTCCTGGCTACAGCGGCGTCGCAAGTAGAGCGTGATGACCACATGGGCTTCCACGGCTCGCGGGGACACCAGATTTTCGGCTCCCGTCATCACGGCACTAGCCGTGGCCTCCCTTCGCTCTCCGCATATGCGATTTCGCAGAACATGACCCGTTCGCATTCCAACGATGACGATGATGGCTATGGCCACCGTGTCAAGCGCTCTCGTCCCAACTCTCCCAACTCCACCGCTCCTTCTTCTCCTACCTTCTCCCACGATTCTCTCTCCCCTACCCCTGATCACACTCCATTGGCTACTCCTGCACACTCGCCCCGTCTGCGCCCTCTTGGTGCCAGCGAGCTGCATCTGCCTTCGATTCGCCACCTGTCTCTCCAGCACACCCCTGCTCTCGCGCCCATGGAGCCGCAACCAGAAGGGCCCAATTATTACAGCCCCAACCAGGGGCACATGGGCCCAACCATCTCCGATATCATGTCGAAACCCGACGGCACACAGCGCAAGTTGCCCGTGCCCCAGATTCCCAAGGTTGCGGTGCAGGACATGCTCAACCCCGCGGCCGGATTTTCTTCCATGAACTCGTCAGCCACCAATTCCGTTGCTGGCGGGGACCTGGCAGACCGGTTCTAACTCATCTTCTTTGCAACCTTTTATGCCTTGAAAACTTATGTTATGCGCGCCACGAAACGATATAGACTTGTGCATTTTTACCTGGCTTGCGGGCATCAACGGTGTCGGATTGGGTTTGTTGATTTTATCTCTGGCGCTTCCACCAAATAGACGGATTGGGATCTTTTTTTACCCCTGGCTGGTCACTCCTCTGGAGATTTTCTTTTTTTACTTCGAGTTCAAAATTCGTGTCGAAAGACCTACTTTTCTATGTCATTCTCCTCTCCCGAGGCCTGTGGTCTTATTTACTTCTGAACCTGTTCCTTTACTTCACTTCTCTTCACTTACTTAATTCCTCACATTGTGAGCAAATCAAGACATTTACTCTTAATTCTTTGTATCGGTTTTGGCTTATTTGCATGTGATATCTCCCCGCAATTCACTTGGCCGTATAGTTGGCATCTACATACGATGTATGCTGTACAGCCTAGTATTATCTGAATACTTCGGATGTCTTTGACATCGAATCTGAAACAATATTGCAACTCTATTCCATTATCTCCAAGAATAGAATCAGAAAGATACATTCACATGTCAACTGAATCTTTGTCTAGAACACGTCCAACGATCTAGATTCCTTCTCAACCCTGCTCTTCGTACTTGTGAAGAATACTAACGTAGATCCATGGAGCCTAGATATTCGATGTTCCTCTAGGTCCAGACTATGAAGATCTTTTATATAATCTTATATCCACAAATGGCGAATACATCTTGTACTTCCTATGTTGTACTTCCCAAAGCGTAATCCTCTATCCAACGAAAACAACCTGCAGACAGCCGCCCGTGCATTGTATCTCAGACCTATCCCCAACAAAGACAGGTAAAGAAATATACACAAATCCAGGTGATAGTGTATATAGTATAGCCATCTGAATCCTTATAGCCCAACTAGCCCCAATTGCCCCGCCCTAAGATTCAGAAAAAAAAATCCAAAAGTCCGCACCCCCACTTCAGCCCATTTCTATATACCCTTGTCTACATTGTACGCGCAGAACGGCCATGGATGTCATGCATGCTGAAAAAGTGCAGATCTGAAGGTATTCTGCTGATCTTATATCGGATCCTTGGGGTGTATGTATCTCCCGTTCTATCCCGTTCCCCTCATCCGTATTACTTACTCCTCTCCTCTCCTCCCTAATCCTATACATACCTCTAACTCTACCCGTCGAGGGCTACCCCTATTGCTATGTAACCCCGGGTAACCTGACTCTGACACGATCCAGCCGTATCCACCCCGTGTACTAGACCTCCCCGTCTTTTGCATCGAGCATGTCGGAGCGCAAGCCCACAAGCCCCCAGGACCATCGGGACCCTTGTCGAGGCGACCTCGACCAGCTCCTCTATTCACGCAATAGAGACCGCCATAGAGATCGCGACCTTCGCCGATCGTCTTCTACCCGCAGCGTCAGTATCAGCGTGAGTTCGACCGCCAGCAGCACCGCTTCAAGTAGGACCCCCGCCCTGTCGCAAAGACAGCCTAAGCGAAAGCAACCGGGCGTCGTCGTCATCACCATGTCCTCTTCACCCGCCGTGCCGGACTTGTCGAGCGCATCCCCCTCCCCGTCAATATCATCAGTTGACACCAGGCCCGGGACTGGGGTTGACTCCGCACAGGGAGATACCAGCACAGATGGGCTCGGGATCTACGTTCTCGGTGACCCGACACCGTTAACCACCGACCCCGCTCTCTCGCCGTCAAGACCCCCCTCTCTAACAGCCAGCACGAGCACAAGCGCCGAGCAGCGCACATACGCGTGTCTCTTCCACATGCTGGACTGCCACAAGTCCTTCGCCGACAGCGCCGAGTGGCGCGCCCACGTCGTCAGTCACTTTCGCTCGTACCCGACGCCGCCGTCAGCGCGGTGTCCGCTGTGTCCGAATACCAAGTTTGTGGACGGGATTTCGGACCCCGTGTCGTCGCCGGTTCTCGAGGACGGCGAGTCGATCCGCTCTAGCGATGACGCGGTTCGACCCCTGTCTGGAGACTTTCCCTCGGCGTGGGATCGTATGCTCGACCACGTCGCTGCTGACCACTACTGTCTTGGCCAGACGCTTGCGGGCAGTCGGCCGGATTTCGAGCTCATGCGGTATCTGTATGGCATGCGCGTTATCACAGATGCGCAGTTCAAGGCTATGCAGTTGCCGCCTGCGCCGTCGAGTCCTGCCTACCATCGCTCGCAGGATGGGGTTAGGGCTAGTATTGGATCTGCGGATGAGCCGTACTGTGCGCCGTATAGTAAGCGGCGGGAAGAGAGGATGAGGGGGCAGCAGAGGGGTGTCGGGGTGTTGTAGATATAGACGCGTTTTGGTTTTTGGTTTTTGATTTTTTTTTTGGATATTCCCCCTTTCGCTTTTGTATAGCGTGTACTTTTCTTCAGACTTAGAACTGGCAAGTGTATTTTTTTCTTCCATAGAGTATGTTATGTCTCAGAAGAATATCAAAAACCAAAATGTATAGAGCAGCCCCGAGCAAACAAGACAAACTCACCGCCCGTGATGACGGCCTTTGCGACCTCGATCCCTCCATCGCGAATGATCAGAAACAGAATGAGAAGCTCCACCTCCAATTCCTGAATCTCTCTGTATCAGCCTCCTCCCGCCTCCCTCCCTACCCCTCCACACCGCTTTCCGATTTTCCCTCCGCCAATCCAACACAGACAACGCCATGGAGCGCCTATCTCTAAACGAAAGCCCTGCCCCGGCCTCTCGCACCCCGCAGCAAAACCAACAATTCACCCAGAATGCCCTCGGCCCAGCAGGCCCCCAGCCAACAGGCGGCCCGCCGCAATTACCCCCGCAGATGTTCACGACCGCCGCACAGCTGCTCGATCTAACAGATAGTATGTGCAGCTGCACTCAAGCGGCCTAGAGCTGAAGAACAAGGGAGAGAAAGAAGACTGACGCAATCGCAGAGAAACTTGTACTCATCCTTCGCGACGGCCGCAAACTTATCGGCGTTCTCAGAAGCTGGGACCAGTTCGGTATGCCAGTCGCACTACTCTTGAATCTGTCTCGCTCTTTTATCTGACATGCTATCTTCTAGCGAACCTTGTTTTCCAGGATACTATAGAGCGCGTCTACGCCGGACAGCTGTACGCCGATGTCTCACGTGGCATATTCATTGTTCGTGGAGAGAACGTGCTCCTGCTAGGCGAAGTGGTATGATCTCCTCAATCCCTGCTGCAAGTTAAGGTATACTGGTAGGAACCCCGCTCACGCATTCTCAATTCCACACAGGACCTTGACCGCGAAGACGATATCCCGCCCACACTGACCAGAGCCCCATTCGAAGAAGTCTTCGAGCTGAAGAAGAAAGAGGACGCAAAGAGGAAAACAGGCGACAAGAAGCGCTACGACGAACTCCAAGCGCTCGGTTTCGAGCCCGAGCACAGCGGGGAGATTCTGTTCTAATTATCGCATTGTCACCACGTGCTTGTTGTGTGTTTGATCTGGTCTGGTCTGTCGACTTATCGCTTTCTCTATCTCCCGGGTTGATACCGTTGAAAGACCGAGTGTTGAAAAGGAAAAGGAAAAAGAACAAAGGGGCGTTAGGACATAAACTGCTCGATGACCTCCGATGAGCGACGGTGTCGATTTGATTTCGCGCCGTGCGGATACGGACGGTCGTCGTTTGGAATTGCAAATTGCATCGGCAGGAGTTTTGGCTGGATTCGGATGCTCGCAGTGGGCTGCTACTACTGTACTGTACTGTCCTGTCTGCTGTATACTGCGAGGAAAGGAAGCTGTCGACGCTATGCGCTTGGATGGATGTGATGCCGTCTGGTCTAAGCTTGCAGCTTCTTGTTGTCTGTCCCCTTTGCGTCGCGCTCTACATCTACGTCTACTTTTACTTCTCGGAGCGAGCGATGGATGCTGTGGGAAATACTGCTGAGCTGCCTGGTTGGCTGGCTCGCGTTCATGAAGTTCTGATTGATATGTTCGATACACTTTTTTTTGCATGATAACTGCTTTGCAAATGAGGATATGATAAAATCATTGCATTTGGGTTCTGGTATTTGAACTAGCTGTAGTTGTACATTTAGTAGCATTTCATCAGTGTCATGTGATATCGGATGATTCGTGATGGTGTCAAATATAAAGCTACTCATCTATGCTATAGACCACACACAAAAAACAATATCTATGTCCATTGACCTAATAGAAACTTTTGAATAGAATCGTAATCATATCATGAAAAACACGGAGTCAATAACTCTGCATCGAAACAGAAAAAGCCCAGAGTCAACGGAATCACCACAGCGGAGGGTATTATGAGAACGTCAACACTAACCAAGCACGACAGGGACCGAAGACCAGATGGCAGAAACAAAAAAATCAAAAATCAAAAACAAGGGAACTCAGAACGATAACTCCGGGATCTGCTATATGCCACCCTCTTCTCCACTTACAGTATCCGTACCGGCAAGAAAATATACGATTCACCGTAGAGTAAATAGTTTATCTCTTCTTGCCCCATCCCGAGCGGTTACCACCGCGAGGAGCGTTGCCTGGATTGCGACGCTTCTCAACGCGACCACCGCCAGACGCACCGGAAGTCTTGGGCGCACCAAGACCACGACGGCCGGAGCTCTGACCGGCTCCGGAAGCGCGCAGGTCCTGCTTCAGGTCGTCCTCGTCGACATCCATGCTATCGCCTGCGTTCTTCTTCGACGACTGGCCCATCTTCACCTTGCCTCTCTGGCCACGGCGGACAGCATCGGGTCCGCTGACGGCAGCGAGGTAGGCGTTCACGCCACCGTCACCAGCACCGGACATCTCGACGTCGTCGACGATATCGCCGTCATCGCCGAGGACAAGACGGCCGTCGGCGTCGACCTTGGCATTGCGCTGCTTCTTCTTCGAGCCCGGGCCTGTGTTGAGGAAGCGCTGGCTGGGCTTGGTGGTGGAGATGCTGGCCAGGGCGTTCGAGCCGAGCAGATCGAGGGGATTGTCCTCGGGGGACATCTCGCGGATGTACTGGGTGCTCTGGCCTGCTTTTTTCTTGGAGTTGCGGCCCTTGATTTGGGCGACGTTGTCGACGTCGACGTCGCTGTCGCCGTCGTCCGAGTTGTCGGAGGAGTCCGAGTCAGAGCCGTAGACGGCCTTGTCGAAGGCGTTGCCGGCTTGGGGCTTGGAGGCCTTCTCCTCTTCGTCTTCGTCTTCGCCTTCGGCACCCTCTCTCTTCTTGCGCTTACTGCGCTCACGGGCTTTGCGGATGTTGACTATAAGCTTGCGGTCTTCCTCGCCGACAATAGCCTCCAGAAGAGGGGCACCGAATCGGCGCACAAGGCGGTCGATGATGCCCTTCACCTTGCTACGGAGACGGCCCTTGTGCTCCTTGTTCCAGGCCATGAGGCTGGGGACCATGGTGCTGAGACGGGGGCGTAGAGATTCGTCGGGGAGAACGACGACGGCAACCTTGACGAAGCCAAGGACGGAGCGGACGATCTCACGGTTGTTGGAGGTAAGGAAGAGCTCAACGGTCTCAACGAGTTCCTTGAGCATCTCCGGCTGGAGTTGTTTCTGGAAGTCGAAGAACAGACGCGAAAGCGCAGTGACGGTGGCGCCGACCATGTGAGGAGCCGAGCCAGCCAGACCGGCCGAGACCATTGTGAAGAACTCCTCGAGGGTAGCAGGCGCATCCGGGGAATCGTCCGCCACACCGGGCACAAGAGATCTGCGGATGAGAGTGCCGGGAGGGTTACGCTCTGAATCGGTTGTGCGCTTGGCCAAGAGAATCAGCAGGTCAAAGGCCGCTGTGCGTGCCTTCTCATTGCTTTCCTTGCAGCCCAGAACCACCTCGGACAGGATGGCCGGGATGAAATGCAGGTCCGAGGTAGGCAGATGATTGATTATCTCGGTGATAGCGAGCATACGGTCGCGACGGCCAGATGCAGGGGTGGTATCGGTGGTGGCAAGCATGAGAGCCTGCAACTCTCCACTACGCTCCTGGAGGGCAGCGCGACCAGTCTCGGTCGTTGCAAGTCGGGGAATCAACTTGTAGGCCTTCTTAATCAGTTGCTGATCCGGGTTGGGGGATGTGCTGTTGAGGATAGCCGCCGCCATGGCAAACAAGCCACTGAAGCTGGAGCGAGGGAGGTAGATTGACATTGCGATAACGAGGTCAATCAGAGTGTGGGAGGTCGGTGGCATCTTGTCGGACGGGTTCTGAGCCGAAGCACTCTGCTTGGTTGCTGTCTCTTGCTCGGTAATCAAAGAAGATTCAAGCATCGAAGTAACGCGGGTGAAAGTTTCGTTTAGCTCCTATGAAGGGTGTTAGTCGTGTAAATTTGCATACGACTGAAGGCAACTTACATTTTCAGGGGTGATGCTCAAGTAGGCATTGATACACTGCAGGATGTAGCCGCGGTAGTGAGGAAGGGTCTGACTGTAGACGTTGAACAATACAGCCAGCAGATTGCTCGCAAGACCGCCAAGATGAATGAGGTTCTTCTTTGCAGCGGCCTTGGTGATACGTCGTTGCAAGATCAGATCGTCCTCATCGTTTTCGACAGACAAGATAGCCTGGTTAGACTCAACAAGGTTCTGCAAAGCACGGCAGACATCGAGACGCAATTCGGTCTGCTTGTACAGAACGTTAGACAGCAGCTCCGCGAATGTCTGGTCAAATGCCTCCTCAAGATCAAGGGGCAGCTCGCAGTAGCCGGGAAGGGTACCCCAGGTCTGTTGGACGAGGGTTTCGAAGATCTTCACTTCCACAGACTTCTCAGCGGCACCGAAGTCCACTACCTTCTGGTACAGTGCCTCACTCAGGGGAACGAGCTCGGTACGGAAGTGGCGGAGGTTCGTGTTGGTCACGCTATCGCGCATAATGGGCAGCATCCAGACACGGCCGGGCTGACCAGCCTTCTGCTCGATAATGTTGAGGGGAAGAATCTCCAATACTGCCTCGGGGCCCATGGCCTCGATAGCACTGCTGATGACGGCGTCGGCTTCCTTCTTGCCGTGGAAGCCGCCATTGCTGCGCAGTTCACCGATGGTGGAGACAATCTTGACCAGATATGGGCTTGATCGCCACTTGAAGCAATCGAAGAGGGCAGAGCAAACATTGAATACCTCTTTCCAAGCAGCCTGGTACTTCACCGAAAGAAGATCAATGGCTGCACGAGACAACTTCTCTAAAGTCTTCTCGTCATACACAGATGGATCCACAATAACACTGTTAGGGATACAGTTGTGTAGGAATGAGATCAGACACTCTGATGCGGAAACGCGGATGTTGCTGGAAGGCGAAGCCATGAATCCAGAAATCAAAGTGAACAGATCCGGCAACTTCTCGAAAGTATCCTCGGGAGTGATTTGTGCGGCCACATCGTAACCACGCGAGAGCACTGCAATCCAAGGGGGGAGAAGCTGGGAGTCATTCTGCGCAGGTTTGAGTTCGGAGATAGCATCCAAAAGACGGGGCAGCTTTGAAGACGAGAATTCATCCGCCATTCCTTCGAAAATGACCTCAAATACCTCAAAGGCACCCATAGTGATGTACTCATTGCTAGAGCGGGAAGCGTTCATCAGAAGTTCGCTGAGCGGTTCGATCTTCTTGCTGGGCCAGCCACCTGACGCCGAGGCAATGGTCTTGATCAGCTGCAACGAGTGAATGATAAGGGGCTCATGGTTGTTGGCCTGAGCATCATGACGACCTTTCTTTTGCTTGTGGGCGGCTGTGATGCTATCCCCCAGAGTCTTCATCGCAGACTGGGCGCACATATCCGCACCCGGGTGGTCCAGAGACGGGCTCGGTGGGGGCGCCTTGAGAACCTTGACAAGAGCCTCCTGGGCACGTTTCCGTACCTTTGGGCGGTGGTCAACCGATAGACTCAGTAGACCTGCCATTGCGCGTCGCGGTCCGACCTGTGTGTGCGGGAGATTCCATGATGCAGAATCCTGGGCAATGAGCAGAGACTCAAGACAGCCAATTGAAGGACGCAGGAGCGGGGCTTCGACCTCGGGGAGAGAAAGCGCAGGTGCAAGACCTTCGAGGATCTGGGAAAATTTGGAGCAAAGGATCGGGGCGGGGACGTAAACGGTTGTGATGTCGAGAAGGTAGACAACGGATGTCGCTAGGTCCTTGTTGACAATACCCTGGGATGCGGACAGTGACTGCGAGAGCAGTGCAAGAAGAGCAGCAAAATATGCGGTGGGCGAGAAGTCTGCTTTTTGATCACGGAGAGTATCCTCAACTGCAGAGAGCACCACAGCGGTCTGTTCATGAATGTTAGTGTCAATTCATTGGGTGGTATGCAACAGGGAAACTTACGTGATGCTGGTTCTGCAGCTTGGGAGACTTAATCTTCTCAAGCTTCTCCGCCAGAGTCGCCATGATGATTGAGGACGACGAGGTGGAGAAGAGTCAAAGAAAGCAATATATTGTGATGAGAAAGAGGGCTGTTTGGCGGTGATAAAAATCGTAAATGAAAAAAAGTAAAGTCCGGCAAATTTCGAGGCGGTCAGACAAGGCGGCGGGCCGGTACACTGACTTTTCGTTCCTCCAGGCTGATGATTAGCAACTTATTTGGATATAAAATTGCTGTTGAAGCTATATGCATTTTGAAGGAGGAGGGTTATCTGGGTTGATTACAGCCTGATGGTGGCTAGTGGTTTTTCAATTGATATAGTCCCTTTTTAGTTCCACCATTTTTGTCAAAGTCATCTATGAGAACTCAAAGATCAGTACGGAGTAATCCAGTAGAATTCCGAGACAGATTATATATGCCATCGTAATATTTTCGCAAAGGTTATAAAATTTCTTTATTTCTTATCTAATATTACGCTGGTCCTACGTAAAGAATGTGAAATCAATGATAGCATTTTGGCTGAATAACATGGATTGAACTTGCAATCAATGCTTGAGAAATCATCGCAGCTGTGCTGCTTCAGTGATGATTGTCTCCCGCGTGGCGCTTTGGAAGCTCTCGCCATCTGGTTGCCATCCTAACAGCTTTCTTGCCCGTGAAGCTCGGCCTTGACCATTGGTACCCAGGAACACAGCTCCATTGGGTATAACTACATTGGCCTCATCGAGATTCATGGATTGCACTGAATCAGGCGAATCAATGTAACCGAGGCTATGCGCCTCTTTGGCGATCACCAAAGCGACATCTTTGAAGCTCTGAAAGAAAAACAAGAAGGTTAGCGCGGAGAAGTGACATATTAGGCCATGAACTAACCTCGAAACCGTTTTCCACAAAGAAAAGGCCGTTCCCATTCCAGATAGGACTGGGAGTGGCGTTGACAGCATGCTCCACCAATTTGACAAAGAGATCCGCCAGATCAGCGATGTGAACAATGCCCCATCGACTTAGTCCTCTGCCAAGGTATAGACCAACATGTTGTAGCAAAGCGGCCCGGGCCAATGAGGGAACCTGGATGCTACGTTGATTCACGGGACCGTTACCAGTGCCGAATATGATAGGAGGGAAAAGAATGGCGGTTTTGGGACCACCTGATCCCAAGTCGAGAATGTAGTTATCCACCACCCGACGATCTTTGTACGCCCGAATTATGTCTCGGAGATCGGCAGCGTTATCCAAATCATCAACGATTTGATCCGAGGGCTCACCATATGAGTTGCTATCAACTTCAGGACCTGACAGAACGCTAGCCCCGGTAACTTGGATGTAATAGGCTGCATTTTACTTCAATTAACGATCAAACCCGAAAGAAGATATTGAAGCAGTAGACGACATACCATTTTGACGTCCGGCCAGGCCATTTGCGATCGCTTTCACGCTTTCGAGATGCTTGTTACTAGCAGCGTCTAAATGGAGAAGGTTAGTGATACATCAGGCTACCAGATGTAAATTGACCCACGGATGACAATATCGGCTTTGCGTGATTCTTTCTCAATGATTTCCACATTGTCCAAATCCGCAAGAACTACACGGACCTTAGGAAATGCAGCCAAAACTTTGCCGGCCTTTTCCTCATCTCTGATCAAGGCGGCAACCTCGTAATCAGGATGCGCATGCTGTAAAGCGTGGAGGACTTCGCCCCCAATGTAGCCCGTTGCACCGGTACTAGAATTTGAGTTAGCAAAGCATGGATCATGCTTTATCAGGAATAAAGCCACTCACAGGAAGATTTGAGTCATTTTGAAACTGAAGTTATTAAAATGGTTCAAGTTGGAGTGGAAGGAGTTTAATATACATCCCCGCGCACCAGGATAGGAAAGTCATTCCGCGGAGAGATCCAGCGGGGCCAACGACAGATTTTTGGGGCATCACGACATGACAAATTTGTTTTTCGTCATTCTCTTCGTCTTCTTTGTTGTCAACAGAAATTCTCAAAATGCCAAGACAAATCCTAGGTAATAGCCACCTTACCAGGAGAGGCAAAGCCGTACAAATGTAGTTGAAATAACCCCCTTCCCCCTCCCCCCCTTCCATATTGACAGTACAGAAATCATGTCATTTCTCAGTCTACCCCTTGAGGTTCTCCATCGGATTATCTCATACCTGCTTTCAATCTATGACGTGGCTGCTCTATCAAGACAATGTCGAACTCTTCACTCTCTGTGCGATATGGTAGCGCGCGGGAAGTATTACCGAATTCAAATCTGCTCAGAAAATACCGACAAGCCATTAGCCATGATTATGGATATCTTGAAACGACCTATTTTGGGTCATTACGTGCGCAAAGTCGATTCCACTAGACCACCAGTAAACGGCTGGTTTACGGTCCACGAGGAAGTCAAATTTCAGCGGGATTTGAGCAACGAGGAGATAGGTCTCGTGCGCAAAGCGCTCAGAAACGGCGGGTTTACAAGCCTGCAAGGGGATCGAGTGGTTAATATGCTTATGAAAAAAAGAGCAAAAGTTCATAGGTGAGAATCTCATTCGATCTTCGTCTCCGAGTGACCATCTAATCAGGTGGACAGACGCAATGTCGGCGGTGAAGCATTCATCATCCAAGCCTTGGTCACCATTCTGATTGTGGTATCGCCGAACATTGTGACGATGAAGGTGGACCAACCCCGTGGCCGGAGCTACAGCAATATAATGGACTTCCCGCTTGTCAAGCTCCTTCGCCAAGCCAATGCCAGTCCCGAAAACAAGTCATATCTTCGCAATCTTCGTAGTCTCCACCTCTCCGAGACAACTGTTCCACATTATGCTGGTTTTCGTTTCTCATTGGACTTTGAACGCTGCTTGAGGCTTTTTGACACTCTCCCGTCAATTGAGTCCGTCCGCAGTCATGGAGACAAGGAGGGTGATGATGGAAAACTTGAATTCAAAGAAAAAAGTTCTAATATCAGCAAGATCTCTCTCTCTTGTACGGCAGCTAGCTCTCTCTACTTTGCGAATCTGATATGGTCTTGCAAGATACTTACGAATTTCACGGCGAGAATGTGTGGCAGCGTCTCTATCTTCAGCCCCAAAGCATTTATAAAAGCGCTTTGTGCACACAAGAAGACACTGGAGATTCTTGATGTTAGCTTGACATATGAGATTGATCCATTCGACGAGGACATCGGAGGGGGAGAATGGGGAGACGATCATTTCAATCGACACGGGGGTCCATTTGAACGCGGAATCAGAGACGCAGAACGTGAATTTTATCAATTGATATGGACACAAGCCGGGTCACTGAAAGAATTTGTGGCCCTAAAACGGGTGAGCTTGGATATAGACTTTCTGTTATACTCCGCCGCTGGTGTTCGCAGTGGGCCTTACAAGGAAAGGAAAAGGTTTAGACTGATAAACTGCTTACCACCTGGGCTAGAGTACCTGTGTGTTCGGAAATACCAGACTGGCAACAACGATGAACATGATGGGCATATAAACGGGTTGCCTAGAAGGCCTCGCAAGCTGAAAGAGATCAAGATAACCGATGGATTCATGTGAGAGTGAGGTTTACAAAATGACATAGCATAATATTGACAATACTGGTTTCCGATGTATCTACCCCTTGGCAGACAAACATCTCTCGAGCTCATGTTTTCTATCCAAAGTTTCGCACATACCAAATTTGGTAACAACACGAAGAACAAAAAGTAAGGATATCTACGTACCCAGGAAGTTCAGATGAAAAGGGAGGTGAGTAATGAGGGTTTGTACGGAGTCATGGAGTATTTCTCGAAAATTGAGGGCCGAGTAGAGTAGATACTAGTCTTTAGATCGATGGGAATCTTGATTTATGGAGCCTACGGCAATTCAAATCGACTAGTCTGTAGAAGTCCACATTAGTTATTGTTAATGTGTAAGCTCGGTAATTCAAGCTGGTTTTGAGAGCCGATATACGAGTGTTAAGTTCATGGCGCGTTTGGCGGCATCTCCCAGGAGAAGTGAAAAATTCTCATGTCATAATGATCCGCTGGTTGAAATGAAATGCGTGAAAGCCATCTTAACGTTGCAATATATGTAGAATACCGTAACCAATTAATTCCAGCTACCCTGAACTGGGCTCGATCCATTATGGATTGGATCGGTTTGAGAAAGAAAGTCCACCAGTCTATGTATCTTCTTCCGAGCCCCGTATTCTCCGTCTAGAAAAGGACCTTGGAAAGATCCTTGTTAGACTGTACTTTAATGTTCCTCATCATGAGCACCCAGATAATTGAAAGTCCCATCACCGCAGTACCGGCAATCATCATGTTTCGCTGGCTGAATGCATACGCATTCTGGATAGCAATACGAGCAGGCGAACCAACCGCATAACTGAGCTGTACGTCCAACGACTCGTATATATCCTCCCACTGGTCCTTCAAGTCGGCAGGCAGATTCTGGCGTAGCTTGCCGGGGAGTGTATTCGTCCAGATGGCGCCGGAAACACTACTGCCCACCGCGCCACCGATGTTCCCAAACGTGCTGAGAAGTGCCAACATGGCGGCATAGTCCTCATGCGAGGCCGCAGCAAGAACAGAAACCTGCTCGATCAGAATAAATGTTCCGCCACCCACTGCGAGGAAGATTTGGCACATGCACATATATCCTATGTTGTGACCCGGTTGGCGGAAGTAGATCATCAGACCGCTTGCCAGGAGATAAAGAGGCAAGGCGCAGCAGAGTAGCCACTTGAAACGACCGGTGTGTCGGATGAGAAAGCCACAGCCGATCAGCCAAATCGGGTCCATGAAATCGAAAATGGCGCTGATGTAACCGGCTTGCATCAGGCTTGTGTTGTAGACGACTTGCAGATAGGAGGTGAAATAGCTGGCCCAGCAATAATAGGAGACCTGGTAGGTAATATCGAGTAGACATGCGCCAATGACAGTGCGATCGGTGAGTAGATAGAATGGGATGAAAGGCTTCGGAGCTAGCCATCGCTCGTAACCGACGAATGCTACGAGAACACAGAATCCCACAACCATCATAGCAATGATCTTGGGCGATTGCCATTGGCCTTCGGTGTTGCCGGCGATATTGAAAGATGTCAGGAAAAGAATCGTGCCGCCTATCATTAGGAAGATTCCAACGACTAGGTCGCAAACAGGGTGAGTAAAGATGAAAGGAATGGATTCGAGAGCGCAACTAACCATCAAACTCCATAGTGTAATACCAAATGCTTTCTGTCCAGGTTCGTATTGTCCTCTGCTTGTATTGCAATTGGCCTTTCTTGTCGGCCTTTCGTTTGGCCATTTCCCAGGTCAAAATCAGGGGAAATGCAGCGATAGGGAGAATGATGCAAATCGTCCCATACGCCCATCGCCAATTGGTTTCATGGAATTGGTTTGATAAGGGGGAGCCAGCAAAGGCTGTGATCATGCTAGGAGAGGAGGTGAAAGCATAAGCAAGACCTCGATCACGAAGGGATGAGGTATCTGAGGTTATCACGTCAATGCAGAAAATAGCGCCAGTGAATCCAACAGTATAAAATGCCTATGAATTCATTAGTGATCTTGAAATAGCCCTGTAGAGGGTATTGATGATGCAAACCCACCTGTGCAGCACAGTAGGTCGCAATATTGTTACAACCAGCCATCATGATCAACCCCATAATTGCAATCAAGATCATGATCACGAATCCAACAGTTCGATCAAAAAGGTTCAGGACCTTGGCGATGGGCATCAGACATGCAGCACCCATCACGCTGGTCACCACCGCAATCACGGTCAGTAGCGAGTGTTCCGAAAAGTCACTCGTGATGTAAGCAGAGAGGTTTGCAGTGAGACTGCTGTTGAGATTGTTGACGAAATACACCAGCCACATACTATTTTCACATTAAATCTGGCATTTAGGACCAACATCTTATAGCAAGGTTGCTCACCTAGTATAAGCAATAATCAAATGCTTGCGAGACCACGTGGTTGTGACTGCGTCGGCAATCTGAACACCATCTTGCTGAATCTCTCCATCTGGAATACCTGATTCCTCTGAGTCCAGGGGCTGTGGGTGCTCTGTGGTGGCCCCTTTGACGGTGGACGTGTCCTCCGTATCCATGAGTGGAAGTGTCAGGTAGTTTGTGGAAGCCTGGAATGAATGATTAGAGGGCGGGGGTATTTTTTAACCTCTTTCTTTCGAATATATTAAAATTTAGGTCGTACCCATTTGTGTAAGCGAGGGTGGCGTTTCCTGTACCATGTGGGGCCTTTAATATACAATCCTTGCTGTGGTAGTATGCAGGAAATTACTCCGAGATCCCGATTTCGTAAGGTCTCAGATAACTGCTCATCCGTAGTAAACATCCATGGATTGTGGGGGCCTGGTTCCAAGGATTTCTCCGAGTGGCGTGATCAGATAATTTTTTGATCAGATAACTTTCAATCTGATAATTTTCATGATCAGATAACTTGGAGGATCTGATAAATTCGATCAGATTAAACCTTATTTGCGATCAGATAAATTCTAATCAGCAAGACTGGGTTACCGTTGAGGAGAGCTTGGCTACATGTACAAGCTTTCCCTTGAAGCTCCGAGTGTGCGAAAGATGGTTGCATGCGTCGGTTGGATCTGATTCATTCTTATCCCTGTTCATCATCGTCTTGCTTCTGACCTACACAAATTGTGCTTCTATGTTCTAAAAGCTATGGACCGTAAAAGATGTTACTTTTATTTTTCATACCAGAGATCCTTTTGCCGATTGAAAGGCTTAGACAAAGTATGCAAAAGCTTTTTTCCTTGGGTTCGCTTTCCGACAACACAGACGCGCCATCATGCAGCAAGGCAGCAGAATTATCCATCACCTGTCTACGTGATTGGACGGTACTTTGGCACGTTGGGGGCCATGAATAAATGGTCCAGTTCTTGGCTATACACTTTTCACCTTGATGGTTGGAAAAGAGATTTCATTCTCCACAGTCTGGCGCAAGCCTCAAAAGTTTAAATAATGTCCAATTTATTACTGACCTATCACAGTTAGGAGGAAAACTCGGGGGTTTGCACGCGGGTGAGGCGGTGGGGCGCCTAGTCCACCCGTAGAGGAGAGTTGTCCGATGTTGGCAATGTTCACGACAAATTCTGAATCACGTCACAAAGGACTAAGGATAAATATACTATTATGTATACACGCGTAGGGCTCCAACGGTGTGTGCGTACTAGTGATTCTGAACTTCCAATCACCAGCGAAGAGACTGTAGCCCCAAAAGTCCTGCACATTTGTGTTGCACCCATCCATGGATGACGACATCGATTACTTACTAGTTTGCCAGTTCCACCTGAATGCCCGATACTTCCAAACTGTTACATAATCCTAGTTACAGGAACTGCTGGCCTCCGGAATGGAGCTAGGTCAAACTAGACTTGAGCATCCTGGCTTCTACGGATGTACCAAAATGCTTCTGGCGTCTTCTTGTCCTAGGAATATCGAAGGAATGTGCTTGGCTTTACCATCGACCAATTTCTTTCCGCTGAATCCACCACGTTTGCATGTCATGAGTCAAACCCCGAAGTCCAACACTCGGATATTATGTCCCCATGTTTGTGCATTAACCCTCTAACGGCCACACCACTGGTTTGTGATCCGCCAATAGTAACGTCAAGCGAGATGAGTCCTTTCATGAGAATGTCAATTTGTCGGTCCCAGGTCCCATCCGGTATCAAAAACTGCGTGTCGTCTGATAAGTCTGATAAATCAGCATCAGAGCGAGAGCGAAGTTGCAGGTCTATCACACTCTCAATGGCCCGTTGAAGAGTCGTGACAGCCAAGCTCGGTGTGACATGATAAGCGGTGATTGGGACTTCGGCGCCGAGTCCATTCTGGAGGTTAAAAGCTTCCTCGGTAGGCAAGCTGTGTACACATTCAACTACTTGTGCCACACATGAAGCTGCCTCGCGCTGGTATTCTCGGACGGTTGGTCCTGATTCTTGTTCGATGTAGGTATCAAGGTCTTTGGTCACCTTTCTAAATACTTCGGCGAATAGGAAAATGCCAAGGTTCCAAAACATCACGAGAGAAACTAAGGGATAAATGTCAGTAGGATGCCGATGATAGCATTGTGAGAGAATGATGAGTCAAGGATGGTAGGAGTATATCTTACCAAGAGATATCCTGGGAGACGTGGACAGACAATCGAACTTTCTGATGCACTGAGAGATGAAAGGTTGGAATGATTGGCTGAAGTCACGGACAGCTGCCACACTCAAGTTTATTGCTCTAATGATTGACGAGGACCGTTCATTGATAGTGCAATGCCACTGGTTAGCAACTGTTTTGATGCTTATGATCTGCCTCCAGACACAAAATATTTCCGCACTTGCTTTCCGGCAGATGGGTTGGACATTGATATCCAACTCTAAGATATTCTGAGAGACTGCCAATGCTGCCACGGCCTCTTTATTTGAGAGGACTGTGCGATTTTAGTTTAGTTGCCTGAATTTGATATTCCCATATGGAAAATACTAACCTTTTGTAGTACCCCACAGATCTGGAAGTTTGCATTGCCGATCCATCGCTAACGCTGCGCCTGTGTCGCGAATATACGCGGTCCATCGGATAATGCTTAAACTTGCTTCAGCAAGAGCTCCATATATAGATGACGGCCCCACGTTCGCACAGTATTGTGTAACAAGTCCATCTAAATAGGATAACTTTTGCAGAGCTGTGTCAAGGAAGTCGTTCGGTACGAGATCCTCTCTATCAGTTATTTTAGTTGGTATAACAATCCCAACGAACATGAGTGTTGCCAATACCACTCGAAATGACCGAACGTCGTGCGCATCATTGAGGAGTGATCTTGCCCGCACCCAAGCATCAGTGAAGGCGTTCAAGGAAGAGTCATCTCCCGCCTCTAGATTCCGAGCAAAGTGATCATAAGGAGAACCCACTTCAAACGAAGGTGAGTTCGGTAACCATTGCATCGAGAATACGCGAAGGACAGCATAGAAGGTGTCATCTGATTTCTTCCGAGCAGCCGAGTTCAGTCGATTGCCATAAAGACCGCCCAAATGATCAAGGAACCGAACACTTCCTATCAAGGAAATTTCATGAGACATTGCTTGCGATGATACTGAAAGATCAAGCCGTGGTGAGATAGCGGTTACATCAACGGTTGGCCTGGCAGTTTCGGATCCATTTGAGCTCCCTGAGTCATTGTCCCCCAACCGGTAGCGACTGCCAGTCGCATAGAGATTGCAGTCGTAGTCCAAGAATCTGGATGCACTGGCTGTTGCTATTGCTTCATAGATCCGGGCGAGACGATCACCAAAGATCTTCGCGTCTACTCCAGAATTCAGCAGGTAGATGGGACTGTTGAGTGAAAGCCTAATTGTTGGCCGGTGATTATCTGATCGGATATTCTGTCCTCGATGCAAGCGAGTCAGTTGGGATGTGGTGGCCGTAAGTTGGCTCTCTGCGGGCGCTATGTACTCAGAACGAAGCGCATCGAATGAATTAGAAGGTTCGAGGTTGGTTGAAAAGGAGGTGGCGCTATCCGCGACAATCTCATCATAATCAAGATTCAGCCAAGCTGCCATAACATCTTGGTCAGCAATAGATGCAGCATCGAATCGATTGATCGAGCTTCCAGTGATTTCCTCGATTGTTGTATCGAAGTCATTCGATTCATTTTGCGTTGTTGGCCCACTGGTTTCCTCGCAGTCGCGCTTCTGTCGTTTTCGCGAGAAAGGAAGACTGGACTGGGCTATAGCGAATTCAAACGTACATTGGCGTCTCAAACGCTGGCAATTCGTGCATATCGCATTGGGAATGCCGTCTGGGTCCGACTGCACAACACATCGCCGCTTGGAACGCCGGCATGAATCACAACTTGTATTTTGGCGCCGCGGTGGATTCACGGTAGGAATTGACGCCTTGGGAGAATTGAGGTCTCCCGGCATTCCGTGTCTACATGATAACTACAAGAGAGGCGTCCGCTGGATCTGGTTATTTCCGACGCGGCTGGATTGATTTTCCGTTCCGCGCCACGACTGATGCCTGATTATGCCTTAAATGAGGCAACCGTTAAATTCTAGCTTCAAATGGATTTGGAAAAGAGGAGAATCATCATATAAAACATGGAAATCTCAAATATGGTACGCTTCCCAGGTCTAAGGATATTACTGGAAAGCTCAAGGGACATAGAGAGGGCGACAAGGTAGTCAACGTCTTCGCATGCCTAGACCTTCTCTCCGGCTGCCCTCCGAATACAATCGACGATGAAGCCTGGGTTACTCATAAATGGGGAATGGCCCTCATCGCATTCCTCTACCTCAAAGCAGCCCTCACCTTGTGCAATCATTCTCCGCTGGAACGGTTCCCGCAATGCCTGATCATTTTTGCAGACAATGTATGTGCTCGGGATCTCACGATACGCGGTGTATGTGGCAGGAACGGTCAACGGGCCCGCGGGGAATGTGCCGAGCAACTCCACAGCCCTCTCGATATCCTTCTGCTCGCAACGGTTATAAAAGACGAGGTGAATACGGTCCTTCGGGAGGCTGATTGCTCCATCCTGTGGACAGATTAGCATTGAAGGTATATAGAAGCAAAGACTCAAGTCCATACCGGTGACACATCTAGTCCACCGAGCTTTTCCTCCATCTCCTTGCGCTGACGCTCCATCTCTTCTTCCTCGGGCGTCTGCGGGACCAACTGGCCGATATGGGTTTGGCCCTTCGGCAACGCCATCGCACACATGTAGACCAGCTTGATAATCCCGCCTTTCAAACCCTGTGCGACTCGGTCTTTCTTTCCTAGACCCTTGGCTGCCTCGGACATGGCGACGCCGCCAAATGAATGTGCGAGCACGATGACGTCCTTTCCAGCGTCCAGTTTGCTCATAATCACTTGTCGCACAGCTTGCGCGTCTTCATTCCAGGTGGCCAGTGGTGGATTGGAGTCTACCGAAGGCAAGGTCACGGCCTCTGCATCGTAGTTGACCTTTGCGAGCTCCTCGATGAGGTGCTGGTAGTGCGCAGGACGGTGCCATGCGCCGGGCACAATGACGATTGAGGGATTGGCCATCGTAGAGTTCTAGTCAAACAAAAAAGGAATAGATCGTGCTAATTTGGGATTGAGATAACATGAGATGAAGCCTTTAAATATTTAGAACATTTGATACCCAAGTAGATATGGTCCCCACATCGGAGCCGCCTAAAAGTGGGTCTCTTGGTCGGAGCCGCCCCCGAGCATTCAACGGTCACATACTACTATTAGCATGTAGTATAGAGTGGTAGATGAGACCTGCAGTTCCATCTTAAGCACCCCGGAGTGTTTTGGAGGCTTGATGTCTTGTCTACGCAAAGCTTATGTGAGCTACTATCGGTGTGAGAGAATCAGACACAAGATCTTTGGATATTAGAGCACATTCATTCTTCAGGGATTACTATGTAAGATTATGGTAGCCCTGATGAGACGTTCCAATACTCTCCAGAGTTGTATTTTGGTATCCTCAACAGAATATCTCCCAGCTATGTGACAAATTGCTTCCTTCACGCTTCAGGTATCATCTGATATTATCTCCGTTTAGACAGTCATGAGAATATAACGATAAGAATAGACAATCTGGGTAGAATACGCATCTTCAGCTACAGCCATCACCACCCCTCATGTATTCCGTAGGACTCGTCAAGTGGCAATGAGAGCCACGACTTCAGGAACGTCCACGAGAAAGCCCGGTTTGATGTGTGGTGCAGACCTACATGGACCTCATAACAAACATGGTAATGTTATGGTCCCTGTGGTAGGTGAAGCAGCATGTGCTACGGGACCCTCTGCCTGCGCTGTCTCATGGGGGCTACGGAGAGATGGTGGCTGAGAGGGATAGGGAGAAGAGAAGAAGAGAAGAAGAGTTGGGGGGGGAGGGCCCTTTTATACCCCCAACCCACCTGTCTTCCTAAAGTGCGACAGTTCCCTCGCACTTTCCTTAATCCCAAATAGACGATGCAATTGACATGGCCACGTTGTCTTTGTAAAAGTCGGAAAGTCATCTACGGGTCCAGTTCTTTGTTCGATATATATTTGCGTCACCCTCGGATTGCTTTCCTTAACTGCTTTCTTTGATTCCATTTTTTTAAATTTTATTTGATAGTTTATACAGAATAAACTGTGGTTGCTTCCGGAGGGCCTTTGTATTTAATTTTGTTCACTCGGAGGGGGACAAATTAGTTTATCATCCCAACAACGCGGCAAAGATTCCCTCCCCATTGCTTTCAAGCAGCGCAAACTTTCACTCTTTTACCTCCCCTTCATCTACATCCCCTTTTATCCTCGTCATATTCTATCATTGTCAACTCTTCTACGTCTTTATCCATCCTGATTCCCCCGCTATCCTGTCTCTGCTTCGTCCAATCACAGCGATGCCACTGGATCAAGTCCGCGTTTCTACGCGGCACACGCTTAACTGCGCCAATGAGGCCACAGTCGCCGCGCTCGAGTCCCCTTTTAGTCTAGGACCGATGGACCATATCGTGCCAGCTATGTTGACGATCGAAGGCATCTTCGTATACAGAAAACCAGCAAAATTTGTAGGCGACAATTTTCTTACGATTGAGCGCTTGAAGGTGGCTGCATCGCACCTCCTGGACTATTACCCGCATTTGACTGGCCGTCTGCAGCAGAATCCAGTCAGCCAGGCTCTAGAGATTGGTAGCCTGGGCGCTGGCGCTGAGCTTTGGGAAGCGCAGTGCCCCAGGAGGCTCTCGAGTATTGCAGTTTCTGCTTTTTCAGCCCGTATCTTGGTAACTTTTCTGCCAGATTCTGGGAATGCAGTTCTTCCAATTTTTCATTCAACAATGGGCGCTGTCTCCCACAATCCTATTTTCGCCATCCAGCACACTCGATTCGGCTGCGGAGGGGTTGCACTGGGTATTCGAGTTCACCATCAGGTCTGCGATGCCACTGGGTTTATGCAGCTTGTGCGTGATCTGGCTGAGATCTACAGACAATTGCGCGACTCTTCTCCGCCAACACTCATCTCTCCCCCTGAGATCTTCTCTTATTTTAGAGGAACGAACAGCCTATCCGCCAGCCAGAAGGAGAAAGCCCTTGCTTTCAAACCTGTGGACTATTGTCTGGACGAGAACGCCACGGACATATCTGAGGCAGACCCTCCCTCTGTCAGCAGTTATCCTCTGCGCTTCCAAGGTCAAGAGCTGATTACAATCAAGAATGCTGCAATCGACCCCAACGCCCAGGAACCGACCTCGTTCACAAGGTTCGAGCTCATCTCAGCCTATCTCTACCAACGCATTTATCAAGCAAGACTTCAGGTTTTGCGTAACAAGGGACTCACACCAGATGCCAAATCGCTTGAGCCACTTCGCAGCTTTTGGACAACCATGGACATGCGCGACTCCACTCGTCTGAAGCTTCCCGCACGCTACTTTCCGAATGCCGTCTACTGCCCCTCGGCTTCCGCCTCCCATGAACTACTCGAAAAAGGCGCACTCTGGGAGGTTGCACAGCTTATTCATGATACAATTCACTCGGTTGATATGAACCAAGTCAAGCAGCAGTTTGAATGGGTTGCCGCACAGCCCAACAAACGTCACATCAGGTTCAAAGAGAAAGTCCCACGTGGTTGCCTCGTTGCTACACAGTGGAGTAGGGGCAAGACATACGCTGGAGTTGATTTTGATGTTACTGTCGATGCCAAGCGCATTGCCCCTTCTCTGGTGTCGCCGGCGTTCAGTGAAGGTTATCGGGTTAACGGTTTGGCAATCATCATGTCTACCGAGGAGGAGCTGCCTCGAGGCCAGCGTACCAGACGCTCTTCAGCTCCGGATAATCTTCTGCGCGCCGTCGATGTGCAATTGACTCTGGATGGACCAGTGTGGGATGTTCTTAACACTGACTCCAATTTCGTAGCTCTCCACTCATAATCCTCAGTTCCCACTAACCTGGCTTTGACGGTAAAGGTACAAGCCATGCTAATCTTTTAAGAGGGTTGATTTTTGGGTATTACCAGGATATGTTATTTTAAAAGAGATGAACAGGCTCCCTAAATCAAAACACAAAGCTACAACTTACAGAATGAACATAAATTCCTAGTAGTATTGACCTTTTGCTCGTTGTAGGAATGACGTCATATAGCTTCTGTAAAACAGCCTATGATTGGCTTATATTTGACGTCACGTGGGATCAACGGTCGAGGGTCCACCCGTCCCACGCGGCCCAGAACCACCTAGGTACCATGGTCTTCAGTTGTTTTGGGATTACTCCTCTTCATATACTGCTTTCTGTTTGAAATTATTGGATCCTTCACAGGGTTTTGGAAATACCTAAGTCAAATCGGTCTTCTTGACGAAATTCTATATCGGATAGATCTCCCGTGTGTGATGTCATTGGGCTGCAACGATGGAAGAACCACCGCGCCGGCCTTCTACGCTTGAACGCAACCAATTTACTCAGGACGGGACAAAAGTCAAGGGTAAGAGCGGTCTTATATCTCTGTCTTGTTTGCGAGAATATCTTGCTAATTTCGCGAAGATGATGGTCGAATTGATATCGATCTCGACTCCAAAGTGGGCAGGGAAGTGTCAAAGTTGATACCATTTCTACATGCGGAGCATTTACAACCACAGCCAGAGCCGTCGGGTGATTTTGAATGTGGCCTTGAACTCAACATCGTTATCCAAGTTGTTGGCAGCCGAGGCGACGTCCAGCCCTTTGTCGCACTAGGCAACGAGCTTCAGCGCCATGGACATCGCGTACGACTAGCGACACATGGTGTGTTTGAGAGCTTCGTGCGCGACTCTGGTCTAGAATTTTATTCTATCGGGGGAGATCCCTCGGAGCTGATGGCATACATGGTGAAGAACCCAGGCTTGATACCACAGATGAAATCCATTCAAGAGGGTGACATTCAACGCAAGCGTGTCATGGTAGGCGAAATTCTCCAGGGATGCTGGCGGTCCTGTATTGAGGATGACTCCGTTACGAAAACGCCCTTTGTCGCCGATGCTATTATTGCGAACCCTCCAAGCTTCGCTCATATCCACTGCGCTCAGGCACTTGGCATCCCTCTACATATGATGTTTACCATGCCGTGGACCAGTACGAGATCATTTCCACATCCCTTGGCAAATTTGAAATATTCAACCACAGAGCCGAAGATGGCGAATTATCTTTCTTACGGGATTGTCGAATGGCTGACATGGCAAGGGTAACAACCAGATACATCCCTGCTATACTTGATGCAATAGGCTGACCTCAAACAGCTTGGGCGATGTTATCAATGATTGGAGAAAATCCATCGACCTAGAAGCTATATCGCTCACCGAAGGTCCCCGTTTAGCAGAGACTTTGAAGATACCATTCACATATTGCTGGTCACCTACATTGATGCCTAAACCAACAGACTGGCCGGCACATATCGATGTCTGTGGCTTCTTCTTCCGCGCTCCTCCGGACTTCACACCACCTGCAGACCTTGCTGCGTTTCTCCAAAGCGGGCCTCCGCCGGTGTATATTGGATTTGGCAGCATCGTCATTGAAGATCCCCTAGCCATGACTGCCACACTCGTCAAGGCAGTCAGGTCCTGGGGTGGCCGTGCAATTATATCCCGTGGCTGGAGTAAGCTCGGCGAAGAAGAATCGGACGATCAGATCTTTTACCTTGAGGACTGTCCGCACGAATGGCTGTTCCAGAAGGTCGCTGCAGTTGTACATCATGGAGGAGCAGGGACTACAGCATGTGGTTTACGATTTGGAAGACCCTCGCTTATTGTACCATTCTTTGGAGAGTATGTCATTCCTGCAGGCTTTTCCTATCTCTTTGCTAACTTATCCCAGTCAGCTATTTTGGGGAAACATGGTCGCGTCCCGTGGGGTTGGACCAATTCCCATTCCACACCGGACTTTGAACGCGGAAAATCTAGCGGAAGCTATCCGTTTCTGCCTGCATCCTGATACCCTAACAGCAGCTGGTGATCTTGCTCGTGAAATGACCGAGGAAGCTGGAGTCTCTGCGGCTGTTGCATCTTTCCATCGCAACTTACCGATCGATAAAATGAAATGCCAGTTTCTTGATTCCGAGCCGGCTGTTTGGCAGTTAAAACAGAACGGAAAGACCCCTATAAATTTGTCGAAAATGGCAGCGGGGATCTTGCTTGAGAATTCTCGCATTGATACAAGGGACTTGAAAGCGTGAGACCATATATCCAACCATCCTATTCAATATACCTATACTAATACACATTTCGAACTAGATACGAGACAAAAACTATATTCATTATGACCCGGCGATGGGATCCTATCACGGGCGGCACATCGTCTGTGCTAGGCATGTATAAGGATATCCTCACAGCATCAAGCGACGTCGTTATTAGGCCCTACAAAGAGATCACTCGTGCCCATCAGCAGAGCCAGCCAGAGCTTGTAGTTATCGAGCCTACAAATCAATCCGAGCGAAGCCCATCCGAAGGTATCTCACGTACTCCCGGAACCAACCAGACAGATGAAGACTGGATAGTTGCGGGAAAGGCAATTGGGGGTTCCGCCAAAAGCGTGGGGAGGATCATAGCCTACTACTACAAGGGCGTTTTGGTAGACATACCTGGAGCGGTGAATGAAGGCCTGAGGGCTGTTCCCAGGCTCTATGGCGAGGAGGTGAAAGACTACGACAATATCCGGGACTTTAAGTCTGGAGTTGCTGCGGCCTCAGATAACTTTCGGAATGGGTTCACAACTGGATTCGCTGATATCTTCCGACAGCCCTACGAAGGTGCCCAGAAAGATGGTTTCATGGGTGCAATCAGAGGATTTGTTCAAGGCCCGATTGGAATGGGCACGAAAGCTGCATCAGGTTTGTGATGCACATTTACACCACTAGCGGGATTATGCTAATGAGTCATCTCTAGGTGCTTTGGGCTTAATAGCCTATCCGGGACAGGGCTTAGCCAAAAGCTTGCATTCGGCTATGCATTCCAAGACTCGGAATCAACTTCTGAAAGCGCGATTAACAGAGTCTGAATATTTGGCCAGACAATCAGGCAAGGCCCAATCGAGCTGCCCTGATGTTATCGAGGCATTTGAAGATCAACAACGGCAGCCTAGAAATAGTGCCAGCTCAACGAATCCGAACCGAGCAGGTTCCCAGAGGTGAACATAGCAGGGATTTAGCAATATCATGAGTTTCAAGAATACTATAGATCAAAGTCGCACAATCAGCTTCGTTTTCAGCCCCGCATAGTTCGGTCTCTGCGATAGGCTGCGCGCCCAACTCCGATAACGCTTTGCTATACCACCCGTGGACGCCCACTTTTCTTGTTTTCGCATTGCACTTGTATTCACATTTGCATATCCCTGGAGTTCGAATCGCATCGTAAACTACGGACATCTAGGCATCATGTCATCCAACTCCAACGAAAAATGCTTCCCTCGCCCAGCAGCGGGGTATACCCAATCATTTTGGCGGACACAACCAGATCCACTCGACAACCACCAAACTACAACAGAACTACCAAAAGAAGCCGATATCCTAATTATCGGCGGCGGCTATGTCGGAGCCTCGGCTGCTTATCGCTTGCTTGCAGAGAACCCGCAAAATCCAGCTCCTCGCGTGGTGTTGGTTGAGGCTCGGGAACTTTGCTCCGGTGCCACCGGGCGCAATGGTAAGACCCACACATAACGCATAGTATGAGTTATGTATATAAGTCCAGCTCACTCAATTTTTGCATAGGCGGCCATTTGAGACCAGATATCTATTCAGCAACGGCCTTGTTCACCGAACGCTATGGCATCGAAGCAGCAGCAGAGATCGTGCGGTTCGAAATCTCGCACTTGAAGATTATGGAAGAGCTGGTCCGTAAAGAGAACATTGATTGCGAACTCACTTTTACCCGCTCTTATGATATGTATCTTGATGAAGACCAGCTTAAGAAGGCGAAAGCCTTCTACGACTTTCTGGTTGACCAAGGACTGGACTTTATGAATGATGTTAAATACTTGTCTCAAGCAGAGACCCAGGATGTAAGTCGATATGGGCTTTCAGGCTACCATTTCCGCTCTCATTATTTCTGACGATATCTGCGTTAAGATAGCGCATGTCCGAGATGCCAAGGGAGGCTTCAGTTTCCCAACAGGCCATCTTTGGCCTTACAAACTCGTTTCCCATCTTATTCGCATCGCCGTTTCTCACGGCCTGAACTTGCAGACCAATACACCGGTATCTGAAATCGGAGAGACGCCAAACGCAGATGGATCCTGGCCGGTAACTACCAGTCGTGGCGTCATTAACGCCCGCAAGATTATCCTCGCGACCAACGCGTTTACCAGCGCCTTAGCCCCGGAGTATTCCAAAGCTATCATTCCCTGCAAGGGGATCTGCAGCCAGATCGCTGCGGCACCTGGTGCGCCTCACCAGGAATTGCCTGGTACGTATTGTATCCGAATCGGTCCGGAGGGATATATTTATCAGATTTCCCGGAATGACGGGTCGCTCATTGTCGGCGGGGCGTCGCATCTTTTCAAAGATGATCGCGAGGAGTGGTATAACAACCCCGATGATGGGAAGTTGATTAAGGTTGCGGCGGATTACTTTGATGGGTACATGCAACGCACGTTCCTTGGGTGGGAGGATAGTAGGGCGGAGATCAAACATATCTGGGCTGGTGGTATGTGCGATTCTTTTATATACGATGGCTTATTTTCTTTCTACTAACCTTCATCTCACTTATAGTCATGGGGTACAGTGCAGACTCGTTGCCTCATGTTGGCAGTATTCCCGGTAAACCGGGTCAGTTTATCGCGGCGGGATTCAATGGCCATGGTATGCCTGTGGCATTCTTGTCCGGTAGGGCTGTTGCGGATATGGCCCAGAGCTCGGTCACGTTTGAGGATACTGGTCTACCCAGATTGTACAAGACATCACTTGCTAGACTGGAGCCAGTTTTTGATGACATCCTAGGTTAGGTTTGTTTGGCTAGTTCATTCTGTTTCTCTGCTATTCTTTCAACTACGCTCTGTCAATAGTTCCATTTGATGGTAGCTTTCCGTTGTTTCAATTGAAATTTATGATAATAAACTAACTTGCAGGATATATGATAGAGATCTACTTCTAGGTGAACTCGTCTGAGAAAGACAAGAAGGGAGATTCTGGTGAAGTGGTAATGGACAGAGAGAAGAGGATAGAAGAGGAGGAACGGAACTAGCTACTCTAACTAGTAGTGGGATCTGCACCCACCGGGTGACGACCCAACAATAGAGCCTGCCACCCAAGGCTATGACAATAGCATGGTTATAGAAAAAAAAAAGGCCACAACACCCTACGTTGAATAAGAGATCGTCCAGGGAAACTTCATGCGCAATCCTACCTGTAAAGTATATCGGGAGCTTAAGCGCTTCTTGCACCCAAGTCAAGACATGATACAGCATCCAGAGTCGGCGGAATACAGATTCACGGCCTCCAAGTACCTGCCAAATGGCTTGTTGAAAGCGAACTTGAGCTCCCGACATGCCCTAGAGGGTGAGTTACAAAAGAAGCTTTCCTAGACGATCCCACATTGAATGTAGAGGGGGCTTGAAGGATCTCCTTTGCGCGGATATGTGTTATGGCCGTTTATTCTAGCTGTATATCAAGGTAGAGTTAGTATGAGTTGCCCACTGCCACGCGGAGATATATTGCGAAATCTGCTCACTTTGGGAGGCAAAGAAGAGACTCATGCCCTATGCTGAGAGCCCATCAGACTGTTGACAATCTATCTGTCGGTAGGAGCGACGGTGAATCTCAATCTCCCCCTCAAATGCTCAGTGAAAGGAGCAGAGAATGATTTCGATCTCAAAATGGTTCTTTCAAGTGCAAAAGACCGTGCAGCTTCATTTTTGGGCACTTTATGACCCCGTTCTTGGTTTTGTCATGATAGGCAACGTTCCCATGCCTGATTCGTTGACCGGTGCAGGAAAAATATAGATAATTACATATATCACAAAAAAAAAGGATTTTCTCTGGCGTGTCTCCTGTATCATGATTTTCTCCAATCCTTTGTACCGAGATCCCTTCTTGGCCTCGGTGATGCTGAAGATGTTGCTTCCTTGCTTGCGAAGTGCTAGGAGACTGATGAAAAGAATACCTCCTCGGGTAAATCACCGCCCATTAGCCGTACTTGTTCGTTGCTTCAATATGCTTTGTTTGGCGGTCGTAGTGCAGAAGGCATTGTAGCGGAATACTTTGGATGGCTGCTGTGGTTTGACGACCTTTCGCCATCGAATCAAGGTCGCTGACGACAACGCCAATGAGGGAGGAAAGTTGTAGGGCGATCAGTGGAGGCAACAGGCCCAGCCATAGGAGGGTGGCTACTGTTGACGCCACTTGTTGTGAAGTGAAGAAGGATCGACATCACTTGTGCGTGGTTTTCGAGGAAGGAGCTGACCGTCGAAAATAAAGCAAAGGTCGCAAAAAGAGTAACGGATGGAAGTTCGATGGGAAGAGGTCTCATGGTCGAGGTAAAGAAGTCTCGTATACGGAGGAGGAGAAGGCAGACCTCCGGGGAGGGCTCCTGATTACCCCGTTCAGCGCCTCGCTAGCGCAGATCAAAATGCCGGCCCCATCATATGCATCCCCAACAGCCCGATAATTGAGGGGCACACTGTTCAGCATTCTTATCAGATTTGCATCCATCAAGGACTCTAGCATTTGGTAGACTCACCAGGCTAACCGTTTGGGCCGTCATTCAGCGAATAGCAAGATGTGCCAGCTAACCTCATCGACAAGATAATGATATATGTAATTATAGAGGCGGAAAATATTGGAAAGAGAACTCTGGATTTTTGTCTGGTGATGGACAAGAGCAGAAGATGAGAAGGTGAGAAGAGGAGAAGAGGAGATGAGGAGGTGAGGAGAAGAGGGTGTAGGTGCCGTCAGAAACAAAGGAGCTTGTCTGGCCTCAGGCCACCAGCTTCATTTCTGGCTCTCTGCATGATTACAAAGAAACGATATCAGGGCTGCATTGACGCCATTCAAACCAGCAAGAAGCCCCTATTTATTGGTGGATGGTGATATGAATAGATGTCCCTCGTTGGGTCGGAGTATATGAATATGGAGATGTATCAATTATTCGAGCTTTTCAATTCCTGAATCACGATAGAATCATAGTAAGGGCAGGTTGGCGTTTGCTATGGAGGAGGAAAAATCACTCTGACTCTTAATGCAGTCAATTTCAGAATAGACTGGCCTGAATTACAATGTCTCATATAGATGTTAATTGCCACAGGAAGCCTGGCAGTCCAATTTGAAGGTTCGTTGGAGCCAATAACAAGTGAGTTAGAGATACTAAGTAGTATACTATGGATAATATTAGGCGGGGATATGCCGCATGCTACAAGAAGGCGGAAATTTCCGGGGATAGACACGGGTCAATACATGGCCTTTGCTTGTATATGATGCGAGTACAGACAAAGAAAAAGCAGTACTTGGATTCAATTTCATTGCAAATTAGTTACTCTTCCCTTTCCCTTTACTCATCTCAATCATCACTACCTACACCTATCTTCAACCCGCAGGTTAAGCGCTACAGTTATAACGGTAATAATAATCACCCATGCTATACAACTATCTTCTACCTTCAAAAAGGAACAACTGGATATCTCGGCCCCTTTTACAACACTCATTCTCGGACGACAACGATGTCTCAGGCAATACACGATGAGGAGGCAGTTCTGAGGTTGAAGGAATTGTCAGCGTGGGCATTCTCATGCATACAAATGGAGATGGAGATGGAGAATCTTTTCAGATGCGTCGACGACGATCGCCACGCGAAAGCACACCCATTTTTGTCTCAAGTCGGCTTGAACCGTATTCACGTGAGTGGATACCCTAATGGAGTAGGACGCGCCTGAAGGTTAACAAATTCCAGGGATTTCGCTACAAGATATGTCGAGTTACCGGGAGAATCGCCCTTCAGAAGTCCCCTCGCTACCGGGCCCTATTCTTCCCTCTGTCGATTGGAGCAGGGAGTCGCAGTATAGGGTCAGGGGGACTGGTGGCGAATTTTGGAGTGCTTAAGCCGGGACATTGGGCTGAAATAAGGAATTTCTTGGTTGTCGATGCTCTTATGGATTGCCTCATTGTCCTTTTACCGGAATCGACGTTCCCTGTGGAGATACAAGGCCAAAGCCGGATGATCGAGAACACTCTTCGATACTAGATTGAATTCAATTCAAGTATGTCGAAAATCCCAAACAAGTACCTCTCCAATGTTGATGCTCTTGGCGGATTCGGTAATTTTTCAATACAGCTCAAAACACTTTATGGTGGACAATTTCCAAGATTATGCTTGGAGTCTATGCAGTGTGTGGTATTGATACCGGTAATTAATACATTCCAAAATCAGAGTTTGAAAATTACACGTGCAAAGAAAGGTTCCACGCACTTTATTCCCACCTTCAAGGTCCGACAGGATCAAAAAGGGCTATGGAAGATCGGAATAATTTCCGCGAGTTGCCCACCGAACCCTACGGCATTTTCTGGCAAGAAGACTTTGTCAATGCCGAGCACGAGCAACGACTCATCTCGTTGTTTGCCAACGAGCTAGAATGGCCCGACCGCCCTGGCCGGATATCACTCCACTACGGCTACACCTTCGACTATAAAACTTTCGGGATAGACCCGGAGATTCCATACAAGGAATTCCCAGAGTGGCTCAAACCTCTCATCCCAAAAACTGAGGAGCGACCTCCAGACCAGGTCTGTCTGCAGTACTATCCTCCAGGCGCGGGCATCCCGCCCCATGTAGATGCACACGGACCGTATGACCAGCTCTACGCATTATCTCTTGGTGCACCGGCGATGATGATATTCCGCCGGGGCGAGGAACGCATCGAGGTCGACTTGACCCCGCGGAGCATGATGCAGATGAGCGGCGACTCGAGGCTACATTGGACGCATGGTATTAGGAAGCGAAAAAATGATCCCCTCCCGGATGGGACGATGAGGCCGCGCGGGAAACGGTGGAGTATCACTTATCGGTGGCTCAGGGATGGGGAATGTGAATGTGGGAATCTGGAACTGTGTGACACGGCTCAGCGACGGAATGGGATTGAAAAAGAGAAGAGATCTTTAAAAGCATTGGCGGAGCAGGCTGCGCTCGAGGAACAGGTTGTATAGATCGAGTCAGGGGGCTTGATGGCTTGGCTTGTATATTGTGTTAATATATTAGAGCGAAAATAGGCGTCGAAGCTGAGGGAGAGCATGGACGGCGTCCGAGACGTTGTCAAAATCTCAGCATCTCGCGTTGGTGCTTGGGGCCATACAATTTTGATGCAACCCAGGACTGAAAAGAAGCGATGGTTAACTGGCTTCTCCATCCAGCTATCGTCAAATCTCATAATTGTCGGAGCAAACCTGTGACTTCAGATGTCGTGATGCTTTTCTTGATTTGGGTCACTGACAATCGCCTAGCTTCGCTGGTCAGCTTAACAAGACCGTGGAAATGGGTTGCCGTTGCCATGACTACTCTGGTGACCAGTGTGCTTACAATTAAATCAAACCTACGCGTCTTCGGCTACGAAGATTTACACCCCTCATGTATTCCGTAGGACTCGTCAAGTGGCAATGAGAGCCACGACTTCAGGAACATCCACGAGAAAGCTCGGTTTGATGTGTGGTGCTGACCTACATGGACTTCCACAACATTGTAATGTTGATGTCCTCGTGGTAGGTGAAGCAGCATGTGCTACGGGACCCTCTGCCTACGCTGTCTCGTGGGGGCTACGGTGAGATGGTGGTCAGAGAGATGGGAAGAAGAGAAGAAGAAGAGAAGAAGAGTTGGGGGGAGGGGTCCTTTTATACCCCAAACCCACGTGCCTTCCCAGAATGAACACCCTCCAACGCACCTTAATAGTCCCATGTCACATGATATTTTGAAAGTCCTAAGTTTGAACAACAAAGATGATCAATTTGTAAAATTCACGGCAAGCTAGAATATCTGTTGTGGGATCCAGCCCCTCTGAATATTCCTCGCTATTCGAGTCATGGGTGACATGCATACATATTTGGACTCGGATGTAGATCACCACAGCATCCAGGGGACCAGACGTTCGAAATCCGAGGCACCTCCGTTCACAACAACGTAGTCTCCATCCAACTTCATGAACTCTCCTCGTATATCGATCGCCTTCTCAAGATAAAATGTACTTTCCTCGGGTTTTCCAAGGTCTGCCAGAACTTGCGATATCTTGTAGCTTGCCCGTGCGAGATGTCCTAGGCCCTCGGCGTGGGGAAGGGCTTCAGATATCATGATACACTCTTGAAGTAGTTGTCTGAGGAAATATGTCAGCATTTATAGTCATTTGCTGTGTATTGGCTTGTACTTACTGAGCAAGCTCCAACTCGCCTATTTTGTGCCGAAGAACCGACACTTGATAAAGCGAGTCACAGACTTTGAGCCGCTCCTTGGAGCATTCCCTTCGGAAATCTAAGGCCTTGCATGCAAACTTGAGTGCCTCGTCATGAAGCCCTTGGGCGTTCCTTATCCTGCTCAGTAATACCATATCTCTGCATGATGTTAGTCATATATTTCGGGCCTTCACAGGAGAACTTACCCGGAGAACCTAGGATTCCCGGTTTGGAGAAATGTCTCATCTGAAAAGTCCTTCAATGATGGGCAGCTCTTCAGTATAGCTTCGGCATCGTCGGGCTTTCCCATTCTCAACAGTAAACTGGCCAAGTTACTGTAAGAGTTACCAATCCTGTCACTGTTGTGCATGAGCCGGATATCGATTGACTGTTGGAGATAGCCGAGAGCCTTTTCAAACTCGCCAATCTCAGTGAGAGCAAGTCCTAAATTGACCTGGCTGGCAGCCAGAAACAAGTCATCGCTCGGAAGAATTGATGTGCGTAGTGCGTATGCTTTTTCGAAGGCCTCCAGCGCGGCCGATGGATGGCAAATGTCAACATCGATTAAACCTCCAAGATCCACTGCACTGGCATACGCAAGAGAATCTTTGTCCACAAATTTCTGCAGAGCGATGTCGACATACGAACGAGCGAGACTGTAATTCTCCGTCTCATACAGATACCTGTCTTTGGTTAGAGAATTAATGTTTGAGATTATAATATTGAAACATACCAGGAACAGCGGAGCAGAAGTTCCGCAAACGGTTGATTCTCCCCTTCAAAGATCTTGAACTCAGTCCCTTTGCTCACAATGCTCTCAATGTGGGTCAGGTTCTTCTTGCAATCGTTCCAGGATGCAATCTGGTGACCGATATCTGCGCTGTATGTATCTGGGAAGTTTGCGGAAACGATGGCTATAGCGAGCAAAAAGGTTTTGTCTCGCTCTTCGTCGCTCATTCGACGGATGACGACACGCTGAACAACCCGATGCATGGAAATAACTCCACTTTCGCTGGACTTGTCTATGAGAGACCTTTGGAGGAGGTCTCTCTGGGCATCTAAAAAGCTAACGGTAAGGTTAGTAGTGTTATCCATGAGGATTCCACGTACATACTCTATCTCATCCATCATGAACCTCACGGCTGCGTCATTTGCTAGAACCGTGCCGTTTCTCAGATCTGTCTCATTTATACCATTGAGGTCTAGGAATGATAGAATCATGATCAGGACCTTAGCATTCCGGGAAAGGCCGCTCAGCGCCATTTCCCACACACTTGCAAGTGTTTGACTGCAATCCATACTTTCTGGACGCTCAGCATCGACAGTAGTTGAATTTCGGTCGTAGAAGCCGAGAAAACTCTTCAGGGACATTTGCCGTTGGGCGATAAATCCGCCAATCTGGCTCAGCGCCAGAGGCAGACCTCCAAGCTCTGAAGTGATTAGCTTAGCTTCGGCTTGATAAGATGTAGACTCCGAGTCCAATCCGAGTAGGTGGAGCAATGCGGCGGTCCCATTATCCGTATCGAAAGCGTGTACTTGACATCCCGACGAGGCGGGATACAAGGCCGCACTTGAGTCTCGACTGGTAACTAGGACGGACCCTCCATATCCTGCCGGCCAAGCATGCTTGATCAAGCTCAAGTCATTAAGGTTGTCGTATATAAGGAGCCAGCTGGTCTCTATATTTTTGTTCGTTAGTTTTCAATATTTTGGCCCATCAGGGCTGGGTGTCCGTAGCTTACTTGCGGATGATAGCCAGTCCTTGACTTTGAGAATGGTGGCATGGTCGTCCAGCTCTGTGTCTAGTTCAATCAAACCGAGTACCTTTGAAATATTTCGAAAGCTTTGCCCAATTGTTATCGAATTCTGGGCTGAAATCCAGAAAATATTATCGAACTTTTCACGCGATGCGTTGGCGTACTTCAATGCGATCTGTGTCTTTCCGACTCCTCCCATGCCATATAACGCGAAGGATCGAAGTGAGCGGGCAGAGGGTTGCACAAATAGCGCTTCATCTATTTGGCAAAGAATATCATCTCTACCATAGAAATGGGAGCATTCCACGAAAGGAAGATGGTGGGAAACTTGATCGCCATTTTTCGGAAACTGGGATTTGAACCTCGCCATGAAATCGAGGACCACATGGTATTTCTGGTTATCGAGTCGCATTCTACTGAGCTCAATCTCGCGCTCGATATTGTTAGATAGGCGCTTAACTCGTTGGATCGTTCGTTGAAAATCGCCCTGGAGGGTGGGCCATGAGCTGCGCATCATAAACGCTGGCTCAAATTAGTACGAAGACCGGATTGAGTCTGAGAACGCAATACTTACGTTGTCTGAAATTCCGAAAGAAACGGATAGTGCGGGCATAGAAACAGATAAACTCTTGGTAAAGACTCAACAGTGCCGTCTCCATATCCGTGGTCATTGAGACAGTGATTTTGCAGGACTCCAGATGTGGTATTGTCAAGGCCAGCTCTTCAATCATATCGAAGACTTCTTGCAAAATTTTGTCTGTGGTAGATGCCAGCTGCACACTAGTCAGCCTCAAATAAGAGTGTGTAGGCTCTCATGAAGGAAGCCCACCGTGACAATCATTCGTATACTGCCCCATACTAGCGCTGTTTGCGCCGACTCCGCGCCGCATGACTTTCTTAGTATCTCTAAGAAATCATTCAACAGTTTGAATGTTGGCTCCAGTCGATCCATAGTGCAGGGCAGTGGCCTTTCCGACGAGTTAACTGGCCGTAGAATGGGGATATCCGCAAGAAGCTCCTCGAGGCTGCTAGTCTTGAGTATCTTGACCAATTCCTTATCACCGGCAAGATCTTGATGATAGTTCTTCAGAGCCCTCTCCCACAGAAGGGAACGCTTCACTTGTAGGGTCTCTCCCCCCATATTGAGAATGTATAATTGATCAAATATCTCTGCGAAGAGACTTTGAAGGAAAGAGTCAAATCAACCTGGTCTTTATCTTCTTTATCTATCTGACTTAGTCTAGGCGGGGTAATGTGGAGACAACAGTCATAACCCCTGTGGACCCTAAATGGGAACCTTGGTCTTTGTTATGGTCCAGTGGCAATATGCGCTGTACTATTTGCAATGTCTACCGCATGAAACGTCAGAGATAATTGATAACTTGAGATATGATTCGCCTCCTATAAAGCAAACATTTTGCATTATTATTAAGGCAAGAGAAGTGGCCAAAGAGATTTTTGATCAAGGTGATATGCGGGACTCGCAGATATACTTGCATCTATGACCCCTGGCGTTGACGTACAAGCTCAGTAGTCAAATTCAACGATAACTTTGTTATGCCAAAGCAAAAATAACTACCACGCCGATATATTCTGAAACTATCCTTTTACCAAACGTTCGAAACGAGGGAGTGGGGGCTACTATCTCATGCGTGTCACGGTGTGCCACGTCACTCTCCGATCGTACTGTTAGCCTCACTTTGGTTAACAAACCATTTCAAATCTGATTCTCTAAACATGCGCATTAGCATAGAATTTCCTAGAGGACTGGGACGTCTTGGTGATTTATGTGGACTGGTAGTGCAAATAAACTTACCAGACGCAACTTTATCTAAGTAATAGCATCAAATAGAATGTATAAGGCACGAGATTAATGAAGGTCGATCGACGGGAGGGTTAGCCAATCTCAGTTGAAAACATGTACTTTTCCTATTTTATGAAACGTCGTCTGGTCAGCAACTACCTCTTTGGGAGACTCCAAGGCCTTGACGTGGGCAATCACAAACTCTCAGCGCTGCTTCTTGCCTCACTTACCTCTCACCGACAATTCCCTAAACTCTGCTTCACTCCAACATCGTGAACTAACTTGGCCATGTTAGACTTTGATGATCTGGCGATTATCGGTGTAGTATTGGTTGTGGTTCTATCCTCATCGTATACTTCGTTTCACGGTCAAAGGCGCGAGCCTCCCTCGGTATCGAGTACGATTCCGCTTGTGGGCCATCTGATTGGCCTCATCCAACATGGCTCAGGATATCTTAGCATGTTGTGGTGAGTCATCGATCATATTATTTGTACAGTTTGAATTAACCCAACATATTCGACAGCGAAAAATATCGCGATCAACCAATATTCGGGGTTAATATATTTTCCTTCAGGCTCTTTTTGACTTCATCACCTGCCATCATGCGTGCTGCTCAAAAACACCCAACGGCCATTACGTTGGAACCGTTAGTGAAGTTCACACAGAAGCAGCTATGTCAAACTCCGCGCAATAAGCTGGTCCATTTATGTGATCAAAGCTATGGTTCGAGCATCCTTTCTAAAATTGTGCATGATACTGGACCCGTCCTTGCGGGGAGATCCCTTGACAGAATTAACAGGATAATGCTTCAGTACCTACTTCCCATCATTGATGACATGGGCAACTATGAGACTGTTGATTTGAATGCTTGGCTTCGGCATACCATTACTAGTGTCAGCACAAATGCAACATATGGAAATTCGAATCCATTCAAAAATTAGACACATTGAAGACACATTCTGGTGAGTTTATCCGACCTATAACTTGCTACAAAACCCTTCAAATACCCGGACAGGGAATTCGAACGTAATGTGGCCCTACTACTGGCCAACATTTTGCCATGGATACTTGCCCCTAAGACCTGGAAGGCACGCAAGACTTTGTGTGCTGCATTCAAAACTTATTTCGACCTTGGCAGTCATGAAGACGGCTCGGAGCTAGTAGCCATGCGATATAGGTCATTCCTGGGGGCTGGACTTACTCATGAAGAAATAGCATACGCGGAAATGCCCCTGATTGTAGGATTACTGGCAAATACCGTTCCTGCTGCATTCTGGGTTCACTTTGAGCTTTTCTCGAGACCACAATTGCTCGAAGAGATACGCGAAGAGGTAGAGCAGAACACCCTCAAGACCGCACCCGACGGTACGCATATCATTTATGTGCGGTACTTTCGCGATTGCCCACTTCTCCTCTCGGTGTACCAAGAAGTCCTCCGGACAAGGTCAACAATGGTGGCCGTCCGGTTCGTGACACAGGATGTTGTCCTCGCGGACAAATATTTTCTCCGTTCTGGAACCATGCTCTTCATGCCAGTGAAGGAATTGGGCCGAGATCAGAGCGCTTGGGGAAATTCGGCTGACGAGTTCAACGAACGAAGGTTCATGAGATCCACTACAACAACCGGGAATAATGGTGGCAAGAAAAAGGAGCCCCGGCGCACCGGCGCGTTTATGGCATTCGGTGTTTCTCCCTCAATCTGCCCAGGGCGCCACTTTGCCACTAGTGAGATCTTGGCACTAGTAGCCATGACTGCCTTACGATACGATGTTACTTCGGTCGATAGGCTCTGGAATGCGCCACCGAAAGTAAATTCGGCAACCATATCCAACATGTGTCCGGTTGAGGGAATGTTCCCCGTGACCGTGAAAAAGAGACAGAAGTATGATGGGAAGTCGTGGCAGTTCGAAGTTACTGAAGGTAAAGGGCAGTTCAATTTGGCTGTGGGTTAGATTTGGAAACAGACCTTAACTCACTAGATGGGAAGAGTGATGAGATGAATTCATAACGGTCCATCGGTATTAGTTAGCTCGCAGGATGAACGATGTGTACCTAAGTATACTGGGAAGGTTATATCAATACCAAACTTAGTCAAAAAAACGAATTGGGGACTTCTAAAAAAGTCGCGAGTTGGTTACATCGTCGCAGTTAGTGGTATATTACGTATCATGATGATTTTCAGTCGCTCGTCTTAGTCATTCTGGGATTTGATCGTATGTTTGATGTCGGTGCTTCAAGTTTGGGACTATTTTTTCAAGAAAATACTGCTTACAATCTGAGACTCTTAGATTAGAACGTTAATTTCGAGTCTTAATAAAGGATTCTTGCTGCAATAGTGCAGTAGACAGGTTCAAGGCCTGTCACAAGAGAGAATTGAATATACAGCATCCACCAATCTTTCTCACACCTTCCTTCGCTCCATCAAGTATTACTATACACCACCACTATTTACAGGAAAGCTGCAAGGAGACAACCGACAACAGCACCAGACACCAGTCCGCTGCCCATATTAATCGTAGCACCACCAGTGTAGACGGGGGTCGAGGAAGGAGTGCTAGAAGCAGTCTGTGTCAAGTTAGCTATAAGTTCATAGTTGAGTAGAAGAGAAACCAACCGAGCTTCCAGTGGGTGTGGCCGAAGGAATCAATGACGACGGGCGAGGAGAACCAGAAACACGCGGGGGGCTCACGGAAGTTGTCGCGATCGAAGTACTAGCAGAGGTGGTCGCCGCAGCAGTGCTCTCAGCGGAAGTGACACTCTCCGCAGTCTCAGTAGCGCTAGCACTGTCGGATGTAGTGGTCTCACTATCCGATGCAGTGGTTGCACTAGCCGATGTAGTGGTAGAAGATGCTTCGACCGGGGTAGCGTCCAATCCACAAGCAGTAGCGGCCTTTGACACGGAGGTTCCGTAGTATTGCCAAATGTCATACTCAAGGGCACATTCCAAGCAAGCGGCCAACTCGGTCGTGAATTCATCGGTATCACAGTACCCGTCAGTACGGCCATCGACAATCACGCCGCCTGATCCTGTTAGTCCGAGTCATGATTTGCATAGAGGATATGGAACATACCGCAGTTGGCGTGGCACTCATATGCTGGAGTGCCGGCCTCCTGACGCCGGTGCAGAGGGACAAATTCCGGGAAGTCGAATGCGCTGGCACTGATCACAGCGCAGGCAAGAGCAGCGAGGTTAACAAGACGCATGATGATATCAACGAGTGAAATGAGGTATGAAGTTTGTATTTGGAATTGTAGAGACAGAAGATGTATACCTCAAGTGACGGCAGTTCAGTGTCTACTTATTTACCTGCGGATGTCCCCCCAAGAACGATACGATGCTTGGCAGAATGGTCTTTTCGGAGCGAGAACTATCTAGTGGTACGTACGCTCGGAGAACCAAGAGCTATTCCGGCTGAGAATACCCGTTAGAGCAATGTCTCAAATGAACCCAGGCCATCCTGAGAGTATGTGTAAGCGAGCTCCGAAAATCAGCCAAATTAGCCGGAGAAGACCCACCCATCTTATCTGATTAATCTAATCAGATCCGGGTCGTAGGTATGATTTTTCCGCTAGACCTTTTATCCGGCGGGCTCCTCGAACTTCAATAAATTAATTTCTTATCATATGCAAGCCATCGAACCGTAAGTTGTATCTTGGCTTGTGGCTTTTGGCTTGTGACTCGGCCTGAATGGATCCATATCAGTGGTCCAACTCCGGTGAGAAGATTCCCGGACGTAACTTGCAGGAAACTATGGTTGCCAAGCACTTGGTACACTTGGCAATTTGTCAACCTCGTGGCAGCGGAGTCGGCCCAAGCCGATACTCATCTACTCTAGATTGTCATGCAGTCGAGGATGACTGGATGTTTATAAACGGCGATGTCTCGTGTTTCCGTGTTTCCCTTCAAGATTCTTTTCTACAAATATATTTCTGCTAGCATACCCTCTCGGTATAATGAAGAGCTACCTCGCACTACTCGCTTTCTCCGCGGTTGGGTTGTGTGCCCATGGCGACGCAGCGAGCAAAGAGATGGGCCCGGCTGCCTTCCTGTGGCCACCCGATCGTCTCTGGGGTGCAGCGTATGACAACAACGCCCCATGCGGCTCATCAACAGGACCCGTGAACCGAACGAACTTCCCACTTAGTAAGAGCCTCACTATCCACAAAAAGGGACATACTGACAAGACATTGTAGTCAACGGCAAGCTCGCACTTGTACTCCAAGACGAGTCATGGAAAATGCAGGTTGCTATCTCTCACAAGAGCAGTAAGCTAACTTCATCAATCCTATCTATCCAGACTGACCTTCCCTTAGACCCAAGTACCAATGATGACTTTGAGCCCTTCATTAATGGCTCTACTCTTAGCGACATTAAGCCGGGACACGAATGCTACTCCGTCCCCAACCCATCGATCGACATAGAAGAGGGAACGAACGCCACCTTCCAGATCAAATACACCTCGGATTTTGATACCGACAAAAACGAAACCTACTACGCGTGTGCAGACATCACATACGTCGCTGCGAGCAAATTCACCTACCAGGTCCCTTGCTTCAATGTGACAAGTGATGAGTTCACCGATGTGACTACTACCACGACCGCTGCATCTGGGTCTACTGCTACTGCGGCGTCGGGCACAACGAAGAACTCGGCTACCACGAGTGAAAAAAGCTCTGGTCTTTCAGGAGGAGCTATTGCGGGTATTGTCGTTGGCTCTGTGGCTGGATTGGTTATTGGAGTTGCCTTACTCTTCTTCTATAGAAGGCTTTTGCAGAAGTATCGCTTCTTCCGGCAAAAGGCTTCCACCCGGAATGTGGACTGGAATGATGACGCACCTCAAAATAAAGTCGACGATAATGTTCCGATTGGGCTACGCAAAATTCGGTGATTTGGGATGGGGCTGTCTTCTAAATAATAGGTGCGAGAGGGGAAGTGTGCGGCTGTTCATGTGTTAGTCCCAGTAATGATTAACGTTCTTATGTTTATATGGCTTTCAAAGTTCTATATCTAATCATACTTGGTTCAGCTTGTTATATTTCCTATTCGTACATGATGCCAAAAATCAACGATGGATGCGTGTTGTATAGTATTCGTGTTGTATAGTATTTCATCCTGCTAAGCCAAAGCCGAGGTTAATTCTTCAAATTGATCAATTCAATGTACAACCAACTCGTCTATCTGGATAGTCCTCTCAGCTGAATCTAGTGAATGTCTGAAAGCGAACCAACCAAAAGCAACCACGCCCGAAGACCACATACCATAGATTATTCTAATCTGATCCGGGTTTTTTTTCCTCTACACCTTTTATTCGCGGTCCTCTGGCTTCAATAAATTAATTTCTTATCATCAGTAAGCCATTGAACCATAATTTGTATCTTGGCTTGTGACTCATGACAGTAGCCCAACCTCGGTGAGATAATAAATAAACAAACTATTCGACTAGCAAACCTAGCTATAACGGACCAACCGATGTAAGCGAGATATTCGCCCTCTGTGGCCTCAATCTCGTTGCGTCAATACAGATACTAATGCTCTGTCTAGTTGTGCTTGGACGCCAGCCCTATATTCCTCTGCGATAAAAAACTAACCATGTCGCTCAATTCATTCGCATGACTAGCCCATCGACTGCTTAGCCTAGCCTTTCACCTACGAATAGCGTAAAAAGTTCTTCCATAAGGTTTGAATAAAACTTATTCCCTGCCATTCTAGCCCCTTCTCAACTCATCACACCACCATTTCCATCTATTTATCTTCCGACACCGACTCAGAGCTAGCCTCTTCTTGTTCGGTTCCGGTCCGATTTCCATGGCGTTGTCCTTGTGGGGATTCGGTCCCTTCGTGGCGGGGCCGGTTGTGGAGTCCAGACGTCCGTGTGAGTGGAGCCGGTGGTAACTGCCGAGGTTGACAGGAAGACTCTGTACATTCCCATATCAAAGGCTCCTTTTACGAGCAGAATCTATGATGAGTATTTGACTTGCAGGTAAAAGATGAAACTCGTCTCCAATTTTCTATGGCTTGTCGATCCATAGGCAGATTTATCACAATTGTGGGAAATGAGGCTGTTGAATGCCCTGTTTGTCCTGTTTGATTGGGGAGTAAAGAGGAGCATCTTAGGTATGTGTCATGTGACCAGGATCTCTATGGGTGCATAATGATCATTCAGGCATTGAGCATACAGGCAGAGCAGATATGTCAGATAAAGCATCTAGTTTTTCTTTCAGACAAAGAGCATATAGGCAGAGCATATCTTTGTCTAAGCATCTACTTTCTCTATCATTGTAGCTTTCAAAATATATACTAGATGCGGTCACTCGCATCCTTTAGAGTTATTTTGCTCACGCGCCAGCGACCGAGAGACCGATCAGTATCAATCTTATTGGGATGCCAAAAAGAGAGAGCGTTCTAGACAACGTGCAGCTACAGAGCAGGTGTTGGCTATTGTATCGTCCCCGGATCCCCTTATACTCTCGCCTTTTATCAAATCGCCTTCAGATCCCGTTATACCATTAATAAAATCACTATCCCAGCAGTATCTTACTACTATTACCTCCAACTGCAAAAGTCTTCTCTCTCTCCACTCCCTGAGCGTCCCAACAAAGACAACCCTAGCAACAGCCTTCAGAGGTGTTCCGGACTTCATTATCCTTGATTCATACAAAGCCATCAAGGTCATCGGAGAGGCAAAGACGCCGTGGGATTGTCTGAGTGTGAACATACTGGCTACGGCTATTCTTACTTTCGGGGACGGCGAAGAGAGGCGCTACCTAGGTTCGTGTTATCACTTAATCCCCCAAGCTCGATATGTTCTAAGGCTAACATTCATATAACGGACAGGGCAATTAGCCGGTCAAATGCGTGAGCTGGACCTCAAGTATGCGTTCCTGACAACATACGATGAGACAATTTTTGTCCGGGAAGTAGATGTTGGAAGTCACTGGTCTTGAATATTCACCAGTGATTAGGTACGATGAGACGTTTCATGGTGGGCAGGCACTCAGTGCAACACTGCGACAATGCTTTTTCTTCATTGCACTACAAGGGATGGCAGATCCTAGGTTAAGAGAAATCTATTGGGTTGTCCCTTCACCGGAAATCACACATAAATCATATATATACTCTCACCTAGCTATGACTTAACCATTGATATCAACTATCTTTGATGGTAACCTCACTTCCCAAATTTTTGAGAACCACCTCAGATACGCTTGAAAGAGCACCAACCGACTTCCATCGCTCCACGTTGGATAGCTGACAGACATTGACTCAATCAAAAATGCCTCGAAAATACCTTATTCCGGTAACCTGCTTTCTTGCCAATTCTTAGCCATATCAAGAGACCGCTCCTTTCTTTTTCACGAGTAAACCAGAATTCCCATTTGCCGATGTTTTCCGGTTTCCCAACTGGGATTAGCCTGATAGGATCAATAGTTGTTACGCGTCACATGACCTAAAAGTCGCCCTTGAGGGTAAGAACCATCTCCAAATGATGAAGTCCCAGTCTCCAGAGGCAGACCGTCACCTTCATATACTTTTCATTAACCATATAAAATCAATAAAAAATATGAGATTAATATAGGCAATTAAGACGCATCTAAAATATCCTTCTAACTAATTTCGGGATCTTTGATCTCAATATTCAGGATGTAAAGCATAGAAGTAGACGGGTTTGGAAGAGCACTGTCAAAATCCTGCATTCTGCGGTCCAGCAGGATTCTAAGGCATCAATATTACTATGTTAGGCATAGCTTCGGCTGCTCCGATCTCTGTGGGACAAATAAAGTGGGGCAGTACTTAAGAAGAGCCAATCGTGGAGCCGGGCGAAAATATGTGGCTCACGTCAGCCATGGTCCCCACAGCAGCTGTGCCGCAACGGTTCTAGCCACATCTTTGACATCTTCCCAACATTTTACACGATGCCATTTCAGACTCGAGAAGGAACACTGCAGAGTGATAGCGTGGGAAAGGCGAAACGGAAGCCTGTCCGCCGTGACCCAGAGAAGAGACGGCAGCAGAACGCTCAAGCACAAAGAAAGTACCGTGAGTACAGGTCTTCTCTGGCATAGGCATGCCGGCAACATACGGATCATGGGTACAGGGATCCCCAGAAAAAGGAATACTAATCCTTCGTCTAGGAGAAAAGTTTCGTGAGCGCCTAGAGAGTCTCGAAGCACTTGCAGCATCTGCTACGCCGGGCCGTGCTACTGAAAGAACACCAGCTGCGGGTACAGGCCCATCCGAGGCGGTCGCAACGATTAGCTCAACCACTGCTCCAACCCATATTGCAAAGAGCCTCCCAGCTTATGATACTTGGGATATATCTACTTCCAGTCCATCTACGGCGACTTCGAGAGAATGCCAATACTTTACTCCACAGTCAAATGACACCCTATCAGCACCGAGTGTATGGGACTTTACAACATATTGTCCACAGGCAGATACCTCCCCATCATCACTGAGTATATGGGATTCTCCAACGCATGTTTCGCAGTCAGACGGCACACCACCGTCACTGAGCGTATGGGATTCTACAACACATGTTGATCCTTCTCTTCTCATTTGTGATAAACAAAATGACGCCCTTGGTCTATACTGGACGACCAACATCGACTGCGGCTGCTCCAGCCCACACTTCCAGATACGGACAGAAGGTCCAGCAGGCCCCTTCAGCTGTGGGGAGGTTAGGATACTCAGATTCGGATCGAGTGCACCTGCAGCAGATCCATATGCCAACAACCTTCGCATCGAAACAGTCTGCACTATAGCTGCACTGAGTACTCTTGGAATACATGTTGGCATTACCGAGGAGACGCTCTGTGCCGAAGAATCTCTCTCGCCATTCTTCCAGTCTAGCACGGAGTCAGCGGATGATATGGCCAAAGCAAATATGATTTGCACAGTGAAGAGAACATTCAAGACACTGAAGCCGGACTTGAGGCCGAGCAGCGAACAAATCACTGTCAAGCATCATCCATACATAGATATTCTACCTTTCCCGACACTACGAAAAGGTCTCATCGCCCATCAGGAAGAGGTTGACGAGGATAACTTCTTCCACGACATGCTGAACGGTTTAGTATGCTGGGGAGGTGCAGGCATTGGGAAGAAGGATCGAAATAACTCCACTGGATATGTTTCGACAGGTACGCCGTGGGACGTCCGCAGCTGGGAGGCAAGGGTGTGGTTTTTGAAAAAGTATTGGACTCTGCTAGGTGGTGAAGATGGAGAACTTGTGCGGCAAAGTGAGTGGTGGCGCAGTACCAGAGGGGAAGACACGCCGGAAATAAGTCCACAGCTAGAAATATAATTAGAAATATAATTTCGGGTCGTTGATAGGCTTCAGGCTGGCGGCGCGTGATATCAGCATACCAGACCGAGCATACAGACTTTTACGGCACGACCAGGGCCATCAGCTTATTGATAGCGGCTACATTAAGTAGAAATGCGGACAATTGACAACAACCAAGCCCGCAATAATACAAGGGTGGCGGCGCTCACTAAGAATCTCGACCCCGTGGAACCTCATAGTATAAGGAAATAAACTGCATACCATGCATATGCACTTATGCAGGCTAGAATTTCCAGCAGGCATGAGAAGCTCCCTCGCCTCATCGGCCTCTTCCTCGGGGATGGTAATAGCGCAGCTCAACGCGACAAGGCCGTGCCAGAGCCTTGATAGCAGGATAAAATTAGTATCGGGTAGAGGTTTGACCTAGGATGCTAAGGTCGTTGGTGGGTGCAGGAGACTTACCCGTATCCCACATCAAAGCACCTGTACGGGATGTACTCCTCGAGAGTATTGAATTGCTTGTCATCCTGCCGGGTACTCGAATGTTGAACACCAGCGGCCCAGCTCTTGGTGACAACCGTTGCTCTCTCGGGGTCGATTGCCATCATCTCGCGGAGAATCTGGGCAACGATTCTACGCTTTCCAGAGGAGCCACCTTTCTCTTCGATCTTGCTAGTCTGTCCGCCTTTTTCCAAGGCCTGCTCTACCTCCTCCAGGTTTGCGTCTTGGATTTCTTTATCGATGATATCTGCAGTGAATTAGACTCATTCGGGATATCCCACATACCAGAGACAACGAGCACTTACCGTCATGGATGAAACCAAATTCAAGCGCATAACTGGTAATCTCCAACCGGGAGACATTCCGGTACTGCGACAGTTATGAAACTAAACTGTGGGCCCAAGCCACCCCTGAAAGGATTCTCTAGGGGCCAACCAAGCGGCGCCAGTCTTCCTGGGCCCTGAACGCACCGACTTCTTCAAGGTCGGCAGCCGCATGCCTCTCGATCTATACAAATACGCTGTTACAACACCAATACCGTATAAATGAGAAAATTGATGAATAAGCCCGGTATTTGACCACTCCGCCCTACCTAGGTATCACACGTCTATTTCTTCGTCTATTACTCCGTACTTCTTCCCTCGATGACATTTCACACGTATGTCTTGCCATCCTCGCACACCTGCTTAAACGCGTCGTCGGTATGCTGCAACACCTTCTCCACCGCGCCCTCCCCCCTCGTCCTCCCTAATTTCTTGTTCGCCGGGAACACCTCCCCGTCCCAATTCACCCAGTAACAACCACTCCCCTTCGTCCCATCACTGCCAACCGCGACATCCCCCTCCATCTTCGCCCCCTCGGCTTTCGGTGGAAATCTCCCACTCGTTGCCGCAAACAAATGCCTCTCCCCACTCTCCTGAATCGGAACTATAAATGGACTCAACAGCGTCCCTAGCACAGACGACAGCACGCGTCCAACCGGCAGTTCACGCATCAGACCTGTGGCCACGCCAGAGGGGTACGCGTGGACAAAGCTAGTATGCGGGTGTCGCTGCGCCATTCCCTCTAGGAAAAAATCGCCCATTAGGCTGGCGTGCGCTTGGCACGTCTGGAGGCTAAAGGTGTGCTTGAGACTGAGGTCTGAGAAGTCGAGCCTACCTGAGCCGCCGGTGCGGACGGAGACCTGTGGGTCTAGGACGGAGACTACGCGGGATAGTCTGGCGTTGGCGTTGACAGATGGGTCTTCTGCGGCTGCGGTCAAGAGGGGGAGCAACTTGGTGACGAATCGCATCCGTGCGTAGTAATGCAGCACGAATTTGCGGTCCAAGCCTTCCGCCGTCTCATCCCGGCCTTTCAGCGTCATATACCCTGGTGTCATAAAGAGCAGGTTTAGCTTGTTTTCTTTAGCTGCGATCTCGTCGCACACGCTGTCGACGTTTTTGAGGAGGGATATGTCGGTCTGGAGAAAGGTCGGTTGGGCGGAGGGGTTTATGGTCTTCATGGAGGCGATGGCGTCGTCGGCGGCGGACTGGCTGCGGCCGATGAGGTAGATTTTGGGAGAGAGGGTGTGACGAGCCAAGGCGAGGGCCGTGGAGAGGGAGATGCCGGAGGTGCCGCCGACTGGAGGGTATTAGTGAGATGGAATTCCCAAGAGAGGGAATGGGGTAGAGCAGAGCCTTTGGATCGGGCTATTTGCTTCGGGAGCATCGTAAAGACTAAAATGTTGGAGCAGGTTGAACTTACCGAACACCGCGACGAGACCTGGGGCTAGTGATTTGAGAGTCGCATTATGGGCTTGAATGGTTTGGAGGTTCACCATTGCTGCTTCGATCTCTGGCTGAACACGGAATTGTGGGGTGTAGGAAGTAGATGGGATCTAGGTTTCCTTGCGATAAAAGCTCGAAATCCACGGCAATGCCAGAAGCAAGAGCAAGGTGGGTGGGTGGGCAGACCAGACCACTCTAGGGCTGGACAGGGTTACGTCGATCCCTGGCCCGAAACGGCTCAATCCCGCTTTGGCTTTTAATCTAAACTAGATCAATGTGGATGTGGCCAATAGCGCTTCCCCGGGGCCGAGATTGTTCTGGCTGATGTGACCCATTGATCTGCCCAGGTGGCTGATGTGAGCCATCGATCTTGGCTGAGGTAAACCTTTGTTTGCATGACACGGACCAAAAATGTTCGCAAAACGCCTCCAGGCCTTGTTTGCGTGGATCACGTTATCCATGCCTTCAGTCCAAACTGAGAGCGAAGAATGCCTAGGGCAATGTGCTGCTTTATATATGAATCTTCTGCTCCTAGCAATTGATACCGAAACTTCAGTCCTTCTTTCTTACTATAGTCGATATATTCGATTGACGCTTATTGGTGTCGAACCAGAACACCCGCAAACATGAGCTTGGGCAAATTCGTGGCCAATGGCGACCGCGAGACCGAAAGTGTGAAGGACGACGTCCCCAGTGTGGAGAAGAGGGAGGCCGAGGTTCACCAACTGGCCAGAGAATTCACAGAGCAGAAAACGTTTTCAACGACTGGCGAGAACCCCTTTTCAGCGGAGCCTGGATCGACCCTGGACCCCAATGGGGAACACTTCCATGCCCGGGCTTGGTGCACGGCCATGCTACAGATGCAGACCGAGGACAAACAAGCGCATCCACTCCGGACACTGGGTATAGCCTTCAGCAACCTGAATGTGCACGGTTTCGGTTCCGATACCGATTATCAGAAGAGCGTTGGCAACGTCTGGTTAGAGACTTTCAGTCTGGCGAGGAAGGTCACAGGCCAACATCAACGCAAAATCGAAATTCTGCAGAGCTTGGATGGCTTGGTGGAGGCTGGAGAGATGCTTGTGGTTCTTGGACCACCTGGATCGGGATGCTCGACTTTCTTGAAGACCATCGCTGGAGAGACACACGGCTTTTTTGTCGACAAGAACTCGAAGATCAATTTCCAAGGTACGTCCGACGTCATCCACGTGAAGGCTTCCTGCTAATAGTCGTCAGGTGTGAGCGCAAAGCAAATGTCCACCGAGTTTAGGGGAGAAGCCATCTACACCGCTGAGGTCGACGTCCACTTCCCTAAGCTCACGGTTGGAGACACTCTCTTCTTTGCTGCCCGGGCCCGAGCGCCACGCCACATTCCCGGAGGAGCAACTGTGAACCAGTATGCCACGCATATGCGAGACGTCATTATGGCCATCTTCGGTATCAGTCACACCAAAAATACCATCGTGGGAAACGACTTCATCCGCGGTATATCCGGTGGAGAGCGCAAGCGTGTCAGTATTGCCGAAGCCTGCCTTAGCATGGCGCCGCTGCAATGTTGGGACAACTCCACTCGTGGTCTTGATAGTGCAAATGCTGTCGAATTCTGCAAGACTCTACGCATGCAGACTGACATCAACGGCGCCACGGCCTGTGTTTCCCTTTACCAAGCTCCCCAGGCTGCCTACGACCACTTCGACAAGGTCCTCGTTCTTTACGAAGGTCGCCAGATCTACTTTGGTCGCACGACCGCGGCTAAGAAGTACTTCCTTGACATGGGTTTCATCTGCCCTAACCGACAAACTGACGCCGATTTCCTCACTTCTATGACTAGCCATCTCGAGCGTGTCGTGCAGCCAGGGTATGAATACCGCGTCCCCCGGACGCCCGATGAGTTCGCGGCAAGATGGAAGGCCTCAGCAGAACGAGCACAGCTCGTGCAAGACATTGAGATGTATAATGCAAAGTTTGCACTCGGTGGTGAATACCTGGACAAGTTCAAGCAATCTCGGAGAGCTCAGCAAGCCAAGGCCCAGCATGTATCGTCACCCTACACTCTTTCATACGTGCAACAGGTTAAATTGTGCTTATGGCGCAGTTTTCAACGATTAAAAGGTGATCCTAGTATCACAGTTTCTTCGTTAATTGGAAATTCCATCATGGCTCTCATCATCGCCAGTATATTTTACAACCTCAAGGCCGATACCAACAGCTTCTTCCAGCGCGGTGCTCTCCTCTTCTTTGCTGTTCTCATGAATGCGTTTGGTTCCGGCCTTGAAATGCTCACTCTTTATGCTCAACGGGCAATTGTGGAGAAACACTCTCGATATGCCCTCTACCACCCGTCCGCCGAAGCATTTGCATCTATGTTGATGGATTTGCCCTATAAGGTCCTCAACGCTATCACTTACAATTTGGTTCTCTACTTCATGACAAACCTGAGGCGTGAACCTGGTGCCTTCTTTTTCTTTGTATTCACCTCATTCGTCCTGACTCTAACGATGTCTATGTTCTTCCGGTCCATTGCATCATTGACAAGATCCCTCGTTCAAGCCCTGGCCCCCGCTGCGATTCTAATTCTGGGTCTCGCCATGTACACCGGATTCACCATTCCGGTACACTACATGCTTGGATGGGCCCGCTGGATCGCCTATATCAATCCCATCAGCTATGGCTTTGAGTCTCTAATGATCAATGAGTTCCACAACCGCGACTTCATCTGTGTCAACTACGTCCCGTCAGGTCCTGGCTACACGGATGTCGGAACTCACAACCGTGTTTGCTCCACAGTTGGATCAGTGCCTGGGCAGCCCTACGTCAATGGCGACGACTACATTGAGTCGGCTTATGGCTATACCGCCTCGCACAAGTGGAGGAACATCGGCATTATATTTGCCTTCATGTTCGCCCTGATGGTTGTCTATCTGATTGCTACCGAGTTCATCACCGAAAAGAAGTCGAAGGGCGAGATCCTAGTCTTCCGTCGCGGGCACAAGGCCCTGAAGAAGAGCAAGTCAGAGGACGATGTCGAAGGCGGTAGTAGCCGCAGCATTGCTGTGAAGACCCAATCGGACGGCATTGCCATCATCGAACGCCAGACTGCTATCTTCCAGTGGAAAGATGTTTGCTACGATATTAAGATTGGAAAGGACCATCGCAGGATTCTTGATCATGTTGATGGATGGGTCAAACCGGGTACCTTGACTGCACTGATGGGTGTCTCTGGTGCCGGAAAGACCACACTATTGGATGCCCTAGCTACCCGCACCACTATGGGTGTTATCACTGGAGAGATCCTTGTCGATGGCAAACCCCGCAATAACTCCTTCCAGCGCAAGACCGGCTACGCTCAACAACAAGATCTGCATTTGAACACCAGCACAGTTCGCGAGGCCCTTACCTTCTCTGCTCTTCTACGCCAGCCCGCTCACGTTCCTCGTCAAGAGAAGGTCGACTATGTCACAGAAGTTATCAAGCTCCTAGAAATGACCGAGTATGCTGATGCCGTTATTGGTGTACCTGGTGAGGGTCTCAATGTCGAACAACGTAAACGACTCACAATCGGTGTAGAGCTTGCCGCCAGGCCAGCTCTACTTCTCTTTTTAGACGAACCTACCTCTGGACTTGATTCTCAGACATCATGGGCTATCCTTGATCTCCTTGATAAACTGAAAAAGAACGGTCAGGCTATTCTGTGTACTATCCATCAACCCTCTGCTATGCTATTCCAGCGATTTGATCGACTCCTCTTCCTGCAGGCCGGTGGTCGCACCGTGTACTATGGAGATATTGGCGAGAACTCGCAAATTCTTATTGACTATTTCGTCCGCAACGGTGGTCCCCCGTGCCCTCCTACCGCTAACCCCGCGGAATGGATGCTCGACGTTATCGGTGCCGCTCCTGGATTCCACACTGATATCGACTGGTACGAGACATGGCGCAAGTCCCCCGAACATGCACATGTCCAAAAACATCTCACCGAACTGAAATTTGAACGCTCCCAGCTTGTCAACCCTGCCCACACTGTCTTGGGTAAGCGCGAGGACAAGGCCAGCTACCGCGAATTCGCCGCTCCTTTCTACGAACAACTCTGTGAAGTCCAGACCCGAGTATTCCAGCAAATCTGGCGCTCACCCACATACATCTACTCCAAGACTGCACTATGCGGCAGCTCGGCTCTCTTTGTCGGTTTCTCTTTATACAATACCCCCAACACGATGCAGGGGCTTCAGAACCAGATGTTCGCTATCTTTATGTTATTGACTCTCTTTGGTCAGCTCATCCAGCAAATCATGCCACATTTCGTTGCCCAGCGCAGTTTGTACGAGGTCCGCGAACGTCCATCTAAAGCTTACTCTTGGAAAGCTTTCATGATATCGAATATTGTTGTTGAACTCCCCTGGAACACGCTCATGTCTCTCATTATATTCGTTTGCTGGTACTACCCTGTCGGTATGTACCGCAACGCCGAGCCCACTGATTCCGTCACGCTCCGCGGCGCGCAAATGTGGCTCTTCATCTGGACCTTTCTTCTCTTCTCGTCTACCTTTGCACACTTCATGATCGCGGCTTTCGAAACCGCCGAGAATGCCGGTAACACGGGCAACATGCTCTTCATGCTCTGCCTCCTATTCTGCGGTGTCCTTGCTACTCCCGCACAGCTCCCAGGTTTCTGGATCTTCATGTACCGCGTCTCGCCATTTACGTACCTCGTCAGCGGTATGCTGTCCGTCGGCATCTCTAACACGAAAGTCATATGTGCGACAAACGAGTACCTGCACTTCGACCCGCTGAACGGTACCTGCGGCGAGTACATGGAAGCATACAAGTCCACCATGGGCGGCTACGTCGAACACGAACTCGCAACCTCAAACTGCAACTTCTGCCCCATCAGCGACACAAACGTGTACCTTACTTCTGTCTCATCCAATTACTCAGATGTGTGGCGCAACTTCGGCATTATGTGGGTGTTCATCGTCTTCAATATCTTTGCGGCATGTGCACTGTACTGGTGGGTGCGCGTCCCGAAGGTTAAGAAAACGGCCACCAAGACTACCTAGTCTATCTGACACACCTACGATCCAAGACCGCGGCCACTGCAGCGAATTGGTCAAGTAACCGGTAGCCCTGCGAAGAGTATCAGGACGCTCGTTCTACATCATGTATACAATTTATTTTCTTAGTCCTTCGCATTTAATGATATTTGTTATCTTAACTCTACTCCGTACTACTAGCTCAATTCATCAGAAAATCTCACTCAGAACTTACTCTACAATATGATAAATGCGTGAAGGTTTAGTCCAGGAATCCTCAATAGTGTCATAGACAGGGTGTCAAAGAAAAGCCAAGGGATGTTTGATAAAAGAGTAGAAGCAAAGAGCCAATTCCTCTCAGATTTCAGTTCTGCTCCCGTAGCAAAGACACTGGAACCCTGGCCCCCGCAGAATAGTGAGTGGCGGATTAGGCACTGCACCGATCACAAAGGATGATAATCCACGCCAGCTTCGAAAATGTGTTTATTACTCTTGTCATCATCCGAAATATGCTTCTTTGGGGATTACTTTTTCTGAAGTTGACATGAATCAGCATAAGATCGGTAACTTGTCTAATTTAGCCATTGCCCATTAGGGTCCCAGCCTGCCCTAGGCAATGTAAATTTGCATGTTCTATGTCGCCTCCTTCTCATGCATGGCCTTGGCCCAACTTTTAAAATGCACTGGATTTCTGCTCTGAGGTTATACAACATCGTGAGTCTCGTCGAACCTTGGAGGATTGATAGATTCAACTTCCTTGAAAAACAGATCTATGGATGCTGCGATTGAATCGGGACTAGTCTAAGCCGATCCATGGTACTGTAATGTTTAGCTTAAACCTTAGTCGATATAAAAAACATCTCGATTAGGACATTATGCGGTAACTTGCTGATACAAAAAGGACATGGATCTAGAAGATGCCTCAACTTAGCTGGATATGCTTAGGTAAAGAATGAATATTTTAGAAACAAAATCCTCTGGGATACATCAATTTAGTACACTTTCTTCTCTAATCTATATTTTCTTACCCCGCACGAATGCCCCCATCTTTAGTGCGGGGTCCATTATGGAACAGCACGGGCACATATTTATCCCTTGCATTCTCCAGCCAACTTATAAAGCGACACCCCTTGTCAAGCTTCAAACCCAGACACTGACCACCAGCACATAACTGGCTTCGAACCTCATCCAGACCCTCGACTTCGAAATCAACATGTATTCCCCCAAAGTCGGCGACCGGGTCGATACCCTCGATACACCATCCATGATCGCAGATCTCGATCTCGTCGAAGCCAACATCAAAAAGCTAATGGACAAGCTACTACCAACTGGCCTCGACATCCGCCCCCATCTAAAAACGACCAAGAGCGCGATCCTAGCCAACAAGATGGTCAAAGCGGGCGCAAAGGGAGGCTGCGTAGCCAAAGTCAGCGAGGCAGAAGTCATCGCCGCGGCAGGATTCGACGACCTTTTTATCACGTGTGAGATTATCGGCCCTGCAAAGGTACAACGGCTGGTGGAACTGTACCGCAAACACCGCAAAATCAGGATAGTGATTGACAGTGAAGCCGGCGCAACGGCTATTGACGAGGCTTTGGCGACGGCCGGTATCGACGAACCTATCTCGGTTTTGATTGATCTCGATGTTGGGCTTCATCGCACTGGTGTTCTACCGGGTGACCCAGCCATGACTCTAGCACGGCATGTGCAGGGTCTGAAGCATTTGAAACTGATCGGGCTCCACGGGTATGAGGGTCATTTGCAGCATTTGCATGATAGGGAAGATCGCAAGAGTCAATGTCTACAGTCTATGGAGATCCTCACAAATACTGCGGACGTGCTGCGGAAGGCAGGCTTCAATATCGAGGTGGTGACTACCGGGGGAACTGGAACGGCGGAGTTCTGCGCCACAGTGCCGGGCGTCACTGAGCTCCAGCCTGGATCGTTTATTTTCATGGATACCGATTACCGAAATGCCGTCGGTACCTTCTACTCCAACAGTCTTACGATTCTATCAACTGTTCTGAGCAAACAAGGTCCTCGGTCGGTCACAATCGACAGCGGGTTGAAATCGTTGACGACGGATAGTGGCTTGGCGGAGTGTAAGGACCCGAGGTACACTTATGGTGTGCTTGGTGACGAGCACGGCTCACTCAGTTGGGAAGAAGGGACCCCGGCGCTTTCGGTTGGGGATCGCGTTGAGATGGTACCGAGCCACATTGACCCTACCGTAAACTTGCACGATTTCTATTACGCCCATCGAGGTGGAGTCATTGAGGAGATCTGGCCTGTCGACTCGAGAGGCAAGGTGCAATGATTATCAAGGGATCTCTAGTGTCTTCAAAGACACGAAGGAAGATATATAACGTTGGTCTTGCTGCTAATTAGCCTTCTATTACGAAGAAAAATACATAGAGAGTTTGTTCATCATCACCTAAATGATGAGATCTCAAGCTCCTCTGATTGCACAATCTGCCCTGAAAACTCCGCCCTCTTAAAATAAAGCACAAACCAAAACCCCGGCAGTGATCGAAACCCACATACATCAATTCAGGAGCACATTAAAGGGGAATCACACTCTGCAATTCAAAAATTCACGAGGTTTGATAGACCTTAAAGCCGCCAAACTCCCAGTACGCAGTGTCGAAACTAGTCGCATTATCCCGCACAAATGTCGTGCAGTTGCCAGGGCAACTACTTTGTGTCGTGTAGTATTTGGTCGCGCCCGCCAAGTCACCACACAAAGAGATATTGATGATGATACTCTGGTTCTTGAAATGAGAACCGATGTTGCAATCCGTGCTGGGGAAGTCCGCAAGTGCTTTGCCCCAGGTGGATGGGTCGGGACTGCCCGAGGTGATATCGGACGGGATCTTAGAGCGGACCCATTGCCAGACGCGAATACCAGCGTCACGGAGCTCCATCGCGTAGACCTGAAAGGGGTGGTTATTAGTAAATTGGTTTCGATGGAAGCATGAACAGTCCGGGACACCATCACTTACTCCGCCACCATTGCTGTTAAACTCGGGACCATAAGTACTCGAAGCGCCTTTCACGCCGCAGCCCGCATAGTCATTCGCCTCGTAGTAACAGTTCTCGTTATCCACAGTGCCACTTTCTTTCCGTTTAACGCCCATGGTGCAGCCTTTCGACGTGTGAAGCGTCGATTGGCTTCCAAAAGTACCAGCGTTGGTAGCTTCCACTACATCGATCTCTCCGTGCTCGGGCCAGTTGCTGGGGTCTGTCAGCCACAAGGCTGGCCATGTTCCACATCCGTACGGGGTGTGGATAATGTCAAAGATGAAAAGCCCATCAGCATAGGTATTGTTAGATGTGACTCGTACAGATTGGCGCCCATTAGCAGCCTCCGATCCACTGTATGTCGTGTCCACCTTGAGCACCGCGGAGGTGTCCGAGGCGTATGTTAGATTAAGCCATTCGGATGCAGCTCGGTCGATATACCTGAATTACACGTCAGTTGATCTGCTTGGCATAGGCTTGGTTTGTAGGTCATACTGGACAAATCCATTGGTTGGGTCGGTGGCGGTAAAATATTCGAAGTTGTCGAAGAAGGTCGATCCCGAAAATTCGTCTTTCAAGCTGTAATCCAGTTTCGAGTAATTGGGGTACCGATTGGCTCGCACTCCTAGGACAGAGCCAACGACAACAGCCACGATTACCACCACGATGCCGGCCGCTAGGAAAATCTTCTTCTTCAAGGACCATTCCCGGGGGTCCCATCTGGAGTATGTATTTGTAGCTTCTCCGCTCCACTCTCCGTAGGCAGGCGGGTATGCACTGCCCACTGCTGTCTTACTGTGCAACACATGACTTGATTGGAAGCCGCCAGGGTCGTTTTGAGTATAATCGTCGCGCATATTGGGCGGATGGTCTAATTGATGGGGTGTCGTATGCGCCAAGCAATGAGGAAACGAGGAAACAACAATCCCGCCGGGTCCAGCGAGTGCAGAAAGCCAACAGTGAAATCCAAGCTAGGTCTGAAGCAACGCACAGTGAGAAATGATAAGAAGAGAAGAAAGAAAAGAAACAATCTTCCGTTAACAAAATTCGCTGCCTTCCAAGGTTGCCCAGGTGCAGGCCACGCGTTAGATAAGCGGGGCGATTGGCCGCAGCCGGCTGTCCACTTCAGATATCGGGGAGACACTGCTGATCTTTACCCACTAGGCCGATTTAGTTGGGCGATTTGCTGGCAGGTAACTACTACTCTCTTGTTGAATGACGACACTGGAATTTGAACAGATATGCTGACAAATTATCATATGATTCCAAGGTCCCCTAACTAGTTATAGTTGACTATAAGTACTCATACATCAATACCTCCGACCCAGGCCCAACCCAAATTAGGGTCTTGGCGTTCATAAACTGTAAAGTCAGCAGAATTGTACGCATAATTAGCGTGACATGGTTTTTATAACCAATTTAGGGCCTTCAACACAGATTAGGCTAGGGCTGAGTTTACCTAGGTCCAGCTGAAGTCTAAGATTCATCGTGCCACTTAGTTAAATTCATGTCGATTTGTGTACTACGCAGGTACCCAATATACATCTCTCACCGGTAGGCAAGATAGTAGCGGTGATCCATAACTAGTTATACTAGAGACTGAGGTGAGTATGAGGAAATTTACAAGGCACCAAAAGACAAGACTCAATTTCATTCCTGTGTTGTTGCTGACGTGCATCCCTTCCTCAGCCAATCAATGGAATTAGGTAGTAGGGGTGATGGACGATGCGTTGCTCCTTTTTCCGTCGCGCTCCAATGACATCGAATCTATGATTGCAAAATATCTGAGCCACGTTGTAAGACAGCCATTTAGTTGTTGGCTGTCGACCCCAATTTGACCGTTCTGTCATAAAGAAGCTGAAGCTTCTCGGTTCGGGTATCGGTTGCAGAAAGGTGCGCAGTTTGGCTATCAAGCACTGTGCGCTGTTGAATGATGTGTCTTCGAATACGGCTTCGCTCCAAGGACATATCTCCGATCAACCTGTCAGAGACTACCAATGCATCTTTGAGAGCCACCAAAGTACTTTTGGGGGCTTCAGTTTGTTGAGAAGAGTCAGGGCGGGCCGGGTCAGGAACTGCCGTAGCTCTGGGCTCATTGGTGACTAGATCACGAGGTGGCTCCTGGGAGGACATTTCTGTAAAATGGTTAGTTGACCTCATCCTCAAGTTGATTTATGATTAACTCATTAGATATCTGTACCGCGGCGACTGGGTATGAAATGGGGTTGGTATAATGGTGTGAAGTGAAGAATATATGATGGAAAGAGAGTGATTGTCTCAGAGAAGATGTAATTTATACTTATAGTCTCAGTTCTCATGGTTACCGAGCGGACAATAGATCTCGATTGGTATGATAGCTGTCACCTCTCTACGGAGTATGAGATATGATTATAGTTCCTATATAGCAGTTTGTATACACTCAAAAAAAAATCATAATATTATCCTACGCAAGGTTCACGAGGTCGAACTCCGGGGTAGGATCGCCCTTCAACTGAGAGATTCCCTCAGATAGAGTCCACCGGCTGTGAACATTTTCTTTGGTTAAATGATCCGCAACCCACTTCATAGTTCCTACGAAGGGGCTATTCCCGGCGTTTGATGCAATTTCCGTCAAAAGCTTTCCGCAGGCCCAAATGTCATTCAATCGACGCGTTTGGAAAGGAAGTTCAAAGGGTGATATTTCATCTTGTATCTCTGGAGCACGCCACCCGTGCGTTACTTCGCCGATGCCGCTAATGTCAATGAGGACCGCATTGTCATTATCGTCGAGAACAACATCTGAAGGTTTCAAATCCATATGGGTTTTCTTTGCGCGGTGAATAATGCCTTTAGAACACGTTGTAAGGAACCACCGCTATAGTACTCCTGTATCGCGTGGCTGGTAAAGGGGGCGGTTGACTACCTTGAGAATATATGGTATTATTCGCCCCTGTGTAAAACGCGGAACACTCCGTCGGTAATTTCATCCTCCTCTATCAATTCTACATAATTTTTAGGGAGGATGAGTGGACGGGTAGGTCTTATATCTCCTAGGTGAATGTTTACCACGTGACTGTAAATACGCGCGGGCAAACAAAACAATGTACGAGATCGCCAAGAAAGGCCCAATGTCACCTGCCTGTCGTGGAGGAAGGGGGTCCTTTCTGGTAAGAGCAATATCACCTTATGCTAAGCCTCAAGCTGTAATTGCCTGAGACACAGAGGAACAAACCATACCGGCCTGATTCCTCTTGAAACCTCATGCAAACTTTCACTCACACCTCTAAATCCAAGATTCATCGGCAAGATTCAGAAAAAAAATAACTCCCCTTTTACTATAGTCATGAGTTTTCAAGCAAACCAAGACTTAGGGGTCGGGAATCCGTACGCAAAAGTTGACCCCGCTGTCGCTGCTAGTGAGTATCAGTGATCCTTCGCTTGACTTACTTGAAAAGTGTCCTGATAATAACGACTATGACAGAGCTTCCGGATGGCGCCAAAGCCATATCAACTGAGAATCACGGCTTTAGCTTTCGGGCTACAACAGGGCGCATTGATGTTGAATTGGTAGACGGGTCTGTTCGGAGATTCTTCATGAAGGTTCTGCTAGAGGAGAGTGGCAGAGCGATGGTTCACGGCGAATTTGAGTCTATGACTGCAATCTATAATCTCATCCCTGATTCTGTTCCGAGGCCGATCGGCTGGGGTACATATGAGACAATATCCGACACACATTTTTTCCTATGTGAATTCAAGGATATAAATCAAGAACTGCCAAACGTGGGAAAGTTTACTGAATGCCTTGGGGCCCTACACAATGATAGCATGTCACCGACTGGGAAGTTTGGATTCCACGTCACTACCTATAGCGGCAACCTGTCACAGCACAATGAGTGGTCGGACAGCTGGGAGACCTTCTTTGCTAAATCAATGCGACACGCACTGACGCATGAGATTTCAGCTCGGGGTCCCAGCGAAGACATCGAAATTTTGAGTCCTGTCATATTTGACAAGGTGATCCCACGTTTGCTGCGACCCCTCGAAAGTGAAGGTCGATCTGTCAAGCCCTGTCTGGTGCATGGCGATTTATGGTATGGAAATACCGGGAAGAATGCCACCACAGGAAATCCCATTATGTTTGACGCCTGCTCTTTCTACGCTCATAATGAATGTATGTCGTGATTAGATTGAGCCCATGGATTTACTAACCGACTAAAACCAAACTTAATAGATGAACTTGGACAATGGGCACCGGTTTGCAACCGGTTTGCTTCCGAGTATGTTCAAGCATATCATTTACACTTCCCCATATCATCTCCAGTGGAGGACTACCAAGGTCGCATCGATCTCTATAAACTGTATGTATACCAATCCCATGTTTTTCATATATCAGATCGTTGAACTCGATATCTAGACGGTTTAACACGCATGTCTCGGCTCTCTTCCCCCAAGATCGACATCTTCGAGAACAGTAAGTGACACTCATCGGCGTGGAAATGGACAATCCCTCACATTATCGTAGAATGCTTCAGGATATGAGAGACTTGATCGCTAGATATGGCGATATATCTAACTAGCCTCTAATCAGGTTGCCCAGGCAACTTCTTCTCTCACAATACATCCAATCCATCTTAAATTTGCATGGCGTACACGAGGAAGAAGTTGTATGTCCCGTCACTCTTCGTCCGTCAAGTTCATTTCACTCTCACCTTCCTGCACGAGAGGCTCTTGGAAGGAATCATACCATGAACATATAATAGTGGCCACTTCGAAAAACTGGGCACAGGATCTAGAATATTGAGAAAGCAAATAGATCCGTCCTTGTCAAGAATGATATCTTCGGCAGATATCGCCATTATAGGGATTACGAGGGTGTGATGTGATATCAGATCGATGCTTGAACTTGAGGCTGCAGATATATATATTCATATCTTTCATAGACTTAACGCCGTTCTAGCGCTGTAATCCTCATATATATAACTGACCCATTGAAAGTCGGTAAGCGGACTAGAAGTCAATCCTTTGATTTGTCCTAGGTACACAATGACATTTACGATTCGGGGGAAAATGTCCTTCCTCTTTTCGAGGTCAACGTCTAGCAAGTTTTGTCCTGGTAGCCGTCTTACCATCCGACCCTGACCCATATAGCTAGCCATTTGCAAACGTTGCAAACCTTGAACGTCTCACTCAGCTATCTCAATCTATGTAATGCAAACCAGTAAACATGCAAACAGTAGGCAAGCAAATATGAAGCATATGTTGATGACCTAGTAGATTACGACGTACTAGATCGTGGCAAAAACCAGGAATTCAAGATTCCTAAAAGAGACAACCCTAGCACACAAACGCCCGGATGGTCTAGTGGTACGTTCCACTTCAATAAGCTGTCCTGCGAATCTCAACTAATTAATAATTAGGTATGATTCGTGCTTCGGGTGAACCTGTGCGAGGTCCCGCGTTCAAATCGCGGTTCGGGCCCTTCTTTTTTTTTTTTACATATCTATACATCAGTATCGGGAGCCAAAGCAAGATCCCTTGCTAATGGAATGAATGAATCGCTTACGATGGCAATGCTGTTAATCGTGATATGTCGGTCTGCCATGAGTCGGCCTTACTTGGCACATCACCATGGGAAGTGGCCATGCCTGCGGTTGGTGGTACATAGTCACAATTAAGCGGTTTTAACTTTCTTGTAGCACCAGAAACAATCACTCGGAGCTTACCAACTATGAAACCAGCTTCAAAGGTTCAGTTTTGGTCAAGAACAAAAGCAAAGAAAGAGGAAAGTGAAAAAAAAAAATCGTCCCCGGGAAGGCTTGAACTTCCAACCTCCCGATTAACAGTCGGACGCGCTAACCAATTGCGCCACGGAGACGTGCTAGTTGAAATATCGGGAACTATTATGCTTATTGATCTGATTGAAATATTTCATGTAAAGTCTTAATTCAAATTTAATTCAAGTTGACAACACCTATGGTGATGGAATGAATATGTGTAGGCGAGTATCTTGCGGCCTTGACAGTTTTTTGGTGAATAAAGCCCTTTTTCGCTGACTCGGCACAACAAGTCTCCGTGGCGCAATTGGTTAGCGCGTCCGACTGTTAATCGGGAGGTTGGAAGTTCAAGCCTTCCCGGGGACGATTGTTTTTCTTTTGCCTTTTCACCTCATCTACTTACTTTACCCTCATTTCCTCCTATTCCTTTCTTTTTTTGGTTTAATGAGTTCAGCTTTTGAAATAATTTTAAATTGTGATTCAAACTCAGACGAGAATGAAATGTGGCTATGCTGCTTCGTTCTATGTATCCGTACGAGGTGTTATGATGCAACCTCAGATGCAGTCGCCCTATTGTATGTAGCATAGAGAGAATCTCGCGTGAGCTGTATGTGGATCGACCATGTCATCCTTCTGCAGATCGTATGAAAATAGCACCCGGGATATGCCGTGTCTCAGTCTGCCAGGCTCTGCCTGCATGTTCCCTCGAGAACCCCACAATAGACATCGGCCTTATTGCACCTGTTTCTGGGGGATGATCTATTACGGGAGTATCGGCTGATGGATACAAGATAAAGGCATCCTATTTGGGCTGTGTCACCTGTGAATCTGAGACCTTCATCTAAAACCTGCGCCGAATGCGGCCTGCCAGCAAAGAGGACCTAGAGCAATTTTACTTGGGAGGCCTGTCGGATGGAGATATATAAACCTCGTCGGGAGGGAGGGAAATGTATACAACAAGCAATCAAAACATTATACTCTTCCTCAAAGTACCATCAAATCCTCCATAAACATGAAGTCCACCATCACCTTCACCTCCGCCTTCTTGGCATCCCTCAGCCTTGTTGCTGCTGCTCCGACTCTAGCGGCAGCGGAAACAGTGTCCGTCTCCTACGACCCCAAATATGATGTTGGAACATCATCCTTGAACACCGTCTCCTGCTCCGACGGTGTTAATGGCCTGGTCACTCAAGGCTACACCGACTTCGCATCACTGCCAAGCTTCCCGAACATTGGCGGTGCGATCACCATCCCGGGCTGGAACAGCCCTAACTGCGGCAAATGCTACGCGTTGCACTACTCGAACGACAAGATTGACGAGACAATCTACGTCATTGCTATCGATGCCGCCCCAAGTGGCTTCAACATTGGCCTGCAAGCCATGAACACGCTCACCAACGGCCTGGCGGAGCAACTTGGTCGTATTGACGCCACTTATGAGGAGGCGGATGCCAGCGCGTGCGGGCTCTGAGCGTTAAACAAGATCTATGGAATGTGATAATGAAGGGACGGAATAGTACACGAAAGCGGTGTAATGCCAAGGGAAAACGAAGTCTTGGACTGAGTATGTATTTAGAATTGTCAAACTCTGTGCAGATAGTCCATAATATACATAAAGGTTCAATCAAGCACCTTCAACATTTCTTCTACACGCCCAAGCTTATCCCGAGGCTTGCCCTTTCGTTGGCCGCTCTCTCGCTCCGCCGCATCGATTCGCTGCCAGTCTGTCCACGATGTGGGGCGTAAACCACGGCGCTGAGCCTCGATTTTCACCCCATCCCAGCCTAGACCGCTACCGTGATCGGGTGCATTGAGCAAGGACGTTGAGCCTGCACTTTTTGAGAGATCTTGCACAACGGTGTCTGCAGTAGTAAATGCATCGGTCATTGTTGAGGCAATTACACCCGTTGGACCTCGCTTCACCCAGCCAGCACAGTACAGGCCGGGTAGGTGGGAGACGAGAGATCCGGCAGGTAACGCTTCAGGCTGGCCCTTGTTCGACAAGCTTGTTACACGGCCAAATCCATCATTGGGGATGATACCGCGCCGGGTATCGAAGTCGATACCAAGATCTTCTAGCCCTGGAAGGGGGAGGGATTTGTAGCCTACGCTGCGGAAGAAGACGCTAGCTGGTAGGTTCACCTGTGCACGCTTTCCGCTCGATAAGTGCTTTGGAAACACCTTGGAGCTGGGGCTGTAGGGGTCGGATGGATCAAGTTCGTTGCGAGAGAACTTCACGTGGGATAGATGGTATGGATAATCAGGTGACCAGTGAAGAGAATCGGGTGCAAGTAAGAAATCCAAAGACCAAGACTTTGATGATTTCAGAGGGTCATTGGCTGAACCTTTAGCCAAGAGCTGCATTAGACGCTTCTGCGCCCGGGGCAGTGCCGATACGACCTCTTCCGGCGGAAAGATATCGTCTGGAATGGGATCAAATGATACATCTGGAAGCTGGAGCATTTCACGAATCTCTTTGATAGTAAAGGAAGCCTAAGTCAAGTAATTAGCAACCTGGGTACCGTCAGTCGATTCATTGTAACCCACCTGTAGGGGTCCGCGGCGCCCAACAACTCGCACTCGCTTGATGCGACTTGTGGCGAGTTTTTCCACGGCGTAATCTGCTATATCTGTTTTTTGGAGAGTTTCGACATCCGTAAGAAGAATCCGGGCAACGTCTAGTGCAACGTTGCCTTGTCCGACAATCACGGCGTTTTCTCCGCTTAGGTCTGGATCCAGATCTCTGTGCTCTGGAAGACCATTGTACCACCCCACAAAGGCACGGGCTGAGTGCACACTATGTAAAGCTTTTTCTCCAGGAATTCCCAGCTCCTTGTCTTCTGTGGCACCATAGGCGAATATGATGGCATCATAGTGTGGTTTGAGGGCAGCGAGCGGCAGATCATGCCCGATGTCGACATTACCGACGAAATTGAAGCGCGTGGACTCAGCAACCTCTGTAAATTTATCTTCGCAATTCTAATTTTCATATAATCATGAGCTTATTTCTACATACAATGTTCAATGACCGACTCATCATTGAATCGCGGTTTACCGTGACTCACCTTGACTTCGGGATGGTCCGGGGCAACACCGTACCTAGCCAAGCCGAATGGCACAGGTAGCTTCTCATACATGTCAACTATCGCATCTTCCTGTTTAGCCAAAAGACGATAGGCGGCATAGAATCCCGCTGGGCCGGAGCCCACGATGGCCACACGGACGGGTCGATCAGACTGGGCGACATGACTGTTGGAGCGTTTGGATATAAATTGAGAGACAAAGCTCTGGCACCGTAGAAGAGGCCGGCGATTAAGCCGTACCGTGCATTGAGCACATACAAAGGCCTGTTTTAATTGCATGGTGCATGGATTCGAGAAACCGCAGAGGTGATCGGAGATAATGATACAGGGCACGTGACCCTTATCGGTTGCCCCGGGTGACTATCGCATGTTTGCGGATGTACGACATACTTGTGACCTGGGCACATCCCAGGAGTTGACAGTCGCATTCCACATCCTCAACTTCGTCAACATTCCTTAATTCTGCTTCGCGTGGCTGCCACGAGTGGCATTTAGTCGCTACCATGGGGAGATCGTCGCCTCCATTCCTTTATGAGAGTCCGTCCTTCAAAGGTCCGACCGACCGCGGCTTCAACCCGAGGGACGCGACCGGGACGATTTGGACTCGTCCAACAGACAAGCCAAAGCAAAAAGAATCCCAAGTGAATCTGAACCGACACCCTGACACGGTATGTGTGTCCTTTCGGTAATTAGTGATGGATTCTGCTAATGGTGGATGTGGATGTAGTGGGGTTCTTTCAATACGGTCAGTTCATTTACACCGATGAGCTACAAAACAAAGAATCGGGTCAAGTATGCACGGGGGAGTCAGCTCGCACTCAGAGTGCTCAGTCTTCTGGGCGCCCTTGGGTCCCTATTTTGCTCTATCGTTATCAAGGGAGCTGCAGTGACCGTCATCTGGATCATTCGCGTCGGCGTGAGTACGGCCCACCCAAGAAGACTTTCTCTTGCTAATTTTTATTGCAGCCCATAGTTGCAATACTCCACACCATATATGGCGCTTACCATAATTGCCGGTCTGCTCTTAGGCGTCCCACAGGCTCTCAGGCCAGCTATGGGCTATTCGCCGCGATTGTCGACTTAGGAATCATCCCATTTTACGTGTTTACTGCGTTTATCGCGTATGGTGAATGGACCTCCAATGCATATCACTGGGGAACTCTCTTCAACAACAGCGACCTGACTGTAAAACTGTCCGAGGCCACCTTCATCTTGGCGATCGCAAATGGCGGGTTGCACCTCATCTCCCTTGCTATATCGGGTTTCTTGGCTGTCACATTCCGGAAGATCTCCCGCCTACCGCCTGACATGAACCCACTTGAAGACAATTTGACCGCACGTCCCCGCATAAGCCACAAGGAGGCTCGAACCGACGAGAAACATCTCAGTCAATCCACCATGAATTCCAGCTTCGAGGATCCGCTCATTGGATCTCCTCGCAGTGTGCCGTTCATGCACACACGTGAACAGTCTTTTGGTGGTGATTACAACCGTGAATCGATGGGTATGCTCGACGAGCAGCGGCAGTCACATCCATCCTTTTACCAGCACCGCCTATCCCACTTGGAATCCCCAACAGAACCTTACATGGATCCCTCCAGCCCCGACACACTATTCCAACAACCCGCGAGTCTGCCCTATGACTTCACATCACAGGCACCTGCCCCAGAATATCGGAAAGTTGCCTCGCATGCCCCCGAAATCATCGATGCTACTGCCCAATTGCGTCATCTGTCATCACGTACTGCTGATCGGTCGGATACTGCCAGCCCATTGTCCGATAATTGGGTGGCATACTCTGAACGATCTCTATCGCCAACGGGTGAGAGGCAGGACGAGAGCGCAGCCACTCTCCGCCAGTCCTCCTCTGTTTACAGCCGAAAAAGCAACAAGACCACGACGTCTGTCAGTAGTGGTATTCGAGACTGGTTTGCCTATGGCCCCAAGCCTGAGCCAGGTGCTGCTAGTGCGATCCCAGAGGATGTACGCGGGGAATATGCGTCGCTCACCACACATGAATTCTATGGCCTTGATGATAACCGCCGTGAACAAGATGTGGGTGATCAGCGTATGGACATATTCCCAGACCCAGAATATCACAGAGACGACTTTGATGACGAGCATGACGAGTATCTTCCATTTAACCCACTCATGCTTAACCCACCAACTCCGCAACCTATCCTGACCGATAGGCCCGAGAACACCGATCCCGTGCGGCGTGTTGTCTTGGGTGATAACCCCAATATCTCATACAATGCACAGCCAGTGTCTCTTCCACACGAGAGCCCCAATCTCTCACACAATACACAGGCACAGACAGAGCCTGTTCCACGCGATAGCCCCAAGCCCACCTCGCCCAAGACCCGCTTCTATGGTGAGCTGGATGTTAATGGCAATCCTGGATTGGCGTCACGCGATCCAAGTGAACAGGTCGTCCGCAAGCCCACCAAGCTTACGAAGAAACGCAGCAGCAAGATGTCTGCTTATGCGGCCCTCAAGAAGAACGACAACGATGAAGAAAATGGATACCTGTCAACTGCCTCGCCACGCGCCATCGAAAGCGACCGCAAGGGCCGTGTCGTGAGCAACACCGGCGCAGACACTGCCCGCCCTGGCATTGCAGCCGGAGTTGGTGCATCCCTATCTACATACGGGAGTTACATCGCCGGTCTAGGCGTCGGACGCCGCCGCGATGTGAGTGGCAAGGTTGCCGAAGAAGGGCGCAGTGAAAGCCTTCTCGATGAGCCTCCCAGCCACGAGCAGAACGAAACTCACCCACAGGTTCCGAGCTCTTCAGCAAATCGGGCTGCGGGATGGGCTCGGTTTGCCGGGCTTTGAATGTGATATCCAGGGTCTTTTCTAGGAGTTTACGGTTTGTCTTCATGAGTGGCATGTAGCGTTGTTTGGGACACTTATATCCAGTTTCCATTGGTTTGATTTTTTATGGAAATATGTGTGGATTTTTGTTTTATGTATTATGGTTTTATTTTGTTGTATCTAGTTCTGGTCCTTAATGAACATTCAAATCAAGCATAACAGCTAGACGGTCTAAATGAATAGGTGTATAAACTTCGGCTTTATACGATTCAAGAGAGTCTATAAAACTCTAGAAATAACGAACTCCATGTAAGGAGAGACAGCCAAAAGGGAACTCCATAGAATACAGAACCAAATTATTTCAAAAAGTCGCCTATTGTGTTTATTCCTAGCCACCATAGAGTCAAGCCCCTCAAGGGTGTTGAGAGGAGTGCGTTTAGACAAGTTCGATGCTACAGAGGACAGGATCCTTGGAATTATAGATGTGAAGTATATAAAGATACCCAATCTTGACATACAACCAAAAAGGCCGAGACAGCACTTCCAGGGTACATGTCAGGTGTATAGAGTGTCTCATGAGGGAACACCTTCATATTCCCATCCTTCGATGACGCGCTTCCTGCGCCGGGAATTCCGGCGGTTGGCGTTGCACTTGACAAAGAAAGTCAAGGCTGTGATAATAAGAATGATGATACCTGCAATTGCAGCGACAAGTACAGTTTTGCGCTCGAGTTGCTGCGGATCAGAGGCATAGGGACACCTAGCCTCATAGCCATTGGAGACCCAGCAGGAAGTAACATCTATGGAGTTGAAATCTAAGAAGACCTCTCGAAAGGCGGGATCTGCGGAACTCAAGTCGACTGTTGTTTCTGGTAGAGAGAGAAGATGCCTGTAGAGATACGTGTTTTCGAGACCGGTACGCGGTACAGCGAAACTTGATCCTGGTGGACAACTGTCCGACACTTTAGAGAAAGATTCGATCGTGTCTGATAGAACCCAGGAGAAAGGCGAATTACCGATTCGGCAGGCGCCACGACGCTTCTCAGTGCAATTCGTGGACCGCCAGTGGCCATTGAGTGTTAGATCCATGATTGCACAGCGGTCATACTTGGGATCACCGTCGCCGCCGCCATAGTTCGCATCGTGTGGCTCACCAAGTACCCAAGCCCAGGAAGAGGAAAGTGAGAAGTTACGGTAATGTTCAACTTGCTGGTCTGCAGTCTGGTCGAAGAGAGTAGTGTTCAGCATTGGCGAGAGACCACAAGCTGTAATTCCGGAGAGAACATTCGATAGCGAAGCCATCGTCTCATCCGTGGAAAGGCCATCAAGGACAGGGAGGCCACTGGATATAGCCCATGATGAGTTGGTTTGAGACACGCTTGTGAACCCAGGTTCATATAGACAGCCTGAAGTCAGAGTGCCGTTGGTTGCGGAGACCGTCACATCAGAAGTCAGGTATCCAGGAGGAAAGACCGAATTTCCTTCGGTGGACAGATTGTAATTCAACAGCTGGGAATCGATGGAGCCGTATCCAATGAGTACTCGATCGCGTTTGGCGAGCTGAATGTACTTTGATGATGGCCAGCCATCCGGAGTGCTCTGTTCACCCGCTTCATTTTCATGAACGGTAAAATACTCCGTGATGGGCATATAGCCCTCGTCGACCTTATACCATGATTGGTTCAGATTGCTTCTGTCCGTGGCAAGCTGAGCCGGACTATAGATAAAGTCATCAAGCGCGGTTCCCAGAATTGAGCCGGCTAGCTCATTTCCCGATGGCAATTGACCTCCTGATATGGTAGAAGCAGGCTCATTTGGCGTGGAGGCACTTGCGGCGACATGCAGATTGAGAACGAGATAGGTCGTGTACACGGTCAAACGGGAGTTTGTGTCTCGGAAATAACCTACAAGGACTTCCGCCAAGGTATAGGGATCGAGGTTGTCGGTGCACTTGTATGAGCCTAGCTCATAGAGTGTGTCTCCATTTGAATCGTCGGTACCGGTGATAGTCGCAGAGTCCGCACTAGCTGTTGCTGTGGTTGTCTTCGTTGTGGAGGTGGCTGAGGATATAGTCACCCCAGGGCTGACTGGAATAGACACCGGACAGAAATACCAAGTTCTACGGCTGACCGACCAATATAGATCGACAACAAAACGTCGGTACCCGATTGCGAGGAGGTTGGAGAAACATTGTGCAGCATCTTGTTGATCATAGATGCCGTTTCCGAAACAGGCAGCCGACAATGCTACAGCAGGGTTCGTCACATAGTTAAGTGGAATCTGGCCAGCGACATCTCGTTCGCTCTGAATTAAGATATTCGCATAAGCGGGGAGGCATCAACTGCGCAATGAGACACATACCAGTTGAACAGCCACCCAGGTAGCGTTTAACAAGGTTTCTGAAGAGTCATATTGGACAGACATTGAGCATCGACATAAAAATAGCTCCGAAGCGCATGTTCAGTGCATGTCTAGGGTGATGTTCGTTGCTAAAAGGGAAGAAGATTGAAGTCGGGGAAGTCGGGAAGGCGGACAAATCAGCTGAGTCAATGTGGCCACTTCTCTTTCTTTCTTTCACAACTTCCTCTGCCTTGGACTTCCTTTTCTCTTCTGCTTTTTATCCCGTATTTTAATTCAAAATGGCCACCCCTGGCCAGCCCAGCCCTGAGCAGATGGCGGCGATGCAACAACAGTTCGCCGCCGAAGCCGCCAAACGAGGGATGACGCCCCAGCAGTTCGCCGCAAAGCAGCGTGAACAGCTGACTGCCGATGCTACAAAGCTCGGTCTGACTACTGAGCAATATGTTGCGCAGTTGCGCATGCGAGCAATGCAAGCCCACCAGCAGCAACAGAAAATCCAGGCCGAACAACAGGCCCAAGCAGCAACAGAAGGACAACAAGCTCCGTCGCCCGCACCCCAGCAGCACCAACACACAACCACACAACAGGTCCCGGTGAACCCCAACAACCCCCCGGACCCAAAGGCAATAGCAGTGGCCAACTGGCTGCGGTCGCAGAACCTCAAGCCACGCACATGTATCATGGACGGACAGCGCAAGGACATGTTCAAGGGTGAGCGACCAAGATCTAAATATTTCCGAGGAATCGCCATCTAACAGTGTTCATTCAATGTAGTCAAGCGCGCAATCCGAGCCATTGAATCCCCCGCCTATGCCAAAGCCGCCTCAAAGAAGAACTCCCTCCTCCCCCCAGTGACCGACCGCGCCTCCGCCGAGAACGTTTTCAAGCTTCTTCCACTTTCCCTTTTGGCTCTCCGAGTGAGCAAGGTTGATGCCCATGAAGGCCACAACCATGCCAAGCCCAAGAATCGCACCAAGGGTCTATGGACCGTGAAGATCGAACAGCACCAAGAGACTGACCCCATGATGCATTATGTTTGGTTGTATGACGGCCCGCAGTGGAAGCAAAAGGCCATGGCCGCTGCTGTGGTTGCCGGTATCTTCGCCGTTGTCCTGTTCCCGTTGTGGCCTATGATTATGCGCCAGGGAGTGTGGTATTTGAGTGTTGGTATGATGGGACTGTTGGGTCTCTTCTTCGCCATGGCTATCTTCCGTTTGATTCTATTCTGCATTACCGTCTTCACTGTGGCCCCGGGTCTCTGGCTATTCCCCAATCTGTTTGAGGATGTTGGGTTCTTCGATAGTTTCAAGCCTCTATGGGGCTGGCAAGAGGTACGCATTTCTCTATTGACACATTTTCGGACATCGTAAAGCTGACTATTCAACCCTACAGACGAAAAAGAGCAAAAAGGCTAGCAAATCCAAGACCTCAGCCTCTGCTCCCACCCCAGTTGCCGCGTCGGCCCCAGCTGCTCCCTCAGCTGCCCCTTCAGAAAACGCCCCTTCGGCAACCACAACCTCCGCCGAGCCAACTTCTACCCCATCCGCAGTCGCACCGCGACGAGTTCTGAGCGCAAGTGTGGAAGAGGCGGAGGAGTAGTCTACGTTGTGAACGATATTCAAAGCCGATAGACCGGAATTGGTCGAACGAGGTCCAACGCGGGTGTTTATTTCAAACCATCCATGATATTTGTATTTTCAAGATCCATATTCCATATTCATTCTGGCGTTTTAGGCCTTGCTCTGAGAATCGATATCATTGGGAACGCCTTTATTTCTCTTTATTTCTGTCTTTAATTCATTGCACAACTTCTCTTCGGGCATCAAATCGATGTAGGATTCTTGTATTCGGATATTTCAGATGCTAGATAAGAAGGAAATATGGTAATGTACAGGCTCGGATCTCCGTGACTTATACTTCTCGACAGAAGATACCGAGTTCAGAAGAGGGAAGAGATATGCTCCTAGAATAGAATAAAACGGGGTATATACAAAAACACAAACGCAACGAAGAGAAGCAATCTGTAGATAGTAAAGACAAAAGAGGAACCAACGTACGCACGCCAGGGTTGGTACGACCGAAGTGCGCAACAAGAGAATGGATATGATAGGCTGTCAGATATGCAATAGGTGCAACAGGGGTATTTGATTATGAGGCCGAGGCCTCGATGCCAGATATAGTAATGACAGATGCGAGAAAGGAAAAAGGGTATAGGGAATGCATCTCAAGGTAATGTCGTGAGAAGGAGCTCGTAGGGTTTTGGAGAATCGATGTTAGAGCGAGGTGAAGTGTCATAGATGTGATGTTGAGTCACAGCAGGGGAGGGTGGATTTAGACCACGGGGCTCTTGATCAGTTTTGAGTGTCGGGCAGTTCGTGAGATGTTGCTTGCTGGGTCACTGTTTGCGGGATCGGCACCGCTCTTGCGATCTTCAACGTGATCACGCACTGGCTGGGAGCCGTAGAATCGGTGCGTTGAGGACGCTGCAGACCAGGGGGATAGCATCTGCGGCGCGGTCGTGCCGGTGGAAGCAGTAGGGATAGTGGTATTGACGGTAGGACGGGCGGGTGGAGGGAGCTTAGGGAGTGGGCAGTTGGGGGGTGGTGCAGATGGAGGCCCGATTGATAATCCCAGACCGGGCATGCTCTTGCGCCGCAACATGCTCGGACCATCCTGGTTGTTCGGGTACATAGTGGAGACTCTCTTGCGCGGTATTGGATCTGCTGGTGGAGGGACCTGTGATGCAGAGGCGCCTTTCCGACTCATGCTAGGGCGGCCGACCAGGCTGAGTGGACGGGAAGATGCTCTGGGATCAGGTAGAGGGCACGTAGGAGGCGCTGTGCTGGGTGCCCGGGAAAAGTTTTTGGCATTCTGTGCTGAACGAACGGCTTTGGTCAGGGCATCCTCTGAATTCGAGGGTCGTAGTATGCGCTTGGGCTCTGATGAATCTGTGTAGCGCGAACTAGCGACGCTGAATGTTGGAGATTGCGGAGGAGATGCAAAGGCGGATATATTTGGGTCGGTGTCGACATGACGAGAAAAGGCATTGAGTGATGAAGGGGGAGAGGCATGAGAGACAGGGATCGGCCCGGATCGCGGAACAAATTTCTTGCTAAAGGAGGGGACACTGAAATTAGGCGCTGGAGGTGAAGCGCTGCGAATGAGAGCTTCGGGAATAGCTGGTGGGTGATGCGCTTGTGGCTCCTCTGTGAAGTCGGCAATAGGGGGAGGCTGAGATGGCAGGGGAACATATAAGGATTGTCGTTTTCCATGGACAGAAGCGGGCGGGGTGCGCGTGTAGACTCGGTCAAGCTCTTCCGGCACAGGCTCATCAGGCCTGAAAGCGTCGGTACCTAATGGCGGCGAGTTGGGTATATTCGAAGAAGTGAATGATGAAGAATGAATGTCAGACACGACAGAAGCAGAGCCGTTGGTAGGATTTGTGGCGTCGGTTCGGCCAGTCGACACCGATCCGGATCGAGATTCAATTATTGAGCGACGATTAACCGACACATATGAACTGCGGCGAGATTGCCATGTGGCACCGCCGACAGACTGGCCATCTTCGTCCTCGGCGGGCGATTGGAGGGTCTGAGGCTGAAGGAAAAGACTGGAAATGCGATGGGGATCTTTCTTTACCATTTGTCGAACGCTTGATTTGGACCGCAGCTGAGGCATTGTGTCTTCGTCCGATTGCTTCTCTTGCGTGAATTTACGTCCTCCCCGTTTTTCGATCTCAGCTCTTATAGCCGCTAACCAGCTGATCATATCTTCGGGATTGTCAAACACCAAAAGAAAGTTGCGCGCAAACCGCCGGCTAGTATGTTTGTGGAAGCCAAAGCGCGCGAATCGATGCTTGGGAGGCTCCGGTACGGCGGAATCATCAGTTGTCGGATTGTGAGAGACCTGGACTACCCAATGTTTCCCGGGGATAGCGTCACTAGCAAATGCGACAGACTTAGGTCCTAACAGCAGCATCCTCTCGGGAAGACGGTCGTGCTTTCCTTCGCCTGCATATTGGAGAATATAGCCGGTAGTAGCCAGGACATATACTTTCTGAGTCCAATCCGCCTTGTTGATGGTGCCAGATAGTGTCCGGAGATGCTTTTTTTGCTTTTGTTCCCGCTTTTTACGAGCGGCATCGGCAGCCTCATCCTGCTCTAACGGATTGGCAGGGTTGTCGTCAGTAGAGCTCCTTGTAGTTGTAGCGTGCAGGCGCAAGATAGAATCTGCAGAGAGAGCGGGTGCAGGGAGGCAGTCATGCTTGGTGGATTGGGGATAGGCCTGGAATAATGGGGGAGGCTTCCAGCCATACTGTTCCTGGCTCGAAGGGTCGGGTTCGGGTTTCGAACGGGTGTACTTCAATGTCGCGCGCGATCGTTCTGTCGCGGATGCAATTGTCGGGGAGGTAATGGTGGGATTGGAGTCTATAGTTCGGGGGCTCATAGTAGAGGGCGACAGGGCGGTTTCCAAGAGAATGGCAGTTTGAGGTTCTGGCTGTGCCTCCATAATCTCCTCCAATTTGGGGTCTGCGCGCGAAGACTTATGACCAAAGAGATTGCGCAGACTCGTTTTAGAGGACTGCCGTTTAACGTGGGACTGAAGCGGAACGGGACCTTCTGATCCATTGGTACTTGGATACTCGGTTGGCCGTGGGCGTTGTACCCGTTTTTGAGCAGCTGGTCGACTGAAATTGGTCTGTAGGGGCGCGAGTCGATGACCTCTGCGTTCGCCAATTGATGGCGGATCTGGATTCATTGTCGAGGAGCGCGTTCAAGACAGTCCCACAGAGTTCCACACAGCTCTAGACAGTTCAAGACTTCGGGATTTCAGGGTGTCGAGCGCATTGGAGAAAAAGGAGCGACGAGGTTTAATATAGGCAATGATCATCGGAAGGGAACGTGGGCATGGACTGACTCGACGTCATGGCACATCCGACAATAAATAGCCGTTTGAATATATCTATAAATGTGTAATAGAGAGAAATCGGAGTCGAGATTGAAATCGCAATCGAGGAACGACCCTTTCGGGAGAGAAAGAAGACATCCAGAGAGAGAAGAAAAAAAAAAAGACCAAGGATTTCAAGGGGAAATTCGCATCCAGCCTAGTTCCAACCGCCGGTGGGGGGATCTACTGGTGATAGTGTGCGTCGAGGGGGCCAGACCGGGGGGAATAAAGAACCATCTGCAAGTGCCGAGACGCAAATTCGAGGAAATGTGACAACCTAGACAGTTGGACCACATTTCAGTCCCTGGCCGGGATCAACAGCGCCCATCAGATCAGCGCTCTTGTCACAATGCTGCGCCATCGTAACATCTTTTTGTGTGAACCCGCGAGGGCGATGGGTTGTCCAGTGCACATCGACCGAGCCAATCCGCTAACGAGGCGTCAGCCTTAATTTCTTTTTTTCGAGGCACCAACTCAAAAAGTTCCACTTACCACAGTCATAGTGGGATGATGTTTCTTGGACGAACTCTCGGCTGCAATCATATTAACAAACGCCTAGACGGAGGAGATTGTCAGTTAAACCAGTCTCACAGCAGAGCGGAAGCAGTCCCAGTCCAGACAAATGACACAACTCACCACAGCCTTGAAATAACTCTTAAAATGGAACGTTTTTGTAACCCCCATTCCGTCTCCGTCCTGCGCCCAGCCCCGCTGCAATAAAGCGTCGGCGTCGTGCGCAAGCTGCTGCGCATCCTCGCCCTCGGCGAACTGAAACGCGCTGGATGCCATTCTCGGGAATGGACGCGAGAGGGGGAATGCGGGTGCGTGCAGACTGGGGAGTCGGGTGAGAGGTCTGGTATTGGAGATGTGTCTAGCACAGAGACGCATGGAAGCAAGATTCATTCTCTAAGGTACAAAGTAGGTACAGAGTGTTATGTCGAGGAATTGGAAAGTTGGTACATGTCGAGGCGCACGGGCCAAGAGTGTCTTATCGGAATTGGCTGAGACCTCTATGATGCTATTTTTGTTCATACATCATGTACGGCGTATGTATTCATATTTTATTCGATATAGAACTGCAGATGTGCGATTTATTCCAAATCTATGCACTTACCTAGGTGGGGGAAATGCTTTATAGGTCGTGAACCCCAAGTTATAGACCATGCATAGGCATAATAAAGAGTCTTATTGCTAGAAAATCTTCTTGTCAAGTCCTGACCGACATGCAATTCCAATACTCATCTGCCTGGAAATTAGCGCAGTTCTCATCCATCAAATTGGCGGGAACTTGGAGATTCCGCTACTATCTTCCAAAATGCACGCAAAGTCACCAAATATCGGTAATTCGTGCTGCAACACTCCGCTGCGTTGGTTGTATAGACTGCACCATTCCACCATTCTACTCGAGACCTGTCATCGCCTACTATTTAGCCTTAGTTGTTAGATTTAAGTTGTCGTCCACGGGTATGTGCATTTATGACTAGTCCATTTTGTCGACAGCAAAAAGGGATAATAAGTGAGTAGATATATATATCCAGATGTCGGAGGTAAGCCCACTTGAAACATGGACCATCTGTCTGTCGATATGTATATATATAAACCTAGGAATGTCATATAACAATCCCGCCCAGGTTCAATGTAAAGTGATACTAAACCAGAAGTCCTTTTAACATTTGGCACTAACCCTAACCAGGTCTGGCCCCGGGTTGGAGGAAGCACGAAGGTACAAGTGGGAGTGTAGCGACTCCACAGGTTATACTAAGCGGGTTCTTGCTTAGAATCAAACCCTCGGCTTTATTGACTTATACATATCCAGTCCCGGCCGGAGCCGGACAGGCATTGATAGGATGTCTCTACCGTGTCCTTGGTGCTAGGTCAGGTCAATGACCTCATGTTGTACTAATGTACTACTAGACACTGATGTATTAGATCGAACGAGATACTGCTGCAGGTAATATCTTCCCTCCACCCTTACTAAGTTAACATACTGATAGCCACAAAGCATTCCTAGCGAATAATAATGGTATAATTCATGATTGGTACCGCTCAGTCACGAAACCCATAGCATACATGACACTCCCCAGATCGCAAATCTTGTCTTTTCGAGTGGAAGCAAACACAAAAAAACAAGACAATTAATTTTTAAAACCCGCGCCCTTTCCTCCTTCCAGTCCAATTCCCATCATAATTGAAGTGCACAAGAACAAAAAGCCACAGACCAGGAGTGGGATATCCACTGAGCGTCGGGTGCAAGAATTAGTGCCAGCCACGCACAGCGTAGGATTGGCGCATGCACGAAGAGGGGATGTGAAAATTCTCATAGATTCCTATGACAGTAATCTCACTCCCATTGTATGAGTATTCACAGCAGAAAGCAAAACAAAAACGAACAGCGATCAAGAATTGAGGTTGATGCTGTTGCGGCGCGAATTGGCGCGAGAGTTGGCACGGGAATTCACTTGAGAATTGACCCGGGAGTTGCCTCGGCTACCCATTGTTGGGCGGATGCGAAGATCTTGTTGAGAGCGAGCATAAGAACTGGCGCGTGATGCCGGAGGGATCTTGGACCCTCGTCGGCTCTGCACCTGCATTTGGTGTCGAGCATCCTCTAGCTGCTGGGCGAATGGAGAGCGCTTGCGCAATGTCGGGCCCTTCCAGTAGATGATATAGACCGCAACGACAAGTGGTACGGAGATACAGACTAGGAACAGGTTAGACCACTGGCTCATGCGAAGAGACAGGAAAGGATAGACATACAGAGAATAGTCGAGGCGTATTCAAGATGGCGCTCGCCACCGATATCTGTCAAAAATTGTCAGTATGATAATGCGAAATGTGTGGAATGTGGCAACTTACTCGTGAAGAACGGCGTGGCCGGAATGGTGAGAACACCAGCAAGGAAGTCACGCGACCAACCATTACCACCGGTTGCAGAGGCAGAGTATGGTCCGTAGGCGCAGATCATGTAGTCAATTGTGGCCATATAAATAGCATAATTGGCAATACCAATGATGGCAGCGAAGATCATCGATCCAATCCAGTGGCACTGAGGCAAACTGGTCCAAGCGAATCCGATCAGACCGATTGGTAGACAGGGGACGGTGTAAAGCAGCCACCACAGACGAGACTCATACTGTGCCCGTTCGCTCTCGGGATGGTCGCGGCGCTCTTTGACGTTGCGTGTGATGACCGGGAAGAAGGAGAACCAAGCGATGAAGTAGCCAACCAAAATTGGGATGAAGGCCAGACCCTTCTCCCAGGTGTTGAAGCCCCACTGGCCGTACACAAGAGAGAGCGATTGGATGAACATGAAGATAAGGGCATCGCTGAAACCACTCAGCAGAGAAAGCACCAATACAATGGGCTCAGTCAGGAACATCTTGAAGGGACGAATCCAGGTAGCCAAAATTTCACGGGGCGGGAAACGCTGGCGGAACGACATGCCCTCGGTAGGACCGTAAATGTTGGGGTTTTCGCCGGACTTGCGCATGTTCTTGGCAATCCGATCCATCATGACAGTAGTTCTGGTTTCCGGGACGAACAGGAAGTGGGCCACTTGGACGAAACCACCGAAGATCAACTGAATCCAGATATTCCACCGCCACGGTAGGAACGCCTCGACGAAGCCACCCACCACTGGACCAAGCACAGATCCGCCAACGGACGAGAAGACGACGGCGGCCACGGCGTATTGTTGATCATCGGGTTCCCACAGATCAGCAATCATTCCCAGGGTAACCGAGCCACCAGCGGACGAGAGACCGCCGAGGGCACGACCGACCATGATGGAGGCGAAGTTGGGGGCCAGAGCCACGGGGAGCTGAAAGATGTTGACAAAGAAGAGAGATGCCTGGAGAATGGGCTTGCGACCCAGCTCCTCACTCCAGGGGGCCCAGAGTTCACAGCCAAAAGCATAAAGAACCAAGAAGATCATGGCACCACAACGGGCAGCTTGCATGGAGACACCGAACTCCTCTGAGATTCCAGTGGCGGCGTTCGAATAGAGCGATGTATTGAAGTTCATGGATGTCTGAACGAGGAAGATCACGGCAATGATGATCCACTTCTTTCTTTCAGTAAAGGAGTATCCCAGTTTGTCGTAGCACATGTCCTCGGTGAGCTCGATAACCTCATCGGGTGTGGGCGAGGCCTCCTCGAGCTGATCGTCTTCCAACTTTTCCGTAGCGGCATTGACAACGGCTTGGGCGTGGGCAGCTTCTGCTGCCTGCACGGTGTCCCTCCCGTACTTGTCGGCGTTATTCGTCATTGTTGACTCTCACTTTGTGTAGAGATGGGGTAGTATAGGGTAAACTGGTATCAAGACCAGTTGATAGTAGAAGAAACCCCAGGAAATGAGACAAGAAAGTGTGGAGAAGTCTCAAGCAGTCTGGAGAAAGATCAATGGAGAGAAAGAGATAGAGAGTGAAGATCAAAAGGAAGAGGAAAAGGAGGAATTAAATACAGAAACGGGGAGAAAAAGGCAAGAGCCAAATGCAGGAAAGAACCAAAACGGTCCCCCGGGCTGGCCCTGTCAGTACATTTCCAGTACCGGGTTAGTACGAGGTCGGTACAAAAGTTTCCAGGTCGCATGTTCCGTGATTGAATACTTTTGCCTCAGTGGAATGAATCCTGGATTTATTACCAATGTACCTGAGGTACGGAGTACTTGGTACTGACTATACACTCACGGGATGCCGATGTCCCCCGTGGTACCCCACTTTATTTTCTCCAGACTTCGAATCTTCTCTCCAGACTCTTCAGATCCGTTTCCTTTTGCCCCTTTCCTCTGTCCCTTTTTTGCCTCTTTGGACGCTTTGTCGTCTACGGAATTGCCTTCAATATACAGCCCATGGGTGAAAAGGATTCGATGCTTTCTGGTACTTCCAGGGCTAATTAGCCGGAATAGGAACCCTCTCATTGGGGTAATCGGACCCACATTGGAGACAACTACGGTCATGTCCAGTCGACTTCCCCGTTTGCCGTTCTGGGCCGAGAGAATGTCCGCTTCGAGTCTGTCCAATATCTTCTTACATGCCACGTCAAATCTACACCCAAGTATACCGACGATCGGGATATCAAACCCCATGTGCCCCGCGAAGCAAGGAGCCGGGGTTATTGCCGACCGTGCCCGGCCGCATGGTTCTCCATATGCGACTGAAGTTCTGCGTGGTACGGAGTGGACTCGGGTACAAAAAATGACAAAAGGGGCTAAAAAAACAAAAAAACGCTGTGGGGAAGAAAAAAACGCCCATTGCTCCCTCCAAACTCAACGTGTTCCTGTTAAAACAAGATATTGCCAAGTCGCCCATGACTTGCCTTGCCCATATGTGACGTCAGGTTAACCACAAGAGATCAGGTCATTCGTCAATCATATCCAGGACAGGCACTGCGGCTAAATGCACTAGAGTCGCTGTGGTTCATATTACGGGCGTGGCGTTAGATCGTCATCAGGGCTTGGCAGCCATAACTCTTGTTCTGACCAGAGCACGCCCTTCGCTTACATTGTAATCGGCTGAGTACGGAGGATTGAAATTTTTTTTTTCTTTGTCTGTCGGGTTATCAAATCCTTCGATCTGCAAAGGAGGGAACTTGCTCTTCGGTCATCTTTCGGCTTTACGTTCCAGAATAACGAGTGGAAGGCCGCCAATTACGTACTTGTCAGCCAGTCAACGAGTCAACCACAACCACAACCACAACCATAACCGCATTACCAGCAGATGGCCTGATCTCCCCCTTGCAGAATCGTTCACTCGGAGGACATTTCCCCATGATTACCGATACCCGCCATTGCCCACTGGGGTAAAAGCAAAAAGAAGGTTTTGCTAGTCACATTCAAGGGGGAATGTACGGAATGTACGTTATCCGGAAACAACCACAGTCCATCCCACATCCCCCGGACCCGGACTCTCGTGCTTTTTGTCGATCGTATCTGGAGCGCCACGCGACACTGAAGATCTTTGCGGCCATCCCCGGATTTTGTTTTACATGTCGGTATAGAAGTATGACTCTTAGAAATTGTAAATTTGAGCGCCACATAGAGAAACCGGCGTGTTCCTCTCCTTGGCCTGCGCGCAACCAGGGGCCAAGATATGATTTGCTGTGCCGTGACCTTCGTACCCGTGGAAAGTCTGGCCTGGTCCATATTCCGGAAGAATCATATAAGCCCCGAGAGAAAGAATCCGAGTTGTACCATATTCACTCGGGGTGTAATACTGTCAGACTGGGTCTTGTAGAGACAGGCTGGAGCATTCTAGCCATTCAGCCTCTGGCGTCGGTTTCCATAAACGGCATCCGTGTCACATGACCGACCCCGCGAAAGCGGTGGCTGAGTCAGCAGATCCTCACGGGATTATCTGACGTTACTACAGATTAGAGCTTCGCATCATACATATTCCTCGACGTCAACGCAGTTATCAATCAAAGATGTCACCGGATCTGAATTCCCTTCCTCCATCCCGTTCCTCTTCAACCTCCTCCTCCATCCCGCAACGTAATATGGCCGCTCCTGGAACTGGTCCGGTGCCCGTGAACCCGAACACTGTCTCACCAAGGCCATCCCGTGGCTCAAGCATAGGCCGACTATCGGTATCTGAACGTCGATCCACTGCCGGTATTAATTCGAACGTGAACGAGATGCTGGGTACTAGTCCGGGACCTAGCAGCGAGTTACCCGCGTTAGACCACCGTGACCATCGCAGCCCGATCGGACATGCATTCCGCACAGCCAGCCCGTCAAGTCCCATCTTTGCGACAGCAGATCCTCATCACCAGCGTGCACCATCGCTGGGGGAGCTACACCAAGAGCTGGAGCAAGAACAAGAAGCACAAGTGGTAGGTCAATCATCCCTTTTAGCCTTGTAGGAAGCTAACCGAGTAACTATGAAATGTAGAACCGGCTTCTTCTGATGATCCGCAGCCAGCAGGCCCAATTGCATCAATACCAGCAGCAACATAACCCACAATCCACCGCTGCAATCGACGACACAACTCCGGCATCGGAACGATCGGCCTTCTTCCCACCCGGCCCGACACCTCCTGTCGGCAATAGATTATCGATCTCTTCTTCATCAAACCGCCGAAGCTCGCGGCCTCCCAGTCAAGCGGCGTCACCGAACTTGCGACCGCTAGACTCGCGCGGAGAAAGCGTGGAGCCATTTCCGGGGTTGCGGGATAGTGCATCTCGGCGCGGTAGCCGGGACGAGGGTGCATTTTACCAGGCCGAAGCGAGCTCTCTAGCCCGAGAAAACGTCCTCCTTCGGCAACGCATCCGAGAACTAGGTAAGAGAATTCCGGTTTAGCGTTTTTTTTTTCTTGAGCCCACAGTAATTCGGAGTAACCCCACCCCGAGAGTGGATCTGATTTAAGCGCGTACTCCATACATATACTCCGTACTAATTTTCTCCACAGAGAGGCAAATCGGTGGCCTGACGACTTCCCACGGTGCGTCCTCCGCCTCCGCAACAACAGCTTCGGGGTTTGCGTCGGGGCAAGCGGGGACCGAAACCACGGACCCGCCTGCCGTGAGTACAACGCGAGACGGTAAAGACTGAAAAGTGCATTCATCACGAGTCGTAGCTCGTTGACCCGCACAGGGGTGATATGAGTGATACAGGCGAGAACCCGGACATCAGCCTAATTGTTCAATACTCTATGCAATACCACAGAATAACCACAGGCAATCCTCCCGCAAGCAACCGGTTTCGATTTTTCAATCTTGGCGCCTAGATTTTCATGAGGGTCAGTATATCCCATCTTTCGAGGACGGTTCCCATTTCTTTCGTGGCGATGTGACTCTATGCGCTTGTCAATGTTGCAGTTCTGACAGTGTTTTGTATGAAGTTCATGGCCTGTTGCTGTCGCTAGCAAAACTTCCCATTGGAAGTGGCGAGGTCTATGGGAAACTGAAATTAATATAGAAATCCATGACAATACATGTCGACTTCATTCTTTGCGTTATACGTAAATACTCAGAAGTTGAACTGCGTCAACGCAATAAACGACTTCAATTATCCAAGGTAATCCCTTGCACAAGACCTAATTGGCATTACTATCCGAGTCTAAAAATAACAGTCTCACTCGAATAGCGACCCATCCTTACTTCCACGTAGTCCAGCCCAAGAACGAAACAAGCTGCTTGAAACTCTCCACAGTCTCATCCAAATCCTTCCCATCCAACAGCCCTGATGCCAAAGTATCACAGACCTCCCGAGAGATGGAAGACACAACCTGGCCAGCAAGAGACTCAGCAGGAGCAGAAGCAGGAATAAACTCATTCTGACACAACCCAACAATATCCTCCCTGGCCCCAAAGTCCCTATAATCAATAAAAGGCTCCAAAACACCCTCAATCCTCGTCCGAAGGACATCAACCGACGAGAAATTGCCAGCTGCCAGAGTCCGCAGTTCATCCGAGTACCGGAAAACAATCATATCAGCAACAGCCTGCCAATCAAAGGGAGAGTCAACCGGCCGAAGAGTGTTAACCATCTCATTGATGTCCGATCGAACAGGCTCAAACTCCTCACTGGGAATATGATCCAGCAACGGAATTTTCGAATCCCCAGGGAAAAGATCAAGGTCGTACCCATACGCCGTGACAAAGTGATCGAAATCCAAACGGACTTTCTGCCCAAGTAACCGATCATACCGCGCATCGATCGAGCAACAATCACCACCCTGTGGCCGCCCACGAGGACCACCGGGGCCACCAGGGCCATGAGGACCACCGGGACCCTTCCTCCCACCCTTCCTCCCCCTCCCACCACCAGGACCACCTGGACCACCGGGGCCGCCAGGGCCGCCAGGACCACCACCAGGTCCACCACCACCAACCTGAGGCTTCGTCTGCGTAATAGCCACAACCTCAAGATCGCGCTCAAACGAACAAAGAATAATCTCAAAATCGCCCTCGGTACGAGCAATACCATCAACCCTCTCCCCCCAAACCTCCTTCACCATCCGACAAGTCTGGAACGCGCGCTCCTTCTCCTCCGGCGGACCACCGACAGGCGGACGCGGGCCGGGCTCCGGATGGGAAATGGTGTCGTTGAAGAGGATGCGGTCCTGGGACTCGAGGGCGCCGCCTGGGCCAGCGGACATGCCGTCTATGTAGAGGAGACGGAGGTCTTTTGCGGCGGCGTAGGTGTGGAGGTAGCCCGCGTTGACGGGGTCTGTGTTTGCGTTTGTGTTTGTGTTTCCGTGGGGATGGACAGGGGGATTTCCCAGAGGAGCTTGATCTTGATCTTGACCTTGACCTTGATCTAGATCTCTATCTTGGTTTCGATGATGGTCATGCTCATCATTCTTGTGCATGAATCCCTTCTGACCGTGTGCACGATGCGCGAAACCAAGCGAATGCTGCGGTTTAAAGGCTAGCCATTCGACGCCGACGATAGGATCTGGTGTCCCGGTGCCGTGGTAGAAGCGTGTTCCCTTTTCGACGGTGGCTATGAAGAAGGACATGCCATTTGGGTAGATGGATGATTCATAGTGGCGGAGGGTTGACTGGATTGAGTTGAAGATGTGGTTTGCGTTGGCTGTTGTGTTGATATTATCGAGGGTGAATGCTTGCGATGGGGAACAGAGAGTTAGGGATAGGGACAGGGCCCAGAGGCATTTCTCTGTGTACCGCATTGTTCAATGGGTATGTATGTACGGAGTACATGTATCTCTGTTGAGGAGAGCAAGACTAAGGGATGGATTGAGGTGGGCGTTGGTTTTGATAGTAGAGACGCCATGGACGCGTAACGGTGCTATAGCGTCGGGCCGTGGTCGTATCACCGACATTATTTCTGGCTCTTTTGGGCTAGAAACGACGAAAAAGGACTGATTCATAGAGTGGTGGTGCAGTGATTGGAGAGGAATGTCGTGGTGGAGTCGTAGACGGCTTTAATTCCCCGATGTGGGTGGCTCCTGCGAAGCTCTCGGAGTTGCGTGGACTTTGATATTTGAGGATATTCGGAATCTCTTGACATATAGAACTACGTTGAGATATGACTTAGGACATATGATCGTACATCACAAAGGTGGGTTTCATTGGTCTAAACGAACTAATGCTAGCTAATACCTGGGGAAAGAAATACTATCGTTCTGATAGATTCTAGAATAGAAAAATGTATACGAAGAATAAATATATCAATTCAAATAAAAGAAGGTAAAGATCAAGTCAAACTTTGTGTACAATAACAAGTGTAAATACTCCGTACAGACATTCCAAGTTGAAAAATATATATTCATCTATCAGGCGCTGGAGTAAGGAAACATAAATCCAAAAGCACCAAAAGTAATAAAAACCGGGTATATGCAAGACACATCTACAGCTTCGGCTTCTCAGGCTGGGCAGCCAAGTCGGGCATGAGCAAGTCACGAAGCTCAGTGGCAGCTTCACTGAGGTAGTGGCTCATGCGGTCGGCGCCAAGACGCTTGCAGACGATGTTGAAGTTGAGGCTGGAGAGATTAGTTAGATATGCATGAATGAAAAAGGGTCGGGGTGCTAGTGCTTACCTGTTCTCGTTGATCATGTAGGCAATTCCGAAACCATCGTCAATAACCTGGCTCCATCCGTATCCGTTGAAGTATTCGGAGCTCAGCTGGGAGGTGGAGAGGTACCAAGAGGAAGAGTAGGTGTATGCGGGGTCCTGGTAGATCTCGGGCAGCTTCTCGCCGGGCTGGAGAAGCTTCTTCAGACCGAACAGGTGACGGTCGACACCGTGGCCGGCGCTAGCCTCCTGGGTGTACTTGGTGTGCTGGGCGAGGGCAGCGCGGAAGAGCTTGACGATCTCCTCGCGAGGGGTGGTGCTGTCCTCGTGAGCCTTGCAGAAGGCGACGCTCTCGTCGGAGACGGTGCGGGTGGTCTCTGTGCGGCCTTCGGCGAACTTGCGGGTGGAGGCGGACTCGTAGGTGGGACGGTTCTTGCCGTACATCTTGAAGTAGGCCAGCTGGATGGTCATCTGGACGAAGGCATCGGGGCTGCACTTGAACTTCTTGATCAGACCCTTGCCGTAGCCCTGGTAGGCCTGGACAACCAGCTCGTGGGAGCCGATCTGCTTGCGGTGGTACTGGGTTGCGAAGTCGATAGCCTCGTTGGCGGCGTCGTCCAGCTTGAAGTCGATGGGTTTGGGGTCGGCAAGCTGCGAGCGCACGGTCTTGGCGGAAAGGTCGATCTTCTTGTTGAAGATGACGTTGTTGACGTAATCGTTCAAGCGGTGGGTGGGAGTGCCGTCCATCATGCTGTGCTCGCCCATGAAACCAGCAGTGCCATTGTCGTTGATAATGAACTGCAGAGGCTTGTCGAACCAGCGGTTGGAGCCATCACCGTGCCAGTACTGTGAGCAGCGCTCAGTCAGAGTGACAGGGCGCGCATCATCCAAGCAGACCACGAAGCCAGCAGACTCAATATCCTGCAAGGCCAGCTCATTGGCAGGGTCAAGAGCAACGAGGGTCTTACGAGCAGCGGTCCAGTGATCACGGTCCGCAACAGTCAGCACGCCAACAGGGGGCGCGGGCTGTGCGGTGTCGTAGATGCGCTGGAACTGCTTCTCCAACTCAGAGACGTTGAGCTGTTGACCGTCCACAACAACCGGGAGCTTGAAATACTGGTTCTTGCGCACCACGACGATGTGCTGGTTCTCAGAAGCGGGATACTTGCGAGCGAAATCCGCGCCCTCGGAGGGGATACGGCAGCAGTTGAACATGTACTGGTACGAGCTCATGGCTTGAGGCTCCTTGCGGAGGTACTCGGGCTCCAGAGAGCCATCATCGACCTGCGACTTGAACTCGAGCGCGGCAGTGGTGATGGCAGCAGCGCGCTTGGCTGGGTTGCGACGCTCGCGGTCGTCCCGGTAGGAGTAGAAGTAGGAGACGTAAGGGATGACGGGGTCGCGGTAAGCGAGGTAGGCGGCCTGGTTCCACCATTCGGAGAGCCAGTTCTTGATCTTCGGGTCGGCAGCACGAGCCAAAAGACGCTTCTGCAGAGACTCACCCTGACCACCGGGGCGGACGAATTCCTCCACGGCGTTCTTGGTGCGCTCATACTCGGACTCGGAGACGACAGCGTGGACGGACTTGAGGTATCGACGGCTGGTCTCTTCTAGGGAGGGAACGGGGAGTCTGGGGAGGGAGTCTTCGAAACGAAGCATCTTGCCCTTGGAGAGGTCCTCCTTGTATCCTGCTGTTCTGTCAGCGTTTGATCCGGTGTGCCCACGTCGCGCCGGACGTCTGTGTTACTAACCCTCAGGGACGGAAGATGCTGCTCGTCGGGGAGCCATTTTGAGAGTCTATATGCGTGTCAATGGGTTGATCCCGGGCGATTTCACTGCTTTCCGCAGCATTCCACAGCATATGTAACCGACTTACCGAGCGGGCGAGCAGAGTGTTCGGAACGCGTTGCCTTGACAGGTTAGAAAGACGGCTTCGGGCAGAAGCAGTGAACATCCCTCTGGTTGACTGAAAGGTTCGTTTGGGGGTATTCGGAGGAGTGGACGTCCAGGTGAAGCTTAAGGGAGAATAAAAAGAATGGCCGAATGACGCTTAAAGCAGAAACCTCGGCTGGCGGGGAAGCCGGTAAAACGCGGTACGGGGACTGGGGAAATACATGACCTCAGTCCCGATCGACTTGGATTTCTTTGCCACGGGGAACGATGAGAAGGTGAAGAGGTGAATTGTGAATTGGAGATCTGGATAATTGGTTTCTTGATGTCTTTTATCTTCAATATTGGCTCTTATTATCGTGTTGACTATGGACTTGTATATGCATCTGAACCTGGGGCAAAGGATATAATACGGTAATACCAATACCTGCTCCACCCACGAGCCTCGGTCCATTTCCCCAGTTACAGTCACAAGGGAGAGCTGGGGCACTGGAGAAATATGTAGAATGTGAAGGGCACTAATATAGTGTTGAATGGAAGGGATTGTATAAAAGATAGTTATACAACATATAAAACATACACAAAATATAAAATGCCCCGACTTTAATACTCCGGTTCTCCGGGAGATCCCCTCCAATGCGGGGAGAGCTTTTAGCGTAAAGGTACGGAATACGATATATGGAGTATATGACAGGCGCATTGCAGTAAGAAAGAAATAAAGCGCTAGATTATGTATAGATGGGAAGAATAAATCAAGGAAACCCCCTTTCATCCGATCCCGTTGACCCGGCCAATAAAACAAAACAAAATCGAAGAGGAAAATGACAAGAAAAATAGCCAACACCTTGGAATACCCAGAACACCGACTAGGCTCCACGGGGAAAAGGAAATAAAAAGTCAAAAGTCATTCAGCCAATACGTGGTGCGCAATTAGGAGACGGGCTGCACAGCTGCCGGTTGATCCTGGCCATCGATGGCGCGAGGTACCTGCACCCCGCTACGACGTAGCTCATCCATTTTAGCCATGGCAGGCCCGGTGCAGATCCGACCGGTCTGCATAAGCGTGCGGAGACGTTTCCGACGGGCCTCGCCGCTGCGCTCTTCGCCACGAGCAACGCCCTCGTCCACCCAGTCCACGGCATGGATCTTGAAGCTCATGCCATCGTGACGACCGTCCCATTTGCGGGACTTCAGCCCGAACATGAGAGTGCTGTCGTACTGGGCCAGGCGGGGAAGAATTAGTAGGGTGATGTGCAGGTCCTTGTCGGTTGGGGGTATCGGTGGTAGACGTGGGCCCTTGGCCGGAGCCTCGCCCTCAGGGGTGGTTTCGGGTGGCGGTGCGTGCTGGTAGGTATCTCTAATCTCGAGATCAAGCATTGACTCGTCCACGTCGTCGCCCCACGCACCGCGAATGAAGCCGGAGTGGATGGCAGCGGCGACAGGGTCGGAGTCGTCTGTATAAACACCAGTCCCCCAGAGCGCGCGTCGGGCGCAGATTTCCTCTCGGTGAGATTGATTGATTCGGAAACGGGGGACTCGAACGGTAAATGTGCAATTCTCTCGCTGTTCGAAGCGGGGAAGGGGCTGGGGGGTCGATGTATATCCAAACTTGGAGCTATCTAAAGACGACTTGGCGGTGGGGGTACTGATGCGTGGCGTGTATAGCGTTGAGCCAAGGTGGTGCCGAGGAAGATGGGCCACACTCGAAAGCAACGGTTCCAGGTTCACGGTAGTACGAGGCTCACGGATAGGAGATGTAACCGGAATAGTGAGTCGAGGAACATGATGGTGATGATGGTGATAATGTGGGTGGTGATGGTGTGCGGCAGGAGACTCCGCTGGGGATGTTCGATGGAAGAAGCTAGAACGTTGAAGGGAGCTCAGGGTAGCCGCCTCTTCGTCTGCCTTGTGGCGATGGTGGTGATGGCTAGAGGAATATTAGCATACGACAACTGTATTGATTGGGTAGAACATACTGATGGTGATGGTGGTGGGAATGCCGAGAACGACGGGCGTTACGTGCTGATAGTACGCCTCGGGCATCATTAGACTCAATTTCCATCTGCTCCTCGTCGCGCGACTTTTTCGACCGTCTGCCGGCTGCAGAGGATGGTCGAGCAAGCTTAGACGCCTCATCCATCCCTTCTCCATTCATTGAGCGGCCCGTGAGGCTATCGCGCTTGAAAGGACTAGAGCCTAATGGTGTCGATGGCCCGCTGCCACCAGTAGTCGCGGTGACGCCACCCACGCCGCTGCCAATACCGGAGAAGACTCGCCCTAGTTCATTCTTGATCGCTGGCTCTCCAGCGGGACCAATGTATGGAGCTTGAGCGCCTTGTACAGCCTGGGGAAGCGGCGATGCACGGCCACCGCGTTTCCCATCAACGCCAACGGCCAGTAGGCTGCGATGATGGAGCAGCTCATCACTTCCTTTGCGGCGTCCCTCATCAGCCAGGGCGGCTAAACCCGATGACGCGGCAGCTGTGGATGTGGTGATAGCAGGTGTTGATGATATTCGTGGAGGCTGCCCTTGGTGCCTGAGATACGGATCATGAGGCGGCGGAGGAGTTGGTTGACTGTTTAGAGACTGAAGCGTGAGGCGAGGTTGTCTGCCGCCCGGTTGCGACCCCAGTGATTTAGTGTAGCTTTGAATGGCCCCAAACCCGAAACTCGACCCGGGCTCGGGGGCAGGGAAGCGCTTACTCTCCGGCGACGGAGGGTGAGAGCGACCGAGGTCCCATGTAGAGCCGTTCTGGTGACGATCGAGCGAGTCACGTTCGCCGTAGTGGGAGCCATACCGGTATGATCCAGGCTGGGTCAACTTGGCGTCTGATCCATGCGCTGGAGCGCGTTCTCGCTCTCGCTGTGCAGTATCCTCCGAGCGCCGCTCGCCAAATATGTTTGCAAACCGACCATGCTGTGGATCATGACTCCCGTACGACCCAGATGCAGGCCGAGGGCCGGACTCGAAAGGACGATCCGCGACCCCTCCGGGCTGGGAAATCGGACTGTAGCCCGGGGGCCGTGTGGGTGCGTCTGCATGGGGTGGCTGACTACTGGGCCGAGTGATCGGACCGTTGAGACTCATGCGACGAGGTTCGTTGTACGGTGGCTCTGCCGTGGAGATTCTAGGTGAAGGGTGCGTCGAGTGTGGCTTCTCGGGATACTGTGAGAGCGATGAGCGCGTCAAGCCCCCGAACACCGACTGCTCTCCGCCCACAGTTGAACCCCCACCAGACCCAGATCGGTAGGTACGGGCGCCTTGAGGCTTGGAGAATGGCTTCTCTGGTGTATTCGAACGACGGAAGAAAGAGTTTTCGAGCGGTGATGGTCTTGTTGGGGCGTTGGGTGGGGACATGGCGGCGGAAGATGACGATGGTGCGTTACTGAATATCGACGATGCAGGTGGTCGCGAAAAGAACGGCGCAGATTCTCGTGCAGGTTCCCGCGCAGACCGATCTGGGTCCGAGCCTAACATAGCGGAAATCGACATGCTACTGCCCGGTCGGAGCGCCTGACTGCTAGGTACATCGCGCGCCATCAAAGAGCCCACAGGCGCGTGGGTTGATTGGGGTCGCGCGGAATATGAATGTGGGGGTGAAGGAGGCGGCATTTGGCGATTTCCAAACGCGGATGGTGCGGGCTGTTCGTTCGGACCTATCAGACGGGTTCGAGTTAGCCAAATATCCCTTGATACAGCGAGTCAATTCAAGATGACCGCGCATGTCCCGGTCGCATAAGTGACGAAATGCATGTATCGCGACAAGGACGGTTGCACGGCTCTCGGGCCTCAGTCGGGTGCTTACCAGGAAATCCAGGATTTCCACTGTTCCCCTGGGAATTTAGACGCGCTGGTTCGTGTTGTGATGGCGTATTATTCATAATGGAGGCACCTAAGAGCCCTGTGAATGAGTGAGCAATGGTTCAAAGAGAAAGCAAGGGCCAGAGCGAGGAGAACCCGTGACTCCGGAAGCTCCTACGCTAGTCCGAAAGGGGCAGGGGCTCCTCTGTGTGCACTAGACCCGACCTGGACTAGCGTTCCCGAGCTGTCGTCCAGTCGATCTGCGCCACCGGGGAAAATCCATCAGGGGCAGGGTGTCTGGGCAAGGGAAGAGGGGGAGGATTTGGAGAATGAGTTTTGATGTGTCGCGTGGTTTTGAGCATCTGAATCAGGAGATTACGGAAACTATTCCCCCGGTCGCCCATACTCAGAAACGGGGCTGCGGAGGACGGACCAACCACGGCACAAGTCCGATCCTTGGAATCCTCAATCTGGGGGATCCGAGCAGAGGGAAAGTAAAAACAAAACCAAACAGATTGCCTACCTTCACGATAACGAGCAGCCTGAGGTTGCGAATTATTCCTGCGATGCATTTGTTCATGATTCCTTGTCTCGAGACTCCCATGTCGACGGTGTGCTTGTGTTGGGCCATTCCTCGGAAAGTATGCGCTGGAAGTATCTCCACGAGGGGTATTCGATGTATGGGAAGTCGCTGACTGGTAGAGCTGTGACGGAGAGGACGTAGCGTTTGAAGCGGGGGAAGGGTACGGGCGAGACTTGTCAATCTCTTGACGAGACTCGGTCGAAGGCGCGGTGAAGTGTGGATCGCGAGGTTCTTGCGAGGCCCCCAAAGGCGAGGGCCGTGGCGGGTATGAGTGTTGTAGTCGTCGATAGTCCATGTTCAAAATGTGATGGAGGACTAGATTAAGATCGAGGGACAAAAAGTATAAGAAAGTGGAATGGCGGTGGAATAGTGAAATGCAGAAGAAAAGAGAAAATGGAAATGGGCCAGAGCTGCAGGATCAGCGGTTGATCGCGCGACCCGGGAGATAGCACAAGACAATGGGAACGTGCAGAAATAGGCGTTTGGGCGGAAATGTGTCAACAATCAACAAACAAATACAATCAAAATAGAATAATCCACTTTTGAAATTTCTTCCGAAGTTGATGGGGGGAAACGGAGAAAAAACGGTGAGCGATGACGGTGGTCTTTAGCGCGATGGGCCTTCGGGCCAAGACCTAATCTTGCATGCGGGGATTGTGTACATCGACATAGATGTGTGGCAGGGTACATATGCACCTATATGAGAGGGGAAAAGGGGGGAAGTGTTGCATTAAACATATATCTTGTATACACGTATATAAATACATAATTAGAGGATTTGGCTCGATGCTTAAATATCTGGAATAATCTAGTTGTTCTGTATGTTCTTGCCAAGAAGCCCAACGCGCTCCCAATGTATACTAGCCCTATAAAGAGCTTAACGTGTCAAATATATATTAGAGACCCTCTATTTATTTTAGGTATACAATAACTATTGTATGGGGTAGTTAAGTGCCCCCACGTCTATCGATTCTATTAACTAGCTACAATGAGCCTCTTAACGACAAAGATAACAAGGATAACCTCTTGAGCAACATGGAGTAACATTAGACCCCTGGTGCTGCGTGCACCACCATAGACTCATGAGGTAGTCATGACTAAGTGCACCTAAGCCACCGAACCGACTCAGGCTAGCGGTAGTGTTTCTTCTAAAAGTAGCATCAAGAGGCTACTCAGTGGGAAAAACCGAGAACTGGAGTTACAACTTGCATACATAGTTACTCAAGCCCATGTTCGATTATATAGATCCAGGTAAATTCATAAACGTCGATAAACAGGGTCAGGTGGCACGTTCTGATGACTAAGGAAACTATAGGCGGGCCCAATCCATCAATTTCACAATCTCGAGTCATCATGGAACACCGAAATACATGTGAAGAATCGTGTCAAAGTAATCATCTCTATTTCTGATGCCCGATGGGGAAGGCGGGGGTGTCAAGAAGGACAGTTGCAGCGCATCATCATAAATGGATCCAGGCTATAGACTCATCAACGCAAGATCTCTTTATTCATATGAGTAATACCTGCGACTTCATCGACAAACTTGCATCACCTGCTCCTTCTTCGTTGTCCTCGTTATCTATTGATAATAAGCCCGTAACAGACGACAAGCCAGAGACGATCCTGGTTCACTATGACCTTAGCATCTCACACTCGCCAACGATCATCATCGCCTATCCTATGCGCAAACTGCGTATCCCGCCAATTGATGCGTCTGAATTTGTGAAATCAAAACGAAGCGTTAGACCAAGCGCAAAATTTACTCGCCAACTTCAAGTATAGGATGAAGTCAGATATGAAGTATGGGAGGACAAAGATAAGACTATCCCGAAACCGGCATACAAAGCGTATCTGGAAGATCGAGCTGCCCTCTTGAAAGAAAGGGGCTCACTAGGAATGAGCCGCTTGCGCCCTAGACCCCTACGAGGGAGTAGGCTCATGCAGTGGCCTTCGCGCGCGGGGCGAGGTTGAGCGCGGGACTCCGACATCAGTTATAGTACCTCGGGATTGAGGCATGATGTTAGAACTTGGTTTGGCAGTGTCCTAGGTACCGACACAAATGCTTAACCTTAACAGACGAGATATTCACGTGAATTGGATACCAATTTGGAAGACCCACGGTCCATCCAGATTACTAAGCCGGGTCACGGGCCCCAGGAAGGGACAAACCTAAAATAACTCAATGATGTAAGTAAATCGAGTTCTATTTTCATTCGGATGCCCAACCTGCATGCCTATTCTGCAAACCAGTTTGTGTCTTGTATTACCTGTTCCTTGTTATCCGGAAACTTGCATATGCAGGAAAACGCCAGGATGACCCTGCTCAGACATGAAATGCGAAAAAAACATCCTATTCCACTAGGCCTTGGGTATTATTTGATATATGTTTAGCCTCTTTAACCGGACATACTGGTACAAAATGCAGGGAGAAAAACAGTGACCGCTCAAACGCCATAGAAAAACACAATATTCCACACTCGACCGGACAGTCTCACTGTTTCGGTTTCAATCGCAGTCGGCGCCTCCACCTCATTGCACTCTTCGTCAAAGCGCGCTGGGTGCGCTCAAGCGGGTAGTTGACGGGAGATTCACCACCGGTGAAGATGAAGAAGTCGTATAGGAACGCACCGAAAAACCCACCTCCGACACACCCCACCCACGGCCCATAGAACCAGTAAGGGTCCGTGAACATCGAGTTCGGGTAGCCGAAAGCGAGCAGCGCAAGCCGCGGACCAAAGTCACGGCTCGGGTTGAACGCCGCGCCGGTCTGGTAGGCGAAACACATGAGGAGGGACGTAATGACCAAGCCGACGATCAGCGAGTTCATACCGGCACCGGGGGGAGCGTTCTGGTCATCACCCAGCGCCAGAATGGTGACGATTAGAAAGCTGGTCCCGACGAACTCGGTGAAGAACGCTGTGGTATGACTCACCCACGACTCTCGCGGATTCGTCACAAAGCTGTTGATGATTCCGGTGTCGGCGTTGGTGAGGAGGTAGTTCTGGATGGATTCGTAGTAGATTCCGTACGCGACGAGACCCGCGCAAAAGGCGGCTATGAATTGCGCGGCTAAGTACTCGGGCATTTTGCGGGCGGGGAAACCACGGAAGAACCACAATACCATGGTCACGACTGGGTTGAGATGGGCACCGGAGACACCACCGGAAATGTAAATGCCGATCATGGTTGCGAAGCCCCAGGCCCAGGCGGTTGTGTTGGGGTTACCCTGGCCGGCGACTGTGACGGACACGTCGATGGCGAAGCCCATGGTGAGCGAAACAAACACACCCAGGCCCTCGGCGAGAGCCTCGCGGTGGTGTGTACGGACGACGGACCAAGTGGTGTGGTTGTTGTGCACTTCGTCTTCGACCAGTTCCTGGACAAGCGGATGCAGGTCTTCGGGGTAATTCCCCTTTTCCATTTCGGGAAGCGATAAGAGTTCGTCCAATCGCGCACCCATGTCTTGATTATTCTGGAACTGCTCGTCAGCGGACATCGGCCGCTCTTCTTGTTCATGTTCATCTTCGGCTGGATGATCACCCTCTTCTACAGTGGGCAGTTGTTGATCCGGCGGCGGCATATCCCATGTCGAGGTACGTCTCCCCGGGATCGAGGACGAACGCGACATGCGCGAAGTCTGTCTCATGGAGCTGCCGCCATCCCCACTGAGAATCTTACTCATAAAGGTATTCTCACGCTGCAACCGAGCGTCCTTCACCTGGGCAGCCATCTTCCGCGGATCGGACGTCTTATCAATGCGACCCTGCTCGACATCGTTCGGGTCCACGTCCAGCCCCAACCTATCCGAGTTCTCCGTGGGCCGCTGGGCATTCGCCATGTTCTGCAAGAGCTCATCTTTGGTCGGCACCATACTCGGCCGCACCACACGGGGCAACGGTTTGGCCAGCGACCAGACCGGTCTGGCGTTGGAGGCCTGTTCATAGGATGGATTGAGATCCGCGTAGCCCGGCTGGACGAAGGGTTCCTGCGCCAGACGCAGCTGGGGGGTTCCATCCGGCCCAGCGAGGGTGAATTTGCCCTGGGTGCGCTGCGCAAGCGTGGTGCGCGGGATCAAACTGGGTAGTGCACTACCATTACTTTGTGTCGTCGAGGTATTCGAGTTGAATCGCCGAGGAACGCCGCCATCCTCAGCGGAAGTTCTCCGAGGTGAGGTAGTTCTCCTGGGTGAGGTAGTTCTCCTAGGTGAGGTATAATCTGCATCGCTGGCGGCTCGGTTGCGGTTCGGTGACTGTGGCAGAGCATCGGACTGGAACGGTGTTAGATGGTGGTTTCTTAGCTGATAGTTCTGCTCCGACTTACTCTCGCCCTCGGACGACCCCCACTCATAATGACTCTGATTCGACCCGCACGATCGGCAATGTTAACGTGGGAAAGGTGTCAGACGAACGGAACGAAGTAGAGAAAAAAAAAGAGTGAAGAAGAAGAAATGACCGAACAAAAGGGACAATTTCCACCCCCATTACGCCACGAGGATCTTCATTGAACTCCTCAATTGGCGTACAAGGTGGATCATAGTTTCAGGATATGATAACCTCGTCAATAAGGTGCTTCGGCACCTGTCCTGGTCCATGCGAATCCTGCACACGCCTGGCTCGTTGCACCGTCGACGATATCAAGTCTGCCCGTCGTGATAACCGCTGGCATTGCCGTTCTTAGGGCCTGCTGGTATATTGTATTTATTCCCTCGGGGGGGTTCTCCATGTTGTGCGTTGTTTTTTTTCTTTATCTTGTCCAATCGGGTGGCCAATTGGTACCCAACTGTGGATGTGAACTCTTCAAATCTCGGGTTTCCTGCTTTTCCGTGGATCATCTTGCTGGATCCTCACCGGCATCCCACGGGAGCCCCATCGAGGTACAGGTCCCACCGAGAAAAACAACACAACGGGCAAGGATTAGCGGGCTTGTTTTTGACGATGTTCCCGCTTGTCTCGAAAAGAATAGATTACCTGCGCCAATTACCCGCTGCACCGATCGAAATGCGTCAATTAACTACCGGGTCGGTGATAAACCGGTAATAAACCGGTTGGTGACGAGGAATAACATGCACCTAAAAATAGAAAATAAAATCTATTTCTTGATTTTGAAGGCAGATAGCGACTACTTTTATCATTTTGCGACTTATTTTCTCCTTTTTAAGTAGATTTGAAATTCTACACGGCGTATAGACTGGGGATATTTAAAAAGCGAGACGAAGACGCGAAATACAAAAAGAAAACTGTAATTTTCCATAGAAGAGCCCGCTAGTCCCGATGAGGAAATGAAAGGCCCCACGTGGACCACCGGTATTGTTCTTCTGGGTGGGACCTGGACGGAGCAAAGCCGATGGATAAAGGGGAGTTCCATTTCTATGCACGTATTTATGCTTCATTTAGAGCCGTGAGGTATTTACTCTAATCGAATTAGATCCAGATCTGAGAAGATGCTAAAGTGGACCTCTGTGCTGTGATCTTGCGCTGTTTGCAGTGGAGATATAGATGTGTACACAGTTAAAGCACATAATCAATCCTGGAAATGATATAATGATATCATGCACATCAAATTAAACTCAAATTGGGTATCACAGTCAACAACGGTTACGCTACTATACACATACCGGCGAGAGATGGAGGCCATCCTTAGTAATCATAAACGGTCCCGGTAAAGACCAGAACACGTCAGAATAAGAATGATGCACACAGTCACTCCCAGAGAATGCCTCCCCCGTAACCACCACAGTCAAATGGCGCGGAACAACATTCTGCCCATCCCAATGGGACAAATACCCCCTCTGCCGGAGAGTATCGAGTTGCTCAACGAGACGCGGGTACAATTCGTCAAGCGAGGTCCTAGCCTCAAGCACCAAAAAGAAAGTCCGAGCCCGACCAGGATGAAAGCTGCCTGACATCCCAGGATCAACGGATGCCCGGGCGGTGGCATCGTTCTCAGCAACTTTCTCCATAAGAGGGTCGAGACCGAGTCTCTGCAGGACGTGCTCGTGCTCAGTCTCCACACCGGCGTCTCCAATCTGCAGCTCCCCGTTGTGCATCCAGACCGCCGTCCGGAGGCCATCGCATCCCTCGTTGAACGACGACTCGAGGGCCTGCGGTCGCGTGTCTAGCGTCGGAAATGTACACGCGCCACTCTGGGGGTGAAGGTGCGCGTGGTGTGGGCCCGTGCGTGTGATATGGATTGGGAGCCATCGGAGACATTGGAATGCGACTCTGGGGAGGAATGTGTCAGATTGGCTGTCTAGCAGAGATGGGACAGAAACACTCACAGGCATCCGAGGATAAGGCATCCCGCGCGAAAAAGAAGCGCCCTTCGCTTTCCAATGGACTCGTAGTATTCGTCGAGGTAAAGTGACAGGCCTGGGATGCACTCTGTCGGGTACGATCGTAGGGGATGGTCGTCGAGAAGCCATGGGTCGTATTCTAATCGTGTGTTGGCCTCAAGGTCTAAATCCTTTGAGAGCTCCATAGTCTTCTCGTCCGATGCATTGATAGCTTCCATAGCGAGCTTTCAGGGTGAAAATCCTTAGGCGCGATCTAGCTCGTATAAGGAGGCGAACCAGGTTGCAGAATGCAAGTGATTAGAAGCTAATTGTGCGAGGTGCATGATATAAATATTAAAGCTCGAGGTATAACTACTCCCTACTCACCTTAAATGAGGGGATATCGCGCAATTGTGTGGGGAATTGCGTGAAGCACGCCATTGTGATTGGCGATGGCATTTATATGATCGTCGGAGAAGGTGAGATTAAGTTGCACATTATCTACAGTAAGAAGCTGTGCTAGGTACGAGTTTATAGAAGGTAACAAGGCCATTCGCACAAAGTACTTGTGTGATACATCGTATACCCGACAGTTGCACAATAAGAGCATGTCATTCTCATCTGCCAAGACGCCAAGACGCCAAGACCGGGCCCATTTAACTTTGTCGGCACGGCTCGTCAGTCTTGACCGTACGGTGTGGGAATATCACACCTGGGCAGCGTTATCATTTCGCCCTTTTCTGACTAAAGTGCTATACCAAGAAATAGGAATAGAAAGACATAAATCAATGCACTCAAAAAGGAGCTCCAAAAAGACACTTAAAAAGACTCCTAAAAAGACACTTAAAAAGACTCCTAAAAAGACACTCGAAGGCATTCAAAAGCAAACAAAAGGATATATCATATCAGTGTTACATGTCCGACCTATTTTGTCATGCTTGTACAGCTGTTGTAAGCACCTGGTAGTCCGTTGATTCCATCGACCAACAAATGGCCGAGCTTCTATGCTTGATGCCACTTATCGTTCTACGGAGGAGATCCGAAGAAGGATCGACTGAAATCGCCACTATCCAGAAAGATAAAAATTAATGACGACTTCAGGCGAGTCATGCGGGGTTAGCTGATATTCTCTTAGTCCTAAGGCTGGACCACTTCTGGAGCAACGTCACCGCTTGACGCGTCTACCCAACTAAGCATAGTCACCTTCCAAGGTCACTCGCTATATTTTGAAATGTTTATGTACAACATACATAGAACAGTCAGGGGCAAAATAAAACTCGACGCTAAAATTCAACAAACATTCCCTGATTTCTTTCATATTTCATAGCATGTGATCTATCACAGAACGCCATCGTCTACATCCAATATTGCTACCTTTGGGGGACAACCCGTGATTATGTTTTCCCGCCGAATCACTTGGCAAGGGCCGGGTATAAAATTGCTGCCGGAAGGCCCACTTCTACTTCTGGTCTAGTGTGAGAAAACCAACGTACATCCATGGATAACTGCATTGATTGGTAACAGCTTCAACGACAGAAGAAAAGTGACATCATCTTCTCATTAACATGGTATCGCACGCAAAAAAGAATCGTCCTGGCTGCGAGGAAAAAGGAGATCCATCCTCCAGTTCCAGCTGATTTTCTCCTCATACCGGGCAGCCACTGATCTGGCTTTAGCTGCCTCCGTCTCTGCTCCATTCTAACTACTAACAGTTGACGTTCTGCTTTTCTGCTATGCGGATTTCGATACAACTCCGCGTGTGCTGTTCTCGTACGAGTTTTAGATCGAATTGACGACCGGGTGCGAGTTGGTGGGCTCAATACCATTCCCTGAACGAACGGGTTGAAACTTCTGGGTCATTGGTCGATTCCCCGTTGTCCTAACGGTAGGATAGCGTCCATCAGCTCAGAAACCGGAGGAAATGCTCGAGGTTGCCGGGGGCGCTTGCAACTGAGAGTGAACAATTTGGCGATTGCCCTTGGCCGCGATCAATCGGAGAACGACACAATTAGGCTTGATGCAATTCAAGGCTGATGACCATCGAACCTCACTGCCAGTGCCAGGTGCCGATGTAGACAGGGGGAAAGACCTCGACCTCCATGTTTTCCTCCGGTCCAAGTATCCCATGTTCTTCCGACTCGCTCTAGTTCGCGCTGATTGGAGTGTGCCGACCGTTGTGAATCGGTTTATTGAACAACTTTGTAAATGCATCTTGGTTTGAATCGAAGTCCCGGACATATTGGAGGCGCTGTTTGGCAACGTGGGAGAGAATCGATGGGAGTGGCTTGATTGACAGAACGAAGTGGCTAGGACTGGTTATCAAGCTCCGTACCATGTGCAAGAATGGGCCGACTGAGGGAAAATCCTATGTCATAGTTGATCCATCTATATCCTGAACTAGTATCCATTGATTACTGCTTACCGGCTTTTCATGGAGTTTTTCTCGTGACAACTCGCAATCCAGAACAGTATCTCCCAAGTCAACTTTCCTGACGCGCGAGGGAAATGTGGCCACAAGGTACCTATGAACTGCATTAGAGAGATATCGTGAAACGTCTTCGCTTGTTGTTTCATTCTTGGTGAGCCGTTCGTTGGCCATGACATCTGTTCACTTTGATGCAGGTGAGTCTGTTGGTAATGGGAGCACCTCATAGCTATCCATCGATTGACGCACGTGCCTAGAAACGTGTGTAGAAGATAGGTCCTAGAAGATAGGTCCTAGTTGCCTATCACACCAACCCCATCCCAAGAGTGATTTCAAGAGTGATTTTCCCACAAATTGTCTTCCTCACATCTTCACCCTCCACATTCTTTCTCTCCCACAACCATTTGCAGAGAATTTTCCTCCATCTCCTCTATTTTCCTACTACTGATTGATCCTCTGACGAGGTCAGTCTGTTTTCCGTGCTCCTCTCCTCGCTCCTCTTCACTGATCCTCTGACGAGGTCAGTCTGTTTTCTGTGCTCCTCTCCTCGCTCCTCTTCACTGATCCTCTGACGAGGTCAGTCTGTTTTCCGTGCTCCTCTCCTCGCTCCTCTTCACTGATCCTCTGACGAGGTCAGTCTGTTTTCTGTGCTCCTCTCCTCGCTCCTCTTTACTGATTCTCTGACAAGGTCAGTCTGTTTTCCGTGCTCCTCGCTCGTTTACTCACGATCAACTGGCTAACATAGTCTACTCTCATAGGGTCTTGACAATCACCAGCAATGGATTTCAACGCATTTGCACGAGGATTTGACCAGCCTATGGGTCACGATACCCAGGGTGATAACGAGTTGCGACAATGGAAGCCTAGCGTGATCTCATTCGGGGATAGCTTCGTCAACGTGAAGTCCCGCCTAGTGCTAGAATCACAGCAGCCCAGACTCGAGATCTGCATTGGCAAACGTGTCAACGGGCTTCTGATCTTTACCGCGGAGGATTGCGACTTCCACTTTGCCCGCGAAGGAATTGAACTGGACGATGCTGAAACATTCCGTCAGTATCGAGCTTCCTTGCCGCGAATCTTCGCAGATGGAAAACGAGTTTGGGATACGGCATACCTTGTCAAAGTCCACATGCGCAGGCCGCCAGTCGTCATCGGCTTCCCACCGGAGAATGCTAGCCCTTCTACTCTTCAGGACTGGGAAAGGCTTCTTGGTGTCCAGGACAACTTGATTCTCTGGGGTCAGTGGAGTGACCCAGCTTGGAGATTCCTTTCCAAGGGGTGGAAGTTAATGTCTGGGCTGGAGTATTTGCTTCGCCTGCCATTTGGCGACACCGATCCCGTCACTCTCAACAGCCTTCTTCGTCGTCCGTATGGAAGCATTGATCCCGCAACGCTCGCCCCCCCACAGGCTTTCTGGTTCTACCGGAAACATCCGGCCAATCAAGAGCCGCGAGTAGTGCCAAAGTGGCTTGAGGATCCAAGCGGAGTCAAGCCTTCCATCGTGTGGCAACTCCCTGGGCCCTACTTCCTCAACGACCACGATCGGCAGAGCAGACTGGTTCAAGCCAGCTACGTTGAGAGGGCTTTTGCGCGTGATTTGGTAACCAGTGTGTTCAACCTGAACACTCGACACCGCGCAATCATCACTACCATATCAGGCAACGGTATGAGGCACCGCATTCACGTCAAATTGAATTGCGAGGGCCGGCCTCCGACACTGACAGCAATGGCATCCGTCAGCTTTCTACTGCTAGACGAGATATCAGCAGCTGAGCCTGTTACCGAGGGTGATTTCAAGGCCAAGGGATACAAGGGCACAGTCGTCGATGATGAAACGTTAGGTGATTTCATCATTGACTACTATGGTCACCTCGACTGGACTGATGAAAGTGAGCGAAAGATTGTGATGACCACGAAGCCAAATACCCTTCCAATCGATCAACAAATCGCGGCATTGACTACGGCGGGTACCAAAACGCTCGTATATGGCGACAAGGGTGAAAACCATGGACTGGGATTCTCACTTAGTCGGACTATCCTCGCACATGGCACAGAGCTTAACTTTACCAGTCCTGACTACTTCATTTTGTCCATCGAGATGCTCTCCTCCCTTCCCTCCCAAATTGCCAAAGAGCGCCTCCAATATGTTCGGAACTTCTGCCACCTCGATCCAACACAAGAAGAGGCATTCACCAAGTCTACTACCGCCATCACGGTCGGTGTAAGCCTTATTCATGGTCCCCCTGGAACAGGCAAGACGACCACAGCGGTAGCCATAGTTCTTGCCATGATGGCGCTCCAGATCAAGGTGTTACTCACTTCTGCCTCTAACAAAGGCGTTGACAACCTCACCCTGGCTCTGATCCGGGCCCTTAACCGGGATAGTCGCCTGAAATCTTGGTGTGGACAGGTTGTTCGCTTTCGCACGCCATCATACCACATGTCGGCGGTCCGAGCCGAGAGCCAGAATCAACGGCCCACTCTACGGCGGCAGCCCATCATAAGTCAGTCGGATCTCGAGATGGAACCGATCCAGATGCACTCTCTGGTCTTTGACCATATCGCTGAGCATCCGAATGATCCTGAGTGTGTTGAGCTTCGTGAACTGTGTGACCGAGACACCAGTGATAACCACCCACTCAACCTCCAGGATGTCATCAAGCTGAAGAGCCTCTACGGCAAGATTGTGTGTACGGTCCTGGCTAAAAGCAAGGTCGTAGCAACAACTCTGTCAAATGCCTCGCAAGAATGTTTGAAGTTTTCAGACTTCAAACCATCTGTGAATGTTTCTGACGAGGCCGGTCAGAGCATGGAGGGAGAAAGTATGATTCCAATGACAATGGAATCAATGCGGGTCATTGTGCTGATCGGAGACCCCCGGCAGTTGCCTCCGACTGTTCTTTCAGACGGTGCAAATGAGGGCTCCGAGTTCCTGAAGCGGTCCCTCCTGTCTCGTCTCATGGAAGCGGGCTACCCCCAGGAGACGCTCGTGACCAACTACCGGAATCATCCGCAGATCCTGGAGTTGTTCAACAAGGCAATCTACAGTGGAAAGCTCGCTTCAGGCAGCAACGTCAACCACTTGGATCGAGTGGGAAGGACATGGGATGCTTGGACCAGGCATGCGATGCCTACCGTCGCTCCTGGCAGCCGACGCTTGTTCCTATCCGTGGACAGTGTCGCCTTCCGCCCGGCGAATGAGACATCGTGGTCGAACATGGCGCAGGTACAAGCCGTGCAGACTCTGCTGGAAAATCTGTACAATTTCCAGTCCACCGAAGGCGAGCAAATTGGCCCGTCCGATGTCATGATCATCAGCCCGTACACAGCCCAGCGGAACCTTGTAGCCGCCACTTTGGCGGAGACCGAGCGCGGCTGTTTATATCGCGATAATTTGACTGTCGACGCGGCGCAGGGCCAAGAGGCGCCCATCGTGGTTGTCCTGCTGACGAAGCCTAGCGAAGTTGCTGAGGAGGTCCGCTTCATTGCCGACCAGCATAGACTCAATGTCGCTTTGAGCCGGGCTCAGAAAGCTATCGTCGTTGTAGGAAACGCGCGCCTCTGGCCTGAGAATGTCATTCAGAACATTGAGAGAAGATCGAAGCATAACAAGTTCTTTGCCGGCACTCTCCGACTTCTAACAGCCAAGGGCAATCGGCACATTGTTCACTCTCAGCAACAAGCGGGCCCTGCAACTTCCAGCAATGCCACCTCGATTTCGAACATGATGGACGTTGATAGTGTCTCTGGTTCTCTTGGCCATGACCCTTCCATTCGGACGTTTGCTCAGAGCGTGGTATCGACTCCACTAAATCCATTCCCAGACTTGCAGTCGCGGGTTCAACTTCCTCCGCCAGCTGCTCGGTCCAGATCCCGTTCCCCACCGACTCTTACTCAGCCACCAATTCGTTCTAGAACTCCTCCTGCGACAGCAGCACACACAGAGTTGTATCGAAACCCGGGTAGCAGAGTAGCACGACGGCAACTGTTAGCAGCCAGAATGCGGCGTCATCGGGCAGAGATGGAGGCAGCAGAAAGCAGAGTAATGGCGGCGGAAGCCAGAGCAGCGGTGGCCCGGGACGAGGAGGAAATGATCCGGTTGGAATTTGAGGGTGAGGAAATGGCTCGGCTGGAACTTGAGGACGAAGAGATGAAGGACTGAGATGCTGCTTCTTTCCCTAGCGAATAAACAACTCCTTTCTCTGTGATTCTATGTTGGTGAGAACATCGTAGCTGTTACTTGAAGCTGTTACCCATCAATACAGCCACATTCACCTTTTCCAAATATACACACTAGGCCAGAAGTCTAATACCGAGGCCGTCGAGATAGTCGTTGCAGAGCGAAACGACTGATTCTAACTTCTAATGCTACGCAAAGTATCTGTAGAAGTCCTGGGGATGGTCCATAATCTAGCTACTCCGTACGGACCGTCTGCGTTGCTATCTCAGCCTCTGGGGTGCTTTTATAACTAATGCAGTGGGGGTACGAAGACCGATAGCGCTCAGGGTTCAAAACTCATTTTTTTGGGGTTTCCAGAGCAGGATGACTAAGCGGCCATGTGACGTAATTCCCGGCCGAGCTGCGCAGCCCAAAACACATAGTAAAAGCGACAAATTACAACATGATATTTCAAAAACGGTTGTCTATATGAACTTTTCCTTCTAGTCTAACGCTTTTTATATGATCTCTAGCCACTTATTGGAGTTTAGGGGGATTTAATAAATTAGTGACTGAGATATATATATTTCCAGGGTTCAGCGACGTTATTTTCGATACCATAATAATGCAAGTTCTCGATTTATTCAAAACTGATATATGATACTAAAAATGTTTATCAATTGCTATCGGCGAGTAATGAAATTAAATAAGAGCGTTGGTTGTTGAAATATCATGTTGTAATTTGTCGCTTTTACTATGTGTTTTGGGCTGCGCAGCTTGGCCGGGAATTAGTTACGTTATCACATGGCCGCTTAGTCATCCTGCTCTGGAAACCCCCACTGCACTATGTATGGTCAGGTTTCACTTCTAGATTATCCACAATACTATTCCATTTACCACTCCATACGTCGTACTTCCGCTCTATTCCTAACTAGTATTCGGATTTTCGGTGCAGCTCGGCCTAGAATATTGAGAATTGTTGATTTTTCCATGGCTTCATTGGGTCCTTCTCGCACCATAAAAGATGGTGCTTCAGCAAGACCAATTCCCCCTACCCCGACTACAATTGATCTTATAAGTGGTAGCCGATCTCCTATCCACAGAACACACCCACTCGAAGTACGAACTCTACGTTCCCTTCGCTTACGGATCAGCCTACAACTACCCAGCTGAGAGCCTCTGTTTCGACGTCGTTGCCTCGCAGCTTGCCTTGGGTGGTCTGCGTCTCTCGGATATCAAGCAAGGCGTGTTCCTCTCGCTGGCGACGATGCAATCCTTGATATGGGAGCCGTCGAAGACGTTGGCTGTATTTCGGAGCACCAGGGTATGATGGGCGAGATATAGCGCAGTGGCTTCAAGCCTGTTCTGGAACAGGATGTCATTGACGCCATGGCCATCTCTCGAGCTACGCGCTTTAATTAAGCAAGTATTCTCTTTTGATATGCCGATGCTGGAGATGATGAGCATTGGCTCGCTTGACATTCTTGGCCCACATGTCGCAAATGAAATCTTCAGAATTGTAACTGCGGAAAATGAAAGCTAGACGTTTGATATGTTTTTTTCTACTATCAGATGATGGCTACGGTCTGAGTTCTCGTTCCCTGTATGTGAAAGATCTCACTGTAAAAAGAAGAATAGTTATTGTGTCTCTAAAAACCTGAAGCTGTCTACAGATGTAACTATGAAGGAATATTGTCTGCCGATCTGGTATGTTAGGTATTACAAGCACAGCTGCTGAAACATCATAAGCAGCGTATCTTCAACATCACTCTATTCATTAGCCATGCCATGGACTTTGAGATTAATATGAAACATAATGCTTTCCTTAGATTGCACAGATCTCTCACTTCACTGGCTGAGTGAAGAGGGAACTCTACGACGGAGGCAGCAAGGGTGCCGACAGCCCGCCCTGCCTGTGAAACAGGGTGAAAGTAAAGTTGTTCACTGGGAATAGTAGGGTGCTAGAGAGGAGAACACTTGGGATGACTACTAGTAGAAAGGAAGGTAATTGGAAGTGTGCATCAGGGGTGCTTTTATAGTTATCACATGACCGCTTCGTCTGGAATTCTCTAGTTAACTAACCGTCCGGGCCATCTCAGAAGATCTGCGACTTGCCTGAATCCAGACAAGAGTAGCCGCGCGAGAATTGATGATAAAAAAATCATTCGATCAGGACTGTACTAGTCACTTGAGCTCCGGTGCCATTTTCGAGAACGGACCAACCCATTTTATATTCTCATGACCAATGGTACAATTCGATAGTACTAAACCAATTTGAGCAAGTGTCCATTATGCTTTCTGACGTCACATCGACTATTCCCTTCGCACATAAAGTCTTCTTTTGCTCTCTTCCCTCAACTTATTTTCTCCCAATCTACTTGATTGAACGATACACCATCTTGAATTTTCATTCAAAATGATGGACCTCTCTATTTCTGAAGTACTGCTTCGGCGTTTCAATCACAGCTATGACCATATGAAAGACATCCATGCGGCTCTACGGAAGATGGAAGGTGCTTCCATTACTGACGAAACTATGGAGCATCTAGGTATCTCAGTCGCTGAAATGGATCTGAAGACAGGTTCTGAGTCTCCTTACTTTGCACCTAATGGAGCAGAACATGTTCCAGATCCTACTCAAGAGAAAATCCGAGAAGAGCCCTTTGTGAGCCGGCGATGGGAATGGGGATTATGGTCCACCCGCCGGCCTCTACCATCTTATTACCTGATGTCGGCCTTCTTATACTACCAAACAGCAATCAAATGGCTCAATCGATACTTACCTAAAGACCAAGAGGATGAAAAAAGTACAGAGGCTGACGAAGAGATGCGCGAGCAAAATAATGACGAAAAAGAGCGCAGCAGCGTTCAAGGGGTTGATGAGAGTTCTGAGGAGAGCGAGGAAGATATGTGTAGTGAGTGGGATAGTGACGAGGAAAGTGACAAGGAGAGTGAAGAGCATGAAGTACAGCGGCGCAAACGACAGGAAGAGTGGTGGAGACAGATCGCAGAGAGGCAAAGAAAGATCGATGAGGCCGAGGAAGCCCGGATGGTATATGAATGGAATGTTTATCAGTCAGTGGGATTGCTTGAAGAACGAAATCATATCGCTCACTGACAGTCTTGATAGTTATCCAATGCCCTATGATTTCGAATCCCGGGAGAACCATCACGATTTCAAAATTGTTCGCACAGGAAACAGAAACAATCCTCTTCAATGCCATCAATGGGCTGTGGCGTTGATTGACGAGTCTGATGAGAACCGACCATCCATTACCGAGCTATTAGTGCTAGCCACTCGAATGTTGAAAGCAATGAACTCCCAAAAAAGACGTGTCGGTACATCGCAGGACGAGAACATCCAGTTGCACCATCTTTTCCCCGTGAGTATTCCCTCTGCTATTGTATATTTCAATACTAAGGAAAGTCAGACAACAATTGTCACGTTCGATGATCACACTCGTGCCCGTGTACTATCTGGGTACTACGATAATGGACTGAAAGTCCATTTCACCGAGTCCGTAGACTTTGAATGGTGCACGACAGATAAATATAATTACGGCGATCTTTTGGATCGGGAATGGGTTAATGATTCATGGTATGGCGAATTGATGAGCGATTTGGTTGCTTGGGCATGGCCTCTGGCACAGATGAACACCGTTCAGACTCTCACATTGCCCATTATATCAAAAAACATGGAAAATGAGGGCAATGAGCTGTGATGGGCCAGGGTATGACACGGTGAATATTGATGTTGGTACAATGATAGGTGCCAGGATGGCTCCATATTATTCTGTTTGGTCTGAGTCGCTCAAATTGATATTAGGATGGAGAAGATACATTGCTGCTTTCTAGATAATCGACAGATGCCTTTGCTCCATTTTCAATTGAAACTACAAGAATACTCGGCCGCGTATGCTTGCTGCCTCTATTCTTGGCGACGTAAGTGTTAAAGACATAATCAATTTACTTGAGATAAGCGAGTTCATACTAGCGGAAAGCGTAGAGCAATGAAATTGTCCAGGGCAATTATTCGTGGCTCTAGCTATCCCCCACCAGTCATCAGATGCGTACAATACCGATGGAGAGCTCGGACGGACTGTCAGGCGAGCAAGAGCATTAACCCAAATCTCACTGAAGTGGCGGTTCGCGGGGGTCGATCTCCGCTGAGCGATCGACTGGCCGGGGTCGAGACGCTGGAAATTGGTGGATGTTGAAACAGCGCGTGAACTGCTGAGAGACGTTTGCGAAGGTGTATAGCGGCCGGTGGCCGAATGCCTGATTTTGTAGTGTTTATGCCTGAATATGCCTGGTTTTAAACTGGCAGAAATTAAAATACCTGAATTACAATGACAGAGCGCATCTAAAATGAAGCTATTCCCACTACTCCGTATGTAAATCTCCACATTCGCCCTAATCTGGGTGGTTTGAAGATGTTCCGACCGTATAAATCTGAAGCTATTTCCACTCAGCAAATCTCCATATTCCATTAAGTCTAGGTAGTTTGAAAAGAAGTTCCGATCGTACAAATTTATTGATTTCTTTCTTGATCATGAAGCTATTCTTACCATCTTTAACTCCCTCCAATTCGAGTATTAATACTCTTCCTCTGACTTTACCCTCTAGTTGTATCTTCCATCCGGTTCCTGGGGGTTATACTCTCTGTATCCTCCTCCGCTGACTCCTGCGTACCGAAGTATCTCGAGACTAAGCTCGCGCTCTTCCGCGCCCTCTCTACCTTCTTGACTGCTGTAAGAGGAGGTAATTCAACTGCTGCAGGAGGTGGCGAGACCATAATAAATGGCATGTATTGAAAATGGAGTGCCAAAGAGTAACCTACGAAGCAGTTACAGTGACTGTTCATTGCGGAGCGAAGCGAAGCAATTAAATCATAACCTCGTGTGTGTATGTCACGTGACTAGGTGTTTTTATCCTATGGGGGGTGTTAAAACTTATGAATAGTCACTGTAGGTCAGTATAGTTAGGTGGTATGAAAGGCGGTCTAGAATCAGGCATAAGCCAGGCATCTTTCAGGCATCAACCCTACAAAATCAAGCCTATACACCTTCGCAGACGTTCTCTTGGACCCGATTAACTCTTCCCCTCTCCCCCACCCAAACCCCCGGTGCCCCCAAACAGCATGATTAAATCTCCCTCGGTCATGAAGAAACTGATGTTCTTGGCACAAACCCCAGAAGAAGAACAGCAGAAAGCTGAGGAGAGAGCTAGTCGGCTGGAATGTTCTGCGCCAAAACAGCCCGATCAACGTGACGCATCCAACAGTTGCTGCATGGTGAAAGTGACCACAAACTTTCCGAAGAGCTTGACATGTTTGTGGTTGTACACACTCAGCGGTCCTGCAAGATAGAGATGCAGAAAGCTGTCATCGGACTGGTTCTCCTCTGGATCCTCTCCAGACACATAGTCAAGCCACGGTTTTTCGAACCTGGCAATGACAAGGTAAACCTCATCGGCGCATTCAGCCATCATGATCCACCTGTATTTTTTTATTAGCGTCCAGCATTATCTGCCGCGGCATTTTGGCTTACCGGTTTTTCCTGAGGTTCTTCATGTGACAATTCGCAATCCAGAACATCATCTCCCAACCCATCTGGCGCAGGACCTTTTCATAGCCATCTTTGGACCGGAAGAGATTGGGCTTGACCTCCACAATACAATGAATATCATTGGGGTTCCGAGAATTGACTAATGCTCCATCCACGCCGAGAGTCAAGGCGTCTTCTGTCCATTGTCCATCTGGTTTCATCTTCTTTGCAGGTCTACCAGAGCCATCACCTCGGTCTATGGTACTCGGCTCGGAGGGTGGATTGATGACGAACCGACTCTTTCGCTGTTTGAATAATAAGAATGGCTTACAAGGATTCCAGTTCAACTTCCTTTTGAACTCACGAGGGAAATCCAGACACAGTATACGCAGAAGCTGCATGAGAGAGGTATTGGTAATCTCCTCGCCCATTGTGATATCATCAGGGTCCTGCTTCCTGGATAGAACGTCGTCGTGGCTTCGCAAGGTTGCGTTGAGGGTATCCCCAGACATCATCGTTTCATCCGTCTCCCCTTTCTGGTGCCCAGTGATAACAGTGCCAGAAGTCGTTTCCTGATCATCCTGCGATGCGGTCCAAAGCTCGCAAATCCGAGCTTTCTCATAAAGCTCTTTCATGTGTTCATCTTCAATCTCGGGCCGTTGAATGATGTTCAGCTGAAGGTCACGGACGAGGGCGTACTCACCGGTACAACGGCGTTCATCATTACGGAGAGAACCGCCATACTTCTTAATATGCTTATAGTACTTCTTGAATTCTGTATTCTTCGCTTGGTACTTTGCAGCAAACTGTCTGGCTTCCTTCTCGAATCCCAACCCTTTTTGAACATCTGTCAATGTCTGAGTCTGGTTCTCGTCGATGAAGAGGTCGCTGATTTCGGCTTTATGCCATAAGATACGTCCAGTTAAGTATTCCTGGAGGGTAATCTTGGATGCGGATTGACAATTTTTCATTTCTCGGACATGTAGATCCTTAATCCGCTTCCCAACGCGCGGATCGGGGGGTGCCGGTTTGGCTGACTCTTTGCCCTTTCCTGTATCGCTCTTAGTACTCACGCGCGGATCGGGGGGTGCCGGGCTGGCTGGCTCTTTGCCCTTTCCTGTGTCGCTCTTGGTACTCTTCTGTCGTGTCGGGGGATTGAATTTGTTCGACGCGGCATCTTCCCATTCTTCTTGGGTTTTGGGAATTTCAAGCAGGGCCCACCACTCTTTGTCTGTATCATTTATCTCAAGTTAGCTCAATTCAGTAACACGGGGTTGGGGAAATAATGACTTACCATTGTGCTCCGCCCTAGTGCGGCGGGGAGGTAGCTTTGAGCTCATTGCGAACAGCAGGCTGGCCAGAAGTGAGATGAAACTGAGACCTGACCTCGTCAGAGGATCAGAATTGAGATGAAAAGGAGACCTGACCTCGCCAGAGGATCAGAATTGAGATGAAAAGGAGTCGCGACCTCGTCAGAGGATCGTGAAGTGAGATGGAAAAGAGACCTAACCTCGTCAGAGGATCAGAAGCCAATAAGAAGTAGAGAAACAGCATATGCGATGGAACTGAAGCACTGATGATGATCGGTGGACAGTGGCAAGAGTACAGTGATGACCGGTTCCAGAAGCTTGGATCTAGTCGAAAGGGAAGAGGAGTCGAGGGGAAGAGTAAAATGAATGGGAATTGGAACGTGACCTCAGCCATAAAGAAAAAAGTTCCCTGACGAGGAAGGAGCCCTGGAGTTCATTTTTTCGCCTCGGCCTACAGCTTGTTCCTACTCTCCTCCAACAACGAGCTTGGAAGTTACATAAAGAATGCATGCACTAATGTTAGAGGGAAATGGGTTATAATTGCGTGTATTTGAAAGCTCAAGTCACTTTAAGTATTGTATAAGCCTCTCATATCGTCGATCCAGATTCACAAAGGCTATGTAGGCGATACCATGGCAATCGTTCGAGTACTTCCCTCCCAGGGTTGAACTGATTCCCTGAGATTGCTGGTCAATGTAAGCCCGGCTCCATCTTCTCATCTTGAGAAAATATACACATATGGAAGGTGAAAACTGAGATATTGGCGATCGGTTATCGTAGGGTTGAATTGATAGTCCGAGTTGAACTGTTTCTCCGTCGGTTGGTTTTATGCTTTCGCTTTTCTCTTAATGCCCCCTCTGTGTTTGATCTAGTCCTGTTTAGCCACCTCGGAGGGCCATTATCAATATTTGGTTAACTGGTCAGCTCTCAATGCGAGGATTTGCAGGATAAGGCAAGATCCTGACCGTGTTTCCTATTGAGGAAAACATCTAGTTGAGACATAACAAAGAATGAAGGAAGAATGAATAAATACCACAGAGAGAAATCAATGGAGAAGAGAGACGGAGAAGATCGAGGAGAATGGATGACAAGAGACACAGAATGACAAGGGTTTTACAGAATGTCATTCCATTAGGATACGAGGATGATCTCCATAGTCTGTAACTCTAGCTGACCTTTGGGTTGTTGTATCGCTCTCGTCTTGTCTGCTAGGCTAGATTCAGTATAGAGAATGAGAATTTGAGCATTAAGAATTGAATATCAGACTGCGATATGGCCCCCCTAGGCCTTAAACAGGAACCTTGGTTTTTGTTATGCGCTGTATTTTTCGATCATTAAACTTTAGGAAGGGAGGTGATCTCCGAATAGCTTCATGTTTGATAGATCAGATAATCTCTAAATAGCTTCATGGCTGACAGTACCTTACAATCACTCTAGGGATACCATAGTAAATTACCGACCGACAGCTGGTCGAATGTTAGAATGGGACCGCTAATTTTAGCGCCTCTTGGCCCAGAGGAACATGTATTAATCCGAATTCCGAGAGCTCGGCGAATGTCAGACATCAGCGAATGTCGGGATTCTTTTAGGGGTTATAATACCCTAGTACAGAAGAAGATAGGATTTAGTGGTAAAGATAATACTGTAAATAATGATCACGGGGTCTTTATGAACGTCTATTATAAGCTATGAAGACATCCTAGTATAAAGAGAGATCTCGACATTCGCTAAGACCCCTCTGAGCAGATAGATGGTCGAAACGCGGATTAACACGGATTAATATATTTTCCTTCACGCTAAATTAGCGGTCCCATTCTAACATTCGATCAGCTGTAAGCCCGTAAATTACACGAGGTGATTGGAAACTGCGGCCAGCGGGAGATATACCCGAAGTAGTTTAGCGGGGAGTCGTGTGCGTATCACGTGATAGGCCTTTTCTTATGGTAGGTTTCAAGGCGGCGAAAAGCTGTACGGTGAGATTTGGCAGAATGGCCCAGCCGGCAGAATAAGGCCCATGGGGTGTTTGAAACGAGGGAAACATTATCCTGCTTAGTCCTTACTCCGTTTGTTGGCAGGTGTTCTAACCTAATCCCGCTGGACTATATTTTCTATAACATGAAGAGGAACGTTAAAATGTTAAGCCAAAGTATGCTATAAAAAATATCCCAGAGCACCCACAAGAAGGATGAGTTGATCGGCACGCTGGTACTTGATTACCTTATTTCCAACATCTTACTTCACCCTAGACTTCTGCAGCTCCTCACCGTCCTTCTTGGTCAAGCCCTCCCATTTCCATCGCAAATAGGGCAGCACAATCCAACCCATTAATGGCGACATCAGCGCATCAAACACACCCCATCCCCGCTTGGGTGACGGGCCTAGCATATTCGAAAACAAGGCATTTGCAGCAAAGGAGTCCTCACAGATGATGAAATCGCCCCTATCAGTAGCACATACAATGAACCTTGTCCGACGTCGGGAACTTGTGCAAAAGCTGTGCCATGGGTTGCTCCAACCCTTGGATCTTCTTGTTGAGGGGAACTTTTGTCTGCTGCTCCTTTATGAAGCCCGGGGATATGAAATCACCCGGGAAGGCGATATGGATCGAGTATTTTGAGTACGTGCAGTTGTGATGGAGGACTTCTATACGGAGGTTATCGGCAAGGGCACGCATCACTGCGGTCTTCGCAGCTATAAGGAAGCAATATTTATCAGTTATTACCAGCTAGTGTGGTACAAGGCCGCGACTTACTGGTGTATGTAACTGAGCCAGGAAGACCTAGGAATGCCGCACAGCTGTTGATGAAGATGATCTCTCGGTGTCGCTGACGGGTCGGCTCGACTTCTGAGGTATCCTCGTCAAGCCATATGTCCATCATAGTCTTTACAGCATATGCAGCGGAGAGGTGGTTATTTCGCATGCAGTTCTCAAGGTCTTTTGCTGTGAGGTCAACGAAGAAGCCGTTCTGGTTATAGTTGCCACCAGCGACACAGTATAAGATATCTGCGAGCCGAAGCTGCGATCTGAATGCTTCTTCAACCTAGAGAAGCAGAAGAATATCAGTCAACTGCGCTTTGGGTCAATTCAAACCTTGAATCAAGAAAATTTGAAGTAGTTGTTGACGATGAAGTAGATGATGTGATATGATAAAGTGACTTGATTTTGTTAGTGGCTTATATACAAATTGTAGTAGCTTCGTGAAATCTTATAGCCACCACTTTGACGAAGAATGAGCGTGTTTGCTTATTTTGCCTCGCTTCGCTCAGCAAAATAATAGAGTCGTTTAGGCAAGGGAATACTAGGCCTAGTTAGTTAGTTAACTAGTTAGTTATGACGGAAAAACGGTGGTAAGGCGAGTGTATATGTGGCAGAAAAATCTCAATAAATTCTCTAACTCTCTAAAAATGACAATAGTCCTAAAACATGACAATCTTGTGGACAACTTAGTAATCAAAACAAACAAAACAAAATGGAAGGATGTTTTTCGGGCGAAAAACTGCGGGACTGGTTTTTCGGGGTTTTTCGGGCGAAAAACCACTGAGTTGGTTTTTCTGCAGAAAACCAGCCTGGTCAGTCACGTGACCCAACTGTATCAGGGATGAAAAATGACAGTATTCATCCTAGATTCTGACAAGTTAGTTAGGTTAACTACCCCAAATTAGGCGGCCTTTAACCAAGCAAACAATCAACCAATTAAATAATTAAATAATTAAACCGCGGCGTAGCCGCTAAGCCGGCTATAGACCATTTAAGAAAGCAAGTAAGTAAGTAAGTAAATAAGTAAACCACGGCGTAGCTACTAAGCCGGCTGCAGGCCATTTAAGAAAGCAAGTAAGCAAGTAAGCAAGTAAGTAAGTAAGTCACAGCGTAGCCACTAAGCCGGCTGTAGGTCATTTAAGCAAGTAAGTAAGTAAATAAGCAGATAAGTCTACCCCTACCGCCTACCCCCCCAGGGGTAGGGGTGGGGGTAGGTTCGAATGCCTAAAGGCTCATATAGAGTATATAACCTAGACTTTGATTCGTCTACGCTCAGCAAACTATAACCCGTATGCGTCACCACCCCGAGTGGTCGCTTACAGGTAGCTGGTATTTAAACCTGGAAGGTTCTATACGGAATAAACAACAAAAATCCACCACTATTTATTATGCTAACATGCAATACAAAGACATGTGTATATGTACCTCATTAAATCGCTAGTAGTGGTGCATCTAAAATTTGAATCCTGCTCACAGTCTTGCTTGGGGTTTCCCAGCCCCGGGGGTGCTATCGAATATCTTGTTCTGGCGACTATCAAGCCGGGACTGAGTAGACTCAAATAGCCGCGGGAGTCCAGTCTTTGCAAAATCGATATCATTGAGTACCATTTTTGCCAAGCCCTCGGCCGCCAGGAAAATTTGAGGCATTCCATGTCCCGTGAACCCAGCGATAATGTACTGATCCTTCTGTCCTGGGACAAGGCCAATATGCGGTAATCCATCCGACGAATAGCCCATGACTATAGAGAAGTTGAGTCAGTTCAGTGGTACACGCAGGGAAATCATAGATTGAGCAACGTACTTCCTGTCCAGACCCTGTCCGTGTAAGCGTGGCTATTTTCCCAACCGACAAAGTTCCGCTGCATATAATTATCCCAGTATCGGACAGCAGGCTCAAGAACCAGGCTGTCATCACTGACATTGTACCAGCTGTCTAGATCATCGATGAAAGCCGGGCGAGCACCGCCAACGACTATACTCCCATCGGCGCGTGGGATGAGGTAGTCGTAATTCCAATTGTTCCAGCGCAGGGTGTAAGTATTCGTCAGAGGAGGAGCGGTAGAACCTCGAGGCACGACAATTCGGCTGCATGTTCCTCGGACAGGGATAATCTTCTCCTTATATTGCGGGGCTAGAGACGAAGTATAGGCATTCGTTGCTAGAACCACTGTCTTGGCGGCAACAGAACCTCGGGCAGTATTCACTGTCCAAGGATGGCTGGATGTTGAGGGAGTAGACTTTATAATTCCAGATACAGGTGTGTGCGTCTGTAAATTTACACCTTCCGCAATTGCTTTTTCCAGAAGGTGCAGCACGAATTTGTATGGCCAAATGTGACCGGCGTCATATGTGAAACAACCTTGTGCCCCTTTGACTCCAGAGAACTGATGTACAGCTGGTCAGTATATCGAAATACGACATTTCGAACATGTGCTCACCTTCTCGGCCTCGTTTCTGGGGATATATTTTGCCTTCGTGGTCGCTTCACACCCCTTCTCGATCAATCCATCGTATGCCTTCTTGAGTGTTGCGCTATAGCTCCGAGACAACTGAACATCGATAGCCTTTGTGACGGTGTATTCACAGTCTATCTTTTCTCTTTCGACGAACTCCTTGAGAAACGAGACATGCTTAGCCTCGAAAGCGGCAACCTCAGCAGCAGCCTCGACACCATGATCAACGGCCAAGCTAGCGATACCATTATAAACATCCGGCTTCATGTGTCCTCCTACAATAAGCAGAACATAAATATTTTAGCAAAGTTTATCACTTTTAACTATCCAATCTTACCATTTCGACCAGTGGCACCGGAACAAGCCTGTCGAGCCTCCAGAATCACAATCGAAGGCGGCGTCGACCCGGGGCTAAGTTGGTCGAGAATATGGTGCACAACAGATGCTCCTGCATATCCAGCTCCTACAACGACGATATCACACTCCCGAGGGAGAGATTCGGTTGATCGATGGCTGTCCAGAAAGTGAGGCTCTGTCCGCCAGAATGACGTCATCCCATTTGGGACTGGGGTATGCTTCGATTCCATTTTGGAGAGTCCAAGACTATTAGCGGGCTTGGAAGTAGGCTAGGAAACACAAATGAATCGGAATTATTTATTGGCATTGGCATTGAGGACTAGGGAGGTGTTTCCCCTCCCGGCGGCTTTTCCACCGGTAACTTTCCCGGTCCTGACCCGGCTAGTTAATATCGGACGTACAGTGATAACGCTTCGTCCGGCGGTATCTAATAATACTTTGAGGAGTTGGCTTAAATGATTCAAGTCTAGAGTGGGAAATAAAAAAAAGGAAAAGTGTGAACTTAAATCAACATTGTCAATATGAGAGTTGAGGTTGGAAAATGTTTACTGTAGCCATATACTTCTTTTTGTAATGGCTTAATACTTCTAACTTCTAAATATACGCGGGACCAATATGTTTAACAAAAGGGCATTCTATTCAGGTTGATGTAATTAAGACTAAGTGCAAGCCTTCAAGATGACGCCTGGTGGGCAATGATCTTCTCTGCCATCCCTGGCAAAGTCTCGTCCAAAACATCCATTTCTCCAAAAAGTTCTGACAGAGACTCCTTCTCCCATACAGAGCAGTAAGCCCCCTTAAATCTGTATAATAAAGTGTCAGTAATAGCCAATAGCAACTTATAACTCGAAGATGAGACACATACCCAGCCTTCCTCGCCGCAGAGACATCCCACATATGCGCCGCCGCAAACCAAGGCGTCTTCCCATCATTCTCCGACTTCAGCTTCTCCAGCAAAGGACGATAAGCCGCCAAGTCAGGCTTACCCACACCGACGTCATCACAAGAGAGCAAGTTCTCCGCAGGCAGCTCAACGCCCGCGTTCTTGAAATAGCCCCCAACACGCTTGATATCAGCTGCGGTAAAAGCCCACACGGTAAAGCCTGCATCACGCAGCTTCTGAACACACTCTGCCGCACCTGGACGGAACTTGAGAAGTTGGTATTCCGCCATTATATACTCCAGATCTTCGGGGGAAGCCCAGGTCCGTGGCTCAGCAATGCCAGCCATCCAGAGCATACGATAGAATAGGGTGCGGAAGACTTGACCGAAGGGGACGTAGCTTTGGGCAAGACTTAGATTGGTGTATTCGCGCTCGGCTGCTTCCATCCAGGTAAATCCCAGCAGACGGGGCTTGATTCCCTCTGCGCGCAATCGGTCTCCCAATCGGGTATCAATGGCGTCGAAAACATTATCGTATGAGACAAGAGTACCAACGATGTCGAAGACAACGTGCTTAGATGAGGACATGGTTGGGTCTCGATGTTGGAGTTGTTTGTTGGGGATTTGTAGTATCAATCGTTATCCTCGAGTACCCTTTTGAAGCGAAATGATCTTTCAAGCAGATAAAGAAAGGCAGGGGTATAGATTGGTTAAATAGTAGCGAGTCACCCTTGTTGAACTTATTTCGGACTTATGAAACTATGAATCATATAGTACCCCGCACCGGTTACGTGGTCGGATTGTGAGGTTGTCGATGTACAGATGTAGATTGTACTTTGGTAGTATCTAGTAGTTAGAAACTGTTGGTAATTATCATACAATTACTAGTTCATTACGACTAAGATTGGTTGTATATATTCCCAGATTTTGGTGGCCAGTACTATCCAGATATATATCAAATTTCCCTAGGGAAGTCATTCAATCGTGTATATAGCATTGTGTTTATCTTTTAAGGATACATGGATTCAAGTACACGTCACTCATCCTTTCACACTGCAAGCGTCAATCAGATGAGAACCCCTGTAGTTTATTCAAGGATCTGTCTCAGGGGCTTAGTGCTGTATATCTTCTTGCGGACACAAACTGCCATTGTCGTCCTCGGGAACTCGTCTGATCTCCGTGACACCCCTGATTGAGTCAGCCAGGTTCTGCTAGAGGCTCTTCTTGATACCTCAGACCCTAACGACTACATCATGGGCCAACGGCTACAAGACTGCACGAAAGGGACACCCCACGAGAGCCCAAAGAGTACATAGGCCGTTACTACGACCGTCTCAGGAATTTCTTTCTCGAGTGTTCTGTCGATGGAGCTGGTCTACCACCACAGGGATATGATATTGCGGCATATAGCTTTTATCATTATCATGATCGAGACGACGAATTCAAAGAGGCATTGTACCCTCAATTTCCGATTGTGTTCCATCGTATCAGATTCGAATTGAACAAAGTGGTAATATAATTCAATGCAACTGACAGATCGACGAGGCAATACCGATGGGGAGACCTTATCCAGGAATCCAGAACACAATATCTGATGATCTTGAATAGTTAAGCCTATCTTATATCTATATCATGCTTTGATTCGAGGTTTGAACTGTACGTAATTCGAATTATCTACCTCATACTGGTAATTACAGGTAAAGGTGCGGTTATTACTCGCGTATGTACATGTACCCCATAGCCCTAAAGACACTAGCAGTGCAGTGCCGGCGGGAAGTGCGAAAATGCTCCCGCCGGGAATGTAAACACTTTAAAGAGATACCAGAGATAGCGATAAGGATACAATTGGCCTCGGGAATTAACCCTAGGAATCTCAGATAAATTGACAGATGGTAGGTTTCCTGTTGCTGAAAACACATCTACGACTCACGCAGGCACCAGCATGAACCAATCTTCAATGCAAACCTCGAAGGACGCAATTGAGCTCAAGACAAACGAGACAAATGACATCGAACGCTCAGCCAGCTCAGGAACTGAGCATCATGGCAATACTCTCGTCCTATCTGCGTCGGACGATGCTGGGTACCACCGTTCCTTGACGAGGCGCCAGATCATGATGATGACCTTTGGAGCTGGTATCGGCACTGGTCTATGGGTGGGAACTGGACAAGCATTGCACTATGGTGAGAGTTGAAACCCCGATATTTCCCTCAAGACATATATTGACATTGAATAGCCGGCCCTGCCGGTATAGCAATCACCTATACGATCACAGCGTAGGGTACTCCAGAAAAATCTGGTCTTGTGCTCTTGTAACTAACACCATCTGTAGGATGATCGTGTACGCCCAATACTCTTCAATCGGCGAGATGACTACATACAAGCCTATTCATGGTGGCTTTATCCGACAATGCGCTGAATATGTGGACCCCGCATTCGGCTTTGCGATTGGTGTCAACTTCTGGTTTGCGGTATGTCAGCCTACTAGAACATCAAGGTCGTATGTACTTACGCGGATGAAGTGGGTGATGATCATCCCAGCAGAGATAACAGCAGCGATATCCGTCCTGAAATACTGGCCACAGACAGACGTTGTGCCACTCGCGGGATTTATCACTATATTTCTGGTAGTCTTTGCCATCGCAAACATGTTCCACGTCCGAGTCTACGGCTACATCGAATATTACATGTCCTTTGTGAAGTGTATTGCAGTTATCTTGATGATATTCTTCATGTTCATCATGACATCGGGCGGAATAGCAGCAACAAACGGACCAATCGAGTTCCGATACTGGAAGAACCCCGGTGCTTTCAATAATGGAATAAAGGGCATTTCCAAGGCTTTCGTGCAGGCGGCCTTCAGTTTCGGCGGCGGTATGAGATCCGAGCGCGAATCGAGGAAAATGTACTGACTCAAGTTAGGCGAGCACATCGCTGTTATAGCCGGCGAGGTAGCCGATCCCCGTCGCACTATCAAAAAGACAGTTCGACCCGTTTTCTGGAGAATGTTTACCTTCTTCGTGGTTAACATCTGGCTCGTCGGAATGTGTGTTCCCTCCAATGATGTGGATCTTGTTAACGCCAGCGGGACTATGGGAAGCCCCTTTGTCATTGCAGTCAAGCGGGCGGATGTTTACGGTCTCGCACACGCCATCAACGGGTTCATCTTCCTTAGTGTCATTAGCTGTGGCATTACTAGTGTTTACATCGCAAGTCGAAGTTTGACAGCACTAGCTGACCTGCAGATCATTCATCCATTCTTCGGAAGAAAGGACTCGCAGGGTCGACCCTATGTGTCCCTGTTGATCAGTTTGGGCCTTGGTGGTGGGCTAGGCTATCTCAACTGCAACAGTGTGGGCACTTTGGTGTATAGTTGGTTTTCGGCCTTGGTAAGTACATCGGCAAAAGGGATAATATGTGAAGTTGCTGACAACTTGAATTTAGGTGGCTATAGCGACGCTTTTCCAATGGGGCTCGATTTATATTGCTCATCTTCGCTTCCGGCAAGGACTTCGAGCGCAAAACAAGGATCTCAGCGCACTTCCGTTCAAAGGTCTTCTCACTCCATGGGCGCAATACTTTAGTCTCCTTATTGTGGCGTTTGTCTTCGGTTGTGAATTCTACCTGGCTTGCTGGCCATTTGGAGAAAAGGGTTCGGTGAAGAGCTTCTTCTCTTCTTATCTCGCGGCTCCGTTGTTCGTCTTTGATTACTTCGTATACAAGGTGAGTGCTTCAAAATTGTGGTTGACGATGGAAAATGTCTGACTTTGACAGTGGTATTTCAAAACGAAGATAGTCAAGCCGGTTGACATGGATTTCGGCCCTGCCAGAGCCTTCGATGAACAAGACCTTATCAATGCTATTGCGACCGAAGATGCGGAGCGGAATCCAGAGAATGACATGCAGAAGACTTGGAGAAAACGTGCTCAGTATGCGGTGTTTGGATAAGGGAGGAAGTAACATAGAATCTTAGTTTTATTGCCTCCATATGAAATCAATTTGACAGAGATGAAAGATTATACGCATCAAACTGGAAATCCCCATTAGACCAATGAGGCTCAAAGAAAGCTGTCATATCATTCAGCTCCGGGTCCGCGAAAAGTTCTGTGCTAGGTGTGAGATGCGACAGCGGGCTAAAAGAAGACAGCTCCAAATTTCCACCTGCAGATTTGTCCTTCTTCAGTGACTGCGTCCAGTCTTTGAACTTCGAATAGGCAGAGATAGAGCTTTCATCGCTTTGTGGATGGGAAATGGATCCTTCTTCAGGGATGGCTTCTAGCCGGCTGATAGCTGCTTCGATAGATTCGAGATATGAGATGTCGGATTTCGAAGAGCTTCCTCCGACCATCTGACGTATGAGACTCATTCCACGGTGTAGGCCATCTTGAAGTCTCTGGCACTTTCCTGCGTTGAGACATTCTGCAAGAATGACCAGAATAGCCGCACGACAAGCACCGAATTCATTGTAAGAAGCGCGGCAAAGACCAACATGGTCGGATAAGGATTGCAGAGTGTTAAGAATGTCCAAAGCACTCGACACGCAGTCGTCCACCAAAACTAACCGATGCGCCCGTCCTGAATCTTGATCTGGACCAATTATAGCTTCATCTGCTTGTTTCCTGTCATCAACGAATATGAATGCACGGCCCATGTACACATATATAAGCAGATAACACAGTCGGAGATGCGAGTTTTGTCGGAAATTCGGGCCTTGCGAGCATAGATCCCGACATTCTTCAGTGGCTGGAAGTGAGTCCCACCATTGCTTGATACTGGTCCTTAGCCGTACGAGTCGCTCTAAATATTCAGAGAGAAGCCTTTTCGGACATCTTTTAAATTGTGCACTATTGAGGTATTAGCATGTCGTCGATAAACTGGTTTCACATTTTGAGCCACTTACAGTGTCTCGGAGACCTCTCCCAAGTATGAAATCAATGTATGGAACGCGGTTAGATTGGCAAATCGTGGTGACTCAAAGGTGGGACAGTCTCTTGGCATATCCGCGTTTATTTCCGATCGTGCAATCGACAGAGGGCGTCCATGGAGGATACTGATATATCTATGAAGCATTGATTAGCTTTGGTGTGAAATAGTCTCTTGAATATCGTACTTTTCAATAGTGTATGCTGTCCAAAATAACCGATTTCTGACTTCAATAGTTCTGGAGTCGCAGTTACCACCATGATATTTGCGATGCATCCCATTTTGAATCGCCATCTTCATTGCAAGACCGTAATAGGTATATGCAAGGCCACCCGTCGAAACAGGTAATGAATATGTGGCGAGAAGCAAGAAAACCTGCACACTTTCGTGAGAAGCAACCAAAAGAACATCAGGAATGAGCTTGCATGCCGCATGATAAAAGACTAGCCCGACAGAGTCTTCAGAGCACAAGTTCAGTTCTTCCGTGATCTCCGAAGCGGGATTTGGTTTTTCATCCTCCATGTGGGCTACCTGAGTCCCAATGGCCATAACAACAAAAACAGAGCATACCCAAGGGAAATCAATGGCCGTATATGTAGTTTTCGGACTGTAACAGAGCGCTACCTTCTCTTCAATCCATTTCCGTTCCATGTAAAAGGAGTTGACCTCAACATATTTGAAAAACATGGTGATGAGGAAGTCGGCAATAGCTCTTGGTGGTAAATGTGTCAATGTCTCCACTATCACTTCTGGTGGGGATTGAAGCTGGGTTGGCCGCCAGTATTCTTTAACCTTTTGTACGTCATTAGACACGCTTCAGTCCTTGCGGGGAGAGATACAAACCCTCAAATCAAACTGATCTATTTGGCAGCTCATTTTGCGGCGTAATGTCTGGGAAAAATTCCAGTGAGAAAACTCCCCCGAGTAATGTGCCATATTATCTGACACGAACTGAACGTCAAATGACTCGTTGATATCCAGGGCAGTTTCCGGCAGGACGGTGTTCGTCGAGTTTCGTAATTTGTCCGCGATACGGACGATATTCTCCTCATCTAAAGGCAAATCCCCAAGAAAATGACGGGCGATATCCTCCAGGCTTTGTATTCGCCGACTCTGGTCTTTCGGAATGGACGCGACGGGGACGGTTGAGGAGCAGGGGGATGTCGCTATCTGGGTCGGCTGGCCTTGGAAATGGCACGGTCGCCCTAGTCGCTGACATCTCCAGCAGGGTGGACCGCCCTCACATTTCTCCTTTTGTTTTCTACATGTCTCGCAACTTTTTGAGGATTGTCAATGTGGAAAGCGAAATGATGCCCGGCAGCAATGTACTTACGCCAAGAAGGCGCGTCTCCGCTCCCCGCGCTTACGCTTAGTACCCTGATTTAGTTCTCGATCGGGGGTCATGGAAAGAACAGGTAAATACCAGAAGAGTCTGGTGAAAGTCAAGAGAACATTAGACAGGAGACATGTGGACCTCGGAACATAGTGTTTATCTCTTATCAGATAATATGCGGGGTAAATCGGGAGCCCTCGCCGAATGATAACCTCCGGGCGATTAGCCGGTGCATAACTCTCCTATTGGACATTATTGCCGGGCATAATCTTAGTCATCCCCCCTCGCATCCATGGATTGGAACCCTGGAACCAGGGTTGGAAGGTTCCATGGAATGTACCTGTATGTTGTATACATTTCGGGCTGCATATAACTTGCCTATCATATTATTTGAAAACCACATAACAAGTGGTACAAAAACCAGTATAAAAGACCCAAAAAAGACACCAAAAGTTATATAGTCCAAGATCAATGGCTGGTCGTATTATTGCGAATGAAATAGATCAAAATAAAAGAAGTTAGTACATAGCTCGTGAAGGTGGAGCATCCTTGAAATAATAATAATTCCTCTATATAGTATAAAGTAAATACTATTCTTATCTAAAATAGCACCAGTAGTAAATGTAGAACAAAGGAAACAAAGCAAATAAACGATCTTGAGCATATGATAGAATAGCATGCAGATCGTTATAAATCATCAAATTAACGTTCAAAACCAGTCGTGAGTCCTTACTGAAATTGCATATCCCATCCCCACTCGGCAATCTTCTGTAACGATTCTTCATCGATTACCACGTTGGTTTCTCTTGGGGCTTGAGGATTTCGTAGGAAAAGGAGATGGAAGGGAATGGCGAGTGGACCCCCGGACAGTTTGACTTCATCGGTCTCACTTTCTGAAACCTGAATATGGTGGGATCTGTGGGATATGCCATTTACATGATCCCATACCCACATTTCAATACTAATCATGGGTCATTGGCGGTTGACTTTGATTGCCATCGCAGCATTGGCATTCTCTCTCAGAGATCGACATCACGGTGAAGTTCAGTGAAAAAGGAGAGAACGGTATGAGATTGTATGAAGAAGTCAGAGGTGAGAGACAGATGGTTGAAGGAAGGTGGTTGAAGGAAGAAGAAAGAGACTGAAGGTCATGGATGTTTATATAGTAGTGCACTTACTTCCTCTTCATCTAATACCTCAACCCTATGATAAATGGGGCAAATGCCCGAAGTTTAAGGACTGATGACTTTTCTCTTTGTATCCCGAGGGCCTGCCGTATAGACCTCTGCTCTTTCCTCATTTCTTTAATGTCATCTGACCTCTCTTTCCTTATTTCAACCCCCCCCCCCCTCCTTTTTCTCTTCTCCTCTCTTCATGATACGAAGAAACACCAAGTCACTACCGCCTCTTGTCGTCCAGCACAGTGTGCCGGCATTTCCAAATTCGGAAACCATCTTCTACCAAAAACATATTGGATTGCGAACATGGAGCCAAAGATTGAGCAATTGACTACGAACCCGTAGTTGGATTGATACGCCCATCTGTCATTTTCAATTATGTTGCTCGAACTACTAAGTCTGATGCCGCTATGGTATAGTAAAATAGGGTAAATGCATCCTCTATGTCTGTCATTTGGGGCAATTCGAACGACATTGTTATAGTTTTGCATCGCAGCTTTATATAATCCCGTATTTGTTTGTGTATCCTTTTTGCTATTTTCGAGCCATGGCTCGCCCAGCTATCCAAGATGTCGACCGAATTCAGTGCGGTTGTGAGACGATAACGGACCATATGCAAGAACCAACACACTCGATTTATTAGACACACGGAGTGTATGTTGCCTCTAATCTGTCCGACAGCAAATCTACAGTCAACAAACCGTCCTGGTCCGTTGCTCTGTTCTTGACGGAAGCTTTGCCCTCATTACGACGCATTGCTATCATCATAAAGGATAACGCGGTAATTTCCTAAAGGGTGAAAAGGCTTAAGATGTTGATCTATATAAATATTGTTAAGAATCTAACGGCGATTACGTACCATTATTTACCCCTAAACAGGAACTAAATCATAGCCCGAGCCGAATTTTCAGGCTTTCCAGTTCAATGGAAATTCACTCGGACATTGCTGTCTTTTTACCCTTCTGCTGCATTTTTTTGTCGCCACAGTTATGTTTATCTTCATGGCAGCAGTAGTGCTCTCCATCTTAAATCCGACAGCCTCGGCCATACCCCGCGATGACTCAGAAGGTTAGGGTTAAACCGGGTTCACAGTTAATATAAGCTTAAACGCCAAGAACAATCAACTTCTTTTCCAAAAGACATGAATCTTTTTTTTCTTTAACTTCACTTGCGCATCCTTACATGTCACCTTTCATATACGTCTTCACTTTTACAATTTCAACACGCGTCCACCCCGTTGCCATCAAAAATACGACCTATACTACTGCCGAGGATGGAACGTTCTTTAACACCCATGCTGGTTGACGGAGAAAACCCGGCAAACTCACCAACTCGTCTGTACGTACCAGTCACCTCCACAAGAGGTGGACTAACACAGCTACAGACACTCCACCATCATCATAATCGCCTCGACAACACTTGTCTTTACAGGATGCGGAATTAACTTCGCATTCGGTGTCTTTCAAGAGCTTTACGACTCCATGTCGAAGGAGCCAAACACCCCGTTCACCGGCGCAACACCGGCGCAGATTGACCTTATCGGTACTCTCTCAATCGCACTGATGACAATAGGTGCGCCATTCGCAACAGCTTGGACAAAGCAATACCCCCCTCGATATGTCATCTGGGCTAGCGGAATAATTCATTCAAGCGCTCTGTTGTTTGCAAGCTTCAGTCAACACCTGTGGCAATTCATCCTCACCCAAGGCATTCTGCTTGGTATGGCCACGTGTCTAACTTACATGCCATCTGTAACCGTGGCACCGACCTGGTTCACATTGCACCGTGGACTAGCCATGGGCATAATCCTCGCGGGAACCGGGATCGGCGGTGTTGCCTGGCCCCTCGCCTTTCGATACCTCATTGAGTCTCTCGGATTCCGCAATACACTTCGCGTCACGGCGGGGATCTCCTTCGCACTCATTTGCGGATCAGGGACCTTTATACGCTGGCCTGCTAGTCAGATCACCCGTATTCAAGCCGAGAACGCCGCTTCTTCCCGGTCTTCTACATTTTTCCGCCTTCCGTTGGTGGACTGGCGCGTCGTCCAAAGCCGCAAATTTGTTGCCCATGCTCTGGGTGCAGCATTGCAGTCCGCTGCATACTACACGCCGGTGTTCTTTTTCGCTTCTTTTGCTCGTACACTAGGCTACTCACAGGCAACGTCTGCAAACTTCATTGCCATCTCTAATGCTGCAAATGCGCTAGGCAAGATCGTCATCGGCCATGCAGCTGATCGTATGGGAAGACTCAACACATTGGTATTAACAACCCTCATCTCAGCAGTGTCTGTCCTCGCATTATGGCTTCCCTCGTGTCTATCCGCCACACAATCTACCGGGAGCACACTGTTCATTGCATTCACGATCTTCTATGGCGTTTTTGCTTCAGCATACGTCGCTCTTTTCCCGACGAGCCTAGTAGAGTTGTTCGGTGTACAGAACTTTGTCAGTGTCAATGGTTTGCTGTATATGGTGCGAGGATTAGCGACATTAGTTGGAACCCCAGTTGCGGGTGCACTGATCCGCGGAAACCACGAGAAGAGTGTCGGTCCGCGAAGCTACGAGAATACTAGCATTATGGTCGGTGTATTGCTGGTTGTGGCGACATTGGCTGTGGTTTGGGCGCGACTCGAGGCTACCCTTACCCTAGATTCTACCGTGGGGCGCCGAATGAAGTGGTTGATGTAAAGTTTTGGCCACCCAGATATTGAAGGCTTGATCGTGATCATTGAAGAAGTCCCAATTCCATAGACTGTACATTAGCCATATATTCACCACTTTCAAGCAGATACCAATTAAATCTCTCCATCTCATCAAAGTATTGTTTTTGATTGGACTTGGATCTTTGGTAGCTCTATGGGCTAGGGCTCTGGGAAGTTAATTGGCCTAACCCGCGAGAGCAAGGACCTATCTTGACTCCCAACAGAATGGAGGTTCCAAAAGGTGCTAATCCTCATATCCATGCGAGGACATTGGGTATCGCTTCTCTGTTTTTATTGAGGCGCGTATGCAGATGGAATGTCAAGGGATAATGGAGCGGATGACAGAAGATAAGCCAGCTAGATAATACAACTTGACTCTATCCGTGTTGAAGAGCCTCACCAATCCCCTATATTGATTGGGTCAGGTACAGATGTTACGTAGTCACGTGACTGTGACTCACCCCGTCTGACCGCCTTATTCTGCAGATTTTATTGCGGGGTGATTTTGGACCGACTTTTTCTTTGTGATTTGTTCCCCTTACATTAGTAGTATTGCCCATTCTTCAATCTGTCTAACAATGGCTTTATCTGCGGAGGAAAGATTTGATCTCATTCGGGACAATCTCGGCGAGATTCTTAACCCGGAACTGATCGAGAGCATCCTTGCCGAGGGGCGCAATCCCCGTGTGTACTGGGGTAATGACTCCCTACCTTCTACCATTCAATAGGCGAACTGACATCTCTTGTCCTGTTTTAGGCACTGCTACAACTGGTCGGCCTCATTCCGGTTATTTCGTCGCCGCAATCAAGATCGCCCAGCTACTAGCGTCAGGATGTGAGGTGGTGATTCTCCTTGCGGACGTGCACGCGTTTCTAGATTCAATGAAAGCGCCTCTCGAACTGGTGGAAAACCGTGTCAAATACTACGAAAAGATCATCACAGCAGTCCTAGAGGCTGTGGGCGTGTCGACGGAGAAGCTCGAGTTCGTGCTTGGGAGTTCCTACCAGCGGAGTTCCGACTATGTTATGGATGTCTACCGGCTTGCCGCTATGACCTCTGAGCATGATTGTAGGAAGGCTGGTGCAGAGATTGTGAAGCAATCTACCAACGCCCCAATGAGCGGCCTGCTCTACCCGATCCTTCAGGTCCTCGATGAGGAGTATCTTAAGGTCGATGCCGAATTAGGCGGTATGTCTAACTCTACTTGCATATCTACACTATTTCTAACGAAAAAAAAGGCCTGGATCAGAGGAAGCTCTTCACCGCAGCAACAGAATGGCTACCCAAACTCGGATACCGAAAGGTAAAGGATATATCCATGGGGCAAGGCTTAATGAATATCGCTAATGATTTTCAACTCCTAGCGTGCCCATCTTATCACTCCAATGGTTGCAGGCCTCAGCGGGGGCAAAATGAGCTCTAGTATCGAAGGTATGTAAAGCTAAATCTCTCGTCTAAAGCGTTCCAAACTAACCCTATCTAGATAGCAAGATTGATCTCCTCGACCCACCTGAGATAGTCGCCAAGAAGATCCGTAAATCGGAAGCGGTCCCTCGAGTCGTCGAGAACAATGGCATAATTGCCATGGTGGAATTCGTCTTGCTCCCCGCAGCCGCCCTCGCTGGCAAGAAGGAATTCCGCGTGGCACGCCGGGATAACGAACCTCTCATCTACACTAACATCCAACAACTCAAAGAGGATTACACAAACGACGTTGTATGTTAATATTTTTGCTTGCTCCCGGAAACCTACTAACATTACCTAGTTGACTCCCCAAGATCTAAAGCCTGCAGCAGCAGAGGCTCTGACCCGTCTCATGGCACCTATTCATAAAGCCTATGCAGATTCACCCGAATGGCAGGAAATCACCCTCAAGGCCTACCCGCCTCCAGTTGTACAGAAGAAGGAGAAGAAGGTCAAGGATAGAGGTTCCCGCTTCCCTGGGGCTAATAAGGAAAAGGATATCCCAGAACGTCCCAAGGCTTAAGAAATACATAAATGGAGAAACAGGGAATTTTACACTCAGAAACATGGATAAAAGCCAAGTACATTTATTTTTTCTTCATCCTCGTGAGGATTGCACATCACAACGAATGCTCACCATCATCGAAGTCGCATCATTCATAAGACCAAGTGCTTAGGAGGGACGAAGCTTCCATTAAGAGCAACGGACTAGGACGGTTTGATGACTGTAGATTTCTTGTCTTTCTTGTCAGGCAGATAGATGCTACAGCAAAACATGCTCTCCCGGAACCTGGAACACCTGTCACAATTTCCCGCCGAGGTCAAAAGCCAATAAAGAATCTTACAAGCTCGATAATAATCAGCTTTGGCAAGGGGTGGTTGTCTCTTCGAAACGAATCTCTCTGTCGTCCATCACCAATCTTCTTTTAACGCAATCTATGTGCGGCTGAGACACTGAATTAACATTCAAAATCAGTCATAAGTCCTTACTGAAATTGCATATCCCATCCCCACTCGGCAATCTTCTGTAACGATTCTTCATCGATTACCACGTTGGTTTCTCTTGGGGTTTGAGGATTTCTTAGGAATAGGAGATGGAAGGGAATGACGAGTGGACCCCCGGACAGGTTGACTCCATCCGTCTCGCTTTCTGAAACCTGAATATGGTGGGATCTGTGGGACTTGCCATTGACATAATCCCATACCCACATTTTAATATCAATCATAGGTCGTTGGCGGTTGACCTGGATTGCCATCACAACATTAGCAGTCCCTCTAATAGGGTCAAACGTGTAGCAGAAGTATTCTGGAGGTAATCGGACCAGAAATCTGAGGCCGCCTTCTCATCCACTTGCTGCTGATAGTGCCGCACGAAAATGTTGAATGACAACCGAGAAGCCACAGTCTGATTATTATAGATGGCTGCAGCATCTTGGACGAGAACTTTGGATGACCAGAAATCAAACAACACGTGGTGCATGATGACCACGAGGATGTGACCATTCAGGATGGCTGCACGAACAAGAGGTTGAGCGATGTCCATCTCTTGCTTCCGAACCTGTGATACATAGGAATCGATGGAAGCTGTATCATTGACAATGTCCCAAGGTAGCTCAAACTGTCGATGGACCATCTGCAAGAACCCCGTGCCGTGCGCCACGAACCCAGTTCGATAGATGGCATTGTTGTTAATCACCATCTGAAGCGCTTGCTGAAGTCGAGACACGTCGTACCCTTCGATGTCAAACACGCGATGATACACATATCCCCCTGCACTGTTATGCGCTGAGATGATACCTTCTTGGGAAGGTGTAGCAGGGTATGCGTCCTCAAATGTTGTCCGATCCACGTCCGTTTCGCCCGGTATCAAGCTGAAAGGTGTTGGTGAATCCTGGTTTGCGGATGCATTTTCTTGATATGTCAAGGAAGACGCTGCTGTAGCCAAGGAGTCTGCGCGAAGCATATCACCAAGCTCTGCGAGGTAGTTGTGGGACAATAATTCCGAAATGACAAGCAAGGCCTTGAGTGAGTCACCTCCCAGCGCCAGGAATGACTGATTGATTGTGATAACCTCAGATGGAAGAGAAAGAACCTTAGCCCAGGCCAGCTGGAGCACTTTTTCCATGTTAGAGAGTTCTCGTTGAACTTCCTCTGTATCCATCGAGGCACCAATAAGATCGGAACGCTTCATCGCTTGGATTCGGTTCCTAAGTTGCAGCACATCCGTCTTTCCATTGCTATTGACCGGCAGGTCGTCGAATGGCATCCAGTATGCAGGCGTCATATAGGATGGGAGACTAGCCAATGTCGCTGTTCGGAGGCTGGAGACAACTCGAGGCCAGGATAGTGATGTATCACTCGGCGAAATGCAAGCAACGAGAGCCTTTTCTTGCTCAACAGTGGCAGCCACTACAACTGCTGCACGAACCGAGCTTTGCTGACGAAGAAGAGCCGAGATCTCACCAGGCTCTACTCGCTGACCGTTGATCTTGGTTTGGAAGTCAATCCGGCCGACAATTTCAATAGTGCCATCTTCCAGTCGAATTGCCATGTCGCCAGTCCGATATAGTTGCGCCCCGGAGTGAAAGGACTATCAACAAACGCCTTATCCGTTTCTTCTTTGCGATTCAGGTAACCGCTAGCAATCTGGGGACCTTCAAGACACAGCTCTCCTAGAACCAGGAATGGTGTTAGGTTCGAGGTATCGGGGTCCATAATATAGGCAGATGTAGTGTCTAATGGCTGTCCAACGTTTTTGACTCGACAGCTTTTCTCCCGAAAACATGCGTCGTCCCCAGGTGAGCTGTGTGCATTCACTGAGACCGTAGTTGTTCTTCAGCTCCACATGACTGGCCCAGCGCGCAACAACGGAATGGTCTAGTGATTCACCCGTGAGGTTGATTCTCTGCAGCGTGGGTATCTTCTCGGGTTCTAACAGCGCAATGGTTGAGGATGTAATGCCAAGAGTGTTGACTTTCATATCATTGATGAAGCGCATCAGAGACCCCTGAAGGGTCGATCAACTTGCCAGGCAGAGACAGCCACCCTTGGCTAGAGTAGACAGAATGGTTCTCTGGGCTGCTGAGAAGATGGGATTGTAGAAAAGCAGGCTGCGGTTGTTGGATATATCTGGAGCACAGAGGATCCCAGTGGAAGCCGCGCGGTGACTCAAGACCACGCCCTTGAGAACACCGGTAGACCCCGAGGTATAAATGATATATGCAGGCTGCTCAGGGTCCAGAGATAAGCCCAAATCGATTTCCGCATCGGGGGTGGAACCATGCATGAGATCCGTAATTGAGTAAGCCAGCACATCTGCAATCCCTTTGATAGGGCCCCCATTTTTCATGTAGAATGGTGCTTTGACATCGTTGAGAATGTATGCTTTGCGAGATGGTGGCTGGAAGTGATCAAGAATCACATAGGCACCTCCCGCCTTCAGAATAGCCAGGAGAACAATCACGAACTGGACGGATACATCCATGTGAACCGGAACGATGGTCCCTGTCGACATCAACCCAGTGAGACGATGAGCGACACGGTTCGCAGCAGCATTCAGCTTAGCAAAGCTCATGAATTCGCTAAGTTGAAACTGTAGAGCTGGAGCATCTCCATTATCACGAGTTTGTTTCTCAATCAGGTTATGCCCCACCTGAGGGGAGACGTTTCCACGGGAAGACCTGAAGCTCAACAGGGAGCTTTTCTCTTGCTCGGACGTGAGACTCAAACTCTTGAATCGGTCGTATGGACTCGAGATGATCTGCTGGAGGACTTCCCAGAAGTGCTGCAAAATGATCTTGGCTCGGGCCGATGAGTAACTCGAGTCATGGACCAGGGAGAGTTGGCCAGTTGGCCAGTTGAGTGTTGTTTCTGTGGTAACATCGAGGGCCTCAACTTTGTGCATGGGGATCTCTGATTCACGAACAGTGAACATGGACGTCAGGGAGGCTTGGCTTTGGCTGTACTCCCTGATGGCGCTTCCTCCCACATAGGAAGATTGAGAAACAGTTCTCTTTTCGCTTTCCAATCTATAGAGAGCTTCGAGTGTGGACTCGTTCTCCAAAGGTTGAATTCGAAGAGGAGCGGTCACGTCCATAGGACCAACGATATATTCTGTGTCAAAGCTGCAATCCCGAAGGTTGGTATAAAAGGCCACATCATCGCTCTGCAGATGGCGGGAAAAGTTGACAGCCCAGCCGGCAAGGAGCACCACTTTGACGCTAACTTGATGCTCGTGTGCAAACTCCTTTGCTTGAGAGAGAAGGCTAACATCGCCGTATACACTCGTTTCAGCGTTCTTCTGTCCAATCATGGGGCGTTGAAACAAGCGGTTCCCAAGATATCCCTGGAGATAACCATTCCAGAATGTGGAGGCCTTCTGGCTGTCTCGAATGACAATGGCTTTAGCATACGTACCAAAGGGAATGCGTGATGGAAAGGGAAAGCCACGAAAAAGGAGTTCGAAGTCGTTCCAGATGAGAAGGAGATATTTTGCAGCATAAGCTCAAAATCCTGACGTATCCACTACCTGTTTTCGGAAAAAACCGTTCCCTCGAGGAAGCACTAGGAACAGGAAGTGAAGAGGCGGGTGGGGTGGCCATGCAGCACACAGAGCGAGTCAGAAAGCTCTCTGTGCCGAGAAGCAGCGATGCTAAGAGAAGTTGAAGGGCTCAGAACAAGTGATTGAGGGAAATTTCAGCATGTGGCTGCTCTTGTGTGGAATGATGATGTATGCTTATAATGGATGAGAAGAAAAGACAGCCTAGAAGGATACAAAACCTAAAAGCAAAAAAATAATCAGAGACTATGTGAATTGGAGATGAAGTTACTGAATGATTCGGATGATTCTGGAGGAAGGAATGGGAAGATCCACCAAGAAGTGGGATTTTTTCCTTCAGTCCCGTCCCTTGTATGTTGTACGTTGCCAATCCTGACGTGCAAAGGTTTGCCCCGCTATCCCATCCTCCCATCCTCCTATCCTCCCATCATCCCACCATCCCTCCTATCCCATCTAGGGCTACTCCCATCGGTATCCCATCGGTATCCCATCGGTATCCCATCCTCCCATCGGGGGTCCCACCTCGTGTCGCCATCCCATTCCATATCGCTTATACCTGCAGCGTGGCTGCTAGTTCTCACTCCTGGACGACCCCATTGTCGATTTTCGGACGTTTGGGCAGGAAGATCTTCCCGGCCCATCCTGCTCACCTCATTCCCTCACGCTCTGTCGTCTCCATCGCCTAATTAGTTCCGATGACTCCGCAGCCACCCTCGTTCCAATGTCATTTCCCCGGGTGTGGCCTTGGCTATCGACGCAAGGAACATCTTACACGACATGCCAAAAGCCACTTCCAATCACAATCTTATGAATGCCCTTTTTGTGATCGCGTTTTTGCTAGGAATGACACGCTGCGTCAGCATGTCCGTACGCTCCATAGAAATAAGGAGTTACAATCATCCCGTGCAGTCCAAGCCTGCAACTACTGCCGCTCGCGAAGGTCAAGATGCAACGGACAGACACCCTGTGATACCTGTTTCCAGCGAGGAATTCAATGCTCCTACACCCAAAATTCACGACGTGAATTGAAACAAACAAAGAACGCTGATGGCCACATGAGCTCAGTAGCATCTGTAGAGCCTGGTTATCCCTACTCTCCTGCGGCAGAACCAAGTTCTGTTCAGCGTGCAGAAACGATTGAAAAATGCCCAAGTAGAATCGTACCATACGTACCATACGTCGAGGCTTATTTCAAGAATTTTCACCCAAAATGGCCTTTTTTACACCCTGCTACATTCGATCCTGATCATGAGCCAGCTTTTCTTTTGCAATCAGTGTACGAAGGTGTATAGCGGCCAACAGCCGGATGCCTGATTTTAATGGTTTTATAGCCTAATTAGGACTAGCTCTTACCAATTTTAGACCGGCAGGAAATTAAAATACCTGAATTACTATGACAGATC